CTTGTATAAGGCAGAAGACACTACAGAGAAGACGATCACGGTTAATGGCCTAGTCTAAAGGCAGAAGACACTACAGAGAAGACGATCACGGTTAATGGCCTAGTCTAAAGGCAGAAGACACTACAGAGAAGACGATCACGGTGAATGGCCTAGTCTAAAGGCAGAAGACGCTGCAGAGAATACGATCATGGTGAATGGCAGGCAGAAGACGCTGCAGAGAATACGATCATGGTGAATGGCCTAGTCTTCAGGCAGAAGACACTACAGAGAATACGATCATGGTGAATGGCCCAACGTTAAAGCAAAAGACGTTAAGAATCTTGTGGTGATGGCGTCCAATACAACCAATGGCTGGTTCGATTCCCCTGTCATAGAAGATATAAACTTTAGTACGATGTCTGTTGGAAGTGACATAGTCATAATCAAATGTTAACAAATTTGATGGAAAGTACGTGTTTGATTCAATAACATAATAATGATGATGATGATGATAATAATACAATTATAACTGTCATTCTTAGATAATATCAGTTTCTCTCTTGCGCTTAATATTTCTAAATGATAAACAACATTATTACTGGACATTCGTCATTTAAATCTTCATGATAAAAGACTCATTAATGACCGCGATTAAGGGTATTCCACGCCTCGTTTAACAGTTTTGGTGTAGTAAAACCATCAAAAGCAAAGAAATTTCTCGTGAGAAGCAAGTTTTTTCCAGTTTGGAAGAATCTGACATCATTCTGCAGCACTAATGACAACTTTTTCGCAACAATTCCTAAATATGCATCATACACATGGAGGTACTTGACGTATGGAAAGGCCTCAACAATCTGCCTGGTTATCTCCCTTGACACAAGCATACACCCTTTACGGAGATACGGCGGCCAAAATCTATGTGGAAAGTCGGTCCATCGGACGGACCATCGCGACTTTCTCTCCCTCTCTACTTCGGCGTAATTGATAACGAACCCAGTAAACAAATTCTTAATTTCCGATCGATTGAATGAATTGATGTATTCAAGGACATGTTTTAACTGCACAAGGTGATCTTCCTCTGTTAAAAGAATGACGTCAGCATCCGGGCAGTTATAAGTAGACCACATGAATGCCATGATGGTTTTGTGCGTCATATTGTACGAATTATCAGTGAAATTTCCCTGAAGTACATCACCGTAGAGTTTTGATTCCTCGTTCACGTCCGTCAGAGCTAAAGGCTCGCAACCCATCGCAAACACCAATTTAACATTGGGGTACTCTACATTTCCCCATGTGTCACGTATCATACTGCGCATGTCTACATGTCCAGCATGTGACCTGACGATAACGACTACAGAGAAATTATAATCAGAAGATGCGAAGTTACATTCCGTTGGTTTGTAAATATATTGTATCTTTTGCACATTTATTGGGTCCACAGTAATCCTCACTCCTCGTTCAATTTTCTTTCGGACAAGTCTAGCGAGATCGATATGAAGTGGGTGAATACTTTCGAAGTGATCTGGAGAAAATCTGTAGTCAAGACCTGGAACAGCATTCACAACGCGAGGTACCGAAACTTTTCTTTGATTTTTTCTGATAGATGACAATGGGTTCGAATTCAGTCTATTTCCAATCGCCGAGTCCCGTATTGACGGGGTTTTTGTTTTGTTAATCCCAGCGGTAAGGGTGGGCGCTGTAATCGCCGTGTTGTTCATTGCTTTATGAATGACGTTTCCACTTTTGATCTTATCATATTTTTGAGGAAATCCTTTACTTGTGTATGACTCGTTGATACCTGTAGACATCTCTTGAGCGTTCAATATCAAAATACGGCGTGCTTCTTGTTTCTTCCGTTCTTCAACTGCTCGGTTAACCGGTGACAGTTTTTTCCTTTCTAGCTGGTCACGTGATGTACCGACCACCTCAGTGAATGTCACGGATACATTTCTCCTGTTCAGTAGATTATCACTAGTGAACACTTGTAAGTTTTGTAGGAACTGTGTGACGTCGGCCGCGAATGATACAGCAGATTTCTGTGCCGTAGTGTCCTTAATGTTCACATTTGCCGATGACGAAACCTTTTCAGCCGGGTTTTGGAAGAATCTTATCGAATGTATGGTCTCTGGTGGCACTGAGGAACCAGGACGCTTGCGGTGCTTTTCATTTGCACTGTCAGAAGAAGTACTTTGTGCCAAATTAACCTTGGAAACGAGGTCCTTTATAACGTCTGGATTGCATAAAGAATTATCAAAATGAAAATCGTCACTATCGATTTGAATGTTAGTATCTCCAATATACAGGTCAATATCGACTTTGAGACTGTATAATGTGTAAAATATCAAAAGTGGGAACACAATTTCAGCAGCAAATCGATTTTTCTTTGTGGTAATCTTAATAATTGTCCACGACATTTTCGAAAAAAAAACAGCCTTCCAAATTGAAATTACATTAGTGAATACAGTGAATATATATATATATATATAATATATATATATATATTGCAGTGTAATAAATTGACGTTGAATATGCGTTTCTGATGAAGAATGTCTGTAACAGATGTAATGGTTCTCTGGCTGCACGTGGGTCACATAGCTCTTAGCATCCGGGTTCTGAGCCTCGATTTGGACATCGCCTCGATGTGGTCCCCTCATGTGACACTGAGTAAACAGACAGATGCACATTTGGATTAGAATTTGCGTGCTTATTCCAATATTGCAAATAATGTTAGCTGGAAAGCATCACAAAATTAATCACCAATGATTTATATTGTTTGATAATCGTTAAAGTCGTGTTTCATTAAGAATTAAGTTGAACTTCATAATCTACAATCGTTGTTACTGTGTTTATTATGAATAATTCAAGTTGTAGACCTATGATCGATAATAGTTCTAGATTTGTTGCGTTAACATTGGCTCAAGTTAAACTTTATAGTTTGATTGTGACTCCGGTCGTGTTACGTTAACAATAACTCAGGTTGTGATTCCGATGGTAATAATTGTGACAGACTTGAATCACTTTAATCGTGCTTCAAAGCACGAGTCATGTTCCGTTACGGTACGTGTCCTGAACTTATGAATGGGTTGATTAGTACATACACCTATATTGAAATTCAACAATGGCGTCAAATCTATCGTTTTAAAGATCTATCCTTTGTTTGAAAGGTCGACTACTCTAAATGTGAACAAAACATACAAGTTAGTATTTTAATTTAAATGAACCAGCAAGGTATTGACAAATACGACCACGGAGTACTCGGTATACCCAACAACAACTACAATTACCTGCGTGTCGATATCTGATTTGAACTGAGTCTTACCAGAAAAATACTAACGGTACAATAACAACATAAGCGCACACATACTGAACACCATAGTCTCTTACCGGTCCTTTGAAAGACATGTAGATAAAAACATAGGTTTGGGATACATATTTGACGAAAAAAAGGGTTCTCTCCAGTGTTGTAGTTTATACACTGGTTGCCGTCAAAACATATCAAGCCATGCTGACATATTTGGGGTTTTGAACTCGTCCCGTAAAATGCTCAGTAGAATAGTTTTATAAGGTTACTTTATATATGCAAATTACGTGTAAGTTTGACGTAAAAATCTTGAAAATAACGTAAAAATATAGCGATTTTTTCCCTTAACATTCCAGAGGTTGATAAAATTTGTTTTATTATTTAGTGGCGAAATAACAAAACTACACAAAAATCATTTATGGATAAAATAGGTTTAATTAGATCATGTGAAAAAAAACCATCACCAAAGATAATTAAGTAAAACAAAGTACATATTGCACAGGGTAATTAGTGACAGTAAATATGTATATAACATGTTCCTGAGAAACAATGTAACTTTTCAATGTAACATTTCAGTTTACCATTTCAGCGTAGCTACAAAATGACCATTTCAATGTACAAGTTTATTGTAACTTTTTCAACGGGGAATTCGATGTAACATGGCATTTTAAGATAACCACTCGATGTACAATTCAAAGTTTGGCGGTTTTACAAAAAAAAAAATCTTTTTTAAACAAAATTAATGGGTTTTTTTTCATGGAAGTCAAGAAATAGTCTTATGTTTTCTTCATCATCTGAACAATTAATGTAACTTTTTTCGTGGTTGAATGCTTCCTCGAAAATATCGAAAATAAAAACACATACAATCTTTTTACAGTATCTTAATTTCCATTGATTGTGACGTCACTATATAAGTACTGTGCTATCCCATGATTCCGTATCTTAAATATATATAATACACTACAATAACGAATTAACTTTGAAAACTGACATGGTTGCAATCCGACGGTAAAAAAGTTTCGTGTTACAAAATTATTCATCAAAAAACAATATGACGAGGAATTCTCCTGAGTTAAACGTAAGTGAACACAATGACCAATACCCAACATACGTTAACATATCTAAAAATTATCACCTTTTTGTAGAAAGCGACAACAAAATAAAAATGACATATCAAATAAATATGTAAAACCAGTTCAAAATTCCCCAGTTTTAGAGTTAGGCATTATCTCTCATTTTATCTACAAACAAAATATCCACCGTGATCTTAAAAATCTTTTACAAATTTCACTTAAGGGCATATGCAACATTATCTTAAACTGTATTGTCATTGTTTACACTGGAGTTGTTTCCCTTGTATATATTTTATTCTAATTAATATGTTTATTACATGTAGATTAGCAATTAAGTCAAAATCATCATCCTTTCAAAATGTATCGGATACAGCACTTTACATGGATGCATTTTGATTTAACGTGAAAGGCACGTCACGATTTATATCCTCAACATCAAGCTAGGTTCAACTGATTCCATTCTCACAAAAATATTTTTGGCATAAATAATGAACGTCTTTATCGTGCAATAACTATTTCTATCTGTGTGAAAATTTAATTTGTTATCGATATTTTTAGGAAACCTAGGCGCCATCCATTGTACATGTAACAATGTTTTTTCCTGCCAGTTGAGCAAATGAACACTAGCCCCAAGCAGCAAGAAATATTCATGTTCCCAGAGAAATCGTTTTCCAGGCTGATTTGATTTCCTGTGGAGTTTTATAATCATTATAAACGAAGTAATCCGGACACACTGTAAGGTTAACTTTGTCCATTTTGAACCTCTGATCATGCTGCGGTAACATTCCTAACTTATCTGCAACAATTCCTAGGTACGAATCGTCCACGGATAGCAATTTAACGTAAGGGAAGGCAATGACGAAACGGTTGGCTATTTCGGACGAGACGACAAATGCCCCACCCCTCAGATATGCTGGCCATAACACATGAGAGAAGTCATAGTTTGACATGCCCCATGGAGAACCGTCACGTCGGTCTACTTGTGGCTTTTCGATACGAAATCCTACATACGTTTTCTTAATCTGGTTTCTGTTAAATGTCCGCAGGTATGCCATGACGTTTGCGATACGGATGATGTGATCATCGTCAACAAAAAAGAGAAGGTCTGCTTGAGAACATTTTTCAACAGCCCAGTTGAATCCCATAATAGTTTTTAAAGTGTTATTTTTATACGCATCTATAAAATCTTCCTGTATGATATCTGAGGAGCTGGTCGCCTCTTTGTCTATGTCTGTCTGTGTCGATTGTTTATAAGCAATCAAAAACATAACCTTAACATTCATGATATTCGTCAGGTTGCCCCACGATTTTCTAATACTATCACGGATAACGACATGGTGGTTACTTGATTTTACAAGAATAAGTAAATTGAAACTATCCGATGTCGGTCCGAAATCACATTCCGGGGGACTGTGCAAGTATTTAAACGGATGTTGGTTTATCGGAATAACACCAATATCAATTCCTTCCTCAATCTTCCTGCGAACGTGTGTTCTCAGGTCGATGTGCATTGGATGTATGCTCCGCACGTACATAATTGGTTTGTGTTTTCCGGAAGTTGAAGAGTACGTCTTCGGTTGGTCAGTGCGGTTTCCGGTATTCCTTCCCCATCGTGTCGTATCTATCACTCTAGATTGTCTTGGAATAACTACGTCACCAGTCTTTGAAGAATTTCTTAGCTGTGACGATGTTGTGTAATATGAAACAGTAGCTTGATGACGTAACTCGTGGTTCCCACGTGAATTTTTTGTGACAAGAGTTGCATTGTGAACAGTTTTATAAGGACTGCCGATGTTTGAAGTATTGTCGTGTACGTAATTCACAGCTATGTCTTTCACTTTGGACATCTTTAAGACTTCCATAAGCACGTGTGGATTACACACAGTGTGTTCAATTTTTAAGGGACGAGATTTGCCAAAGTCCTTCGAGAAGGTAATAGCATCTCTCTGGAATCTAAATATACCGACTAATAACACGAACATAATCGCTAGCTTCGCAAGCGTCTGTTTGGAATTCATTTTCACACAGACCTATTCTTCAAAATGTCGAACAACTAATCCAACCACTTTTCCGCTAAGTCAACATTCAGTTGTCAATTAAAAAAATGATGCCGTTTGTTGAAACTCCATGAAATTACTACAAAAAGATACAGATTTGTCCATCCAATCCAATCCGGATTTGCTAAGAAGTTTTAAATATAAAAATACCCTTCCATAGAAATTCAAATTCCTCGATTATTTCTGTATTCCTTGATGTTGATAGTATGCCAATAAGTACAACTGTATATACTAAACCTGATATTTTAGTCCAAGGCCTATTTTAGGCAAAAATATCCGGGATAGTTTCAGAAACTCATCTTTAGTGAACATAAAAACTTGTTGTTGGACTATCGAAATGTATAAAATGTCTTGAAATTCCACAAAGTTTTCTTCTAACTGTTCATTAAGTGGGGGTTGCTTATAACCTCTGAGCGTTCGTACGGTTGGGAGAATTAGGTAATGAACTGTGTTTAGCCGGTATTGTTTTTGGTTATTATTCAGGTACAGATGTATATGGTCGAGCGACATCACAGTTCGGATCTATTATCATTACACTTAGAAACCATCCCAGTATTCCAATTATAAACCCAGGTCACCTGAGCGGCATTCAAGTTTTTGTGTGTGTCGATAGTCCTGTGACAATTGCGGTAGCCGATCACCGATTTAGAACAAAGACTCTAGATGTATACCAGATAAGTGTCGGTTAAGACAAGTGTTACACTGAAATATATATCCTAGATAAAATTCCTACCCTCCTGTGTATATAGAACATGCGCACATTATCATATCTTTGATAGTTACTGTAAAGACCATTTTTTCTTTGGTTCAATATTTTCTCGGTTTAGTCTAATGTAAAGTGTCATATAAACATCTTTGTGTGAGGGTGTGTGTGTGTGTGTGTGTGTGTGCGCGCGCGCGCGCGTGCGTGCGTATGTATGTTAAGTACAAAATGAACCTTCTTTGCTAACGTCATTTAAAATATATCTATTAGCTTGTGTGTTTCGACATTCCCCTCAGCGGAGGAAATGAAAACTCTTTAAAAATTATCGACAATTTCAGTAATATATATATATCTAGGCAAAACATACAAGATATCAAGAAAGATAAAATGCAACTGAATAGTAAAACGTACACAATCGCACACTGATCGTTATACATGTATGATTGTTTGATGTGTAATATATCTGTATGTAAATGTGCGTGCACACAGAGTTCCGAAACAATATTATTTATCAACATATAAGGTATTCCGAATCGGATATGCACGTTTCTGTCTATAACGGGTGATATGGTTATTGGTAATAACGTTTTAAAACTTTACAGAATCTTTAAAATAAATTTCGACAAATATTGATTCAGATAAAGGCATACACTAGTAAGATTGTACAAAAGACACACAAATGAAAAACGCCATTAGATACTTATTATAACATAGAGGAGAGCCAGACAATAAATTAAAGTAAATCATATATCGATTTCGTCCTTCTAGGACTTGTCAGTGGTGCTAAAGGCCTAAATTTCAAACCAAGGAGGCGACCGAGGAAAATTCAAAATGGTCGAAAGAAATGCCTTGAGTAAGACGAAGAGATACACTCGATCAAAAATTCAGTAAATTGATTTTTTTTCTATTGATAATATTCATGGATCATTCTTTATCCATTGATTAGAATCATTAACAGCTGCAAAACTGTCACCAATTTTTTTTTAAAATGCAGCAGTATAGCTTCCGAGGCATATTAACAAACTGATATTGTATAGAAGGTATGATATCTCATTTAGAGGGCCGTTATCAACAGTCGAGTATTTTCTAACTCTGAAGGCCATCGACATGATAACAGTCTATTCATATGTTTAAAATAAGCATACAGTGTGCCTACCAGATCGTGTATGTAGTTAAAATACCACAGTGGATGACGTCATCAAAATATTCAGATTGTAAATCGTGGTATGATTTAATTCGACGGTGATGAGTTACGGTATAGTAAATATTATTTTTACAGCAGCTGCATGTTTTTAAAACAAGTCTGTAATAGTGGTTACCGTGATGAGATTAAGTAGTTCTGGTTTCGCCTAAATTGCTCACAGGTAAAATACTTTTTCACTGTTGATAATATAGCATCCCTAACCCCTCAGAAATATAGGTTAATACCCGTACTGCTGACAATACTGACATCCCTAACCCCTCAGAAATATAGGTCAACACACTGCTGACAATACTGGCATCCTGAACCCCTCACAAATATAGGTCAACACACTGCTGACAATACTGGCATCCCGAACCCCTCAGAAACATAGATTAACACACTTACTGCTGACAATACTAGCATCCCGAACCCCTCAGAAACAAAGGTTAACACACTAACTGCTGGCAATACTGACATCCCGAACCCCTCAGAAATATAGATTAACACCCGTACTGCTGACAATACTGGCATCCCGAACCCCTCAGAAACATTAACACCTCCCCTAGTTTAACCAAGATGAAGTCTTTTGAAATATAGCTTAAAAAATACCAGAGAATGAAAGAATTGTCAACATAACCTGATCACGCATTCAAGCCGTGTTAGAGAAAATATGGACTTAAAAACAATAATTTAAGCACATGCTAGGGTATTGGGGTATGCTAATGATATGCTACATTGTACATTTAAAATACTGCAGGCAAAGTTCCATATTTTTCACGTCGATTTATATCGCTTAAAAGTCAAGAAGAAATAAGAAACTTACTTATGAGTTGTATTGCTCTTGAATCCAACAGAATTCTGCTCACCATGTTCGACTTTTTTCGCTCACAGCTGTATTTCTTTATCTTTTCAACTATACAGTATTGTGCTCTTTGCAACAATCTACCATGTTTGGCCAGCTGTCTGTTTTGGCGATATGATTGTCAGATTGTTTTTTTTTTAATCTGCAGAATACAATGATATAACGTCACTTCCGGTTGTGTAATTGAAAAAAATGTCATTGGCTCAGTTCTGAGATTAACTGATACAGCAGATTAAATCATACCTCTCTTTGATAAATATTTTGAGGTCATTTTGGGAAGAAAGATATTGTATAACGAATACAGGCCACTAAAACAGAAAACAATACAAAATTATATCATCGTGTTTACAAAACTGCAAAAAAGAATAAATAAATAAAAACAAACTTCAGATGACAAAGGAGTGATTATTTGGATAAAATAATGATTGTTAAAACAATGCCATACCTTAACACTTAGGTTCATGAAATATTTTCCAAGTTTCATAGTCCGTCAAGAGGCCAAGGGGAGTTAACTCTAACTGCAAAACTAAATTACTACCGGACCGGTTTTTAAAACTCATATACATATCCGTGGGCCATCCATTTATTTTCTGATAATTGTGTTGGTGTTTATTATAAACATAAAATATTATATACACCTGCTACCTGAAGATTTTTACATACAGGTATCTAGTTGTAGATTGCATTGATTACAGAACAATGCTTATACTAGATACCAATTGTCTAATTACACTTTAAAGGTCCGGGCCTGAATATCCATAGTTCGATAAAAATGATCAGTTGTGTTAACCTTACATTATCATGCTGTTTACGGACGAGTGATCATTCACATGGAGAGCGTATCGATCTGTCCATATAAGTATTCGTATATATATATTATCTACATATTTATTAAGTACTGATAATAATTAAGTGGTGAAAAGCGAATCCCAACACGTTTAGTTATTTGACTTTGCATACAAATTTCTCACCGGTCACGTAAACTGAAACGAAATACTTGATTCCTCACCCTGTACCCCATATCCCTCACTCTGTACCCCTCACCCTGTACCCCTCACCCTGTACCCCTTACCGTGTACCCCTTACCATGTACCCCTTACCATGTGCCCCTTACCCCTCACCCTGTACTCCTTACCATGTGCCCCTTACCATATACCCCTTATCATGTACCCATTACCTTGTACGCCTTACCCTGTACCCCTTACCAGGTACACATTACCATGTGTCCTTTGCTATGTACCACTTATATCTCACCCTGTACCCCTTACCATGTACCCCTTACCATGTGCCCCTTACTATATACCCCTTACCCTGTACCCCTCACCCTGTACCCCTTACCGTGTACCGCTTACCATGTACCCCTTACTATATACCCCTTACTCCTCACCCTGTACCCCCTTACCGTGCACCCCTCACCCTGTACCCTTTTCATGTATCCCTTACTATATACCCCTTACTATATAACCCTTACCCCTCACCCTGTACCCGTACCATGTACCCATTACCATGTGTCCCTTACCATGTACCCATTACCCTGTACCCGTACCATGTACCCATTACCATGTATCCCTTACCATGTACCCATTACCCTGTACCCGTACCATGTACCCATTACCATGTGTCCCTTACCATGTACCCATTACCCTGTACCCGTACCATGTACCCATTACCATGTGTCCCTTACCATGTACCCATTACCCTGTACCCGTACCATGTACCCATTACCATGTGTCCCTTACCATGTACCAATTACCCTGTACTCGTACCATGTACCCATTACCATATGTCCCTTACCATGTACCCATTACCCTGTACCCGTACCATGTACCCATTACCATGTGTCCCTTACCATGTACCCATTACCCTGTACCCGTACCATATACCCATTACCATGTGTCCCTTACCATGTACCCATTATCCTGTACCCTTTACCTCGTAGTTCTTACTTATACCCTTCAGCTTCATCTACCAATACAGCTTCCTGCATGACAAATATAAAAATGAACATATAGATTAAACTCGACTTAGATTTAACATTATACAGTGCAGTATTGCAACAATGCATTTTTGTCGTGAGAAGACTTACTAATTTAATTTGCTGCTTGATGGTACACAAGGAGCCGATTGATCTGAGGAGATGTGCAGCTACTAGTACATTATCAGTTTCTTCAATTCTCCAGACAAACAAAATATATAATCCTTAACTATTAGGTATCAGCCGAGTATAGTCCGTAACTGTTATTATGTATACACATAGTAGCTGTATGTAAACCATTAAAAGATGGTCAAAGGGGAGGTAACTTCGATAACTGTATTACATGATTGCCTCCCTTGATTACTGTAACTCTCATGTGTTAGGAGTAGAATAAAAGAAGATAGTTGAAGAGGATGGTTGTTTTGTGTAAATTCCCTCTCACTACCCAGAGCCTAATTCCCGACACTATTATGTATCAGTGAAGTATACTCCGTGACTATTATGTAACAGCCGAGTATACTCCGTGACTATTATGTAACAGCCGAGTATACTCCGTGACTATTATGTAACAGCCGAGTATACTCCGTGACTATTATGTAACAGTGAAGTATACTCCGTGACTATTATGTATCAGTGAAGTATACTCCGTGACTATTATGTATCAGTGAAGTATACTCCGTGACTATTATGTATCAGTGAAGTATACTCCGTGACTATTATGTATCAGTGAAGTATACTCCGTGACTATTATGTATCAGTGAAGTATACTCCGTGACTATTATGTATCAGCCGAGTATACTCCGTGACTATTATGTATCAGTGAAGTATACTCCGTGACTATTATGTATCAGTGAAGTATACTCCGTGACTATTATGTAGCAGCCGAGTATACTCCATGACTATTATGTATACTCCGTGACTATTATGTATCAGCCAAGTATACTCCATTATACTCTATTATGTATCAAAGTATCAATTCGTGGATGATTTTGCTAATTTCGAATGCAGATGTTCGCACGGAAACATAGAGCCATTATCTTCTCATTCAATTACGGTTTTGGCCCTTTTATCAAAATAAACTGATCACATGCCAGGAACAAATATTAAGAACATAGCAGCCTAATATAATGATTCCTGTATTTTGGAAGAAGTCGCTTAAAGTTTTTAACACATTTGACCTCTGTGACCTTGAATATGGGTCTAGGTAATTTCTTTTTGCAAACTTTGTTGGGCTTCATCAAAGGAATCTTCCAGCCATATATAATGATTCTAGGCCTTCTGGTATTTTGGAAGAAGTCGTTTAAAAGGTTTTAACACATTTGACCTCTGTGACCTTCAATATGGGTCAAGGTTATTATTTTTTTTTACGCAAACTTCGTTGGGCTTCATCAAAGGAACCTTCCAACCAAATATAATGATTCTAGGTCTTCCGGTAATTTGGAAGAAGTCGTTTAAAAGGTTTTAACACATTTGACCTCTGTGACATTCAATGTGGGTCAAGGTCATTTCTTTTTGCAAATTTTGTTGGGCTTCAAAGGAAGTTTGAAGCTATATGTAATGATTCTATGCTTTCCGGTAATTTGGAAGAAGTCGTTTAAAAGGTTTTTACACATTTGACCTTTGTGACCTTGAATATGGGTCAAGGTCATTTCTTTTTGCAAACTTTGTTGGGCTTCATCAAAGGAACTTTGAAGCCATATGTAATTATTCTATGCCTTCCGGTATTTTGGAAGAAGTTGTTTAAAAGGTTTTAACACATTTGACCTTTGTGACCTTGAATATGGGTCAAGGTTTTGTTGTTTTTTTTGCAAACTTTGTTGGGCTTCATCAAAGGAACCTTCCAGCCATATATAATGATTCTAGGCCTTCCGGTAATTTGGAAGAAGTCGTTTAAATGTTTTAACACATTTGACCTCTGTGACATTCAATGTGGGTCAAGGTCATTTCTTTTTGCAAACTTTATTGGGCTTCATCAAAGGAACCTTCCCGCTAAAAATAGTATCATCATATATTCTTATTTTGATATAATGAAACCAATGCCAGCATAAATGTGTTAATATACGTATATAAGTCTGAAGATAACATTTATGAGAACTAGTTACCATTGCAAACGTTGTCTGAACACCTGGTCGTAATTATCCTACTTCATCTTTTTTAAGTGTCTCCGTGTGAATCTGTCTTTTGTTCATTTTTACTCAAGCTTCATCGCATCTAATTTGAATTAAAATTCTGTTTAAATCTTGGTAATTTCTTCGTTGTTTTTGTGCATACTTTCATTCTACGCACGCGCAACACAACTGTTAAAAGCCTGCGCTTTGTATATGATGATCAACAATACTTGCTTTGTTTCATGGACAGGCGGGTTACATATAACAAATGTTTTCTTTTTTTTTTCTCGTTTCGTGTCTTCATAAATTTATTTCATGAAATTTATTTGAATTAGGTCTTTTTAGTTTTTACGAACAGTAGGATATTTGTCCCTTCTCCCTCTGGTGTGTTCAGATCAGTGTACAAAGTAACAAGGATCTTTATGTATTTCAAGTTAACAGCCGATTGGGTATTATCTCAAGATTCTACAAGATTTCATACAGAAAACTAATTAGTAATTGAGCTCCTCAATACAAAATCATTCTTAATGGACCCACAAACTTACTGTTAGTATGTGATCATTCTCCTATGCGAGTTTTCACCAAGTTCAGAACAATTCCTCATCAACAACTGCATGGTCTTCATGTCAAATGACCGCAATCATTTAGTTAATGAAAAAAACAACATTAAGCACATTTATTTTGGGAATTTTATTTTCTACAACATCAACATATTCCAGATCATAGCACAGAAACATTATAACATTTATAAATAAATAAATATCAATACTGCAGAATCATTAATTTCCCTGGGAGTTTATTTTCAGTGACAGTGAATGTGTAGTTACTCTTAATCCACGAATTTGTATGTCCACGAAATAGGAAATATATGCAAATTGACATGGAATTTAGTACCTTGTTGATTTCGTGAGAATTATTCATCCACAAAACCAAGTGCCGATGAGAATGCATTGTTTCATAAAACCAGGAAATTTTAGTCCCAAGAAAATACACAATTTTACTGTATTCAACAAACGAATGTACTCCAAACATTCCATATAACCATCCAGTACATAGAGATAACTGGTATCACTGAAGTTAATACAACAATGTAACTTTTTGTCTGGCATATTTTCCAAAACAGAGCTATATATACACAAACATATTATTTTATATGGTCCAACTTATGTCTCTGCTACAATAATATTGCACAATCCCCACATACCACCCCTACTAAAATGTAGGGAGATTCAGCATCTACACAAAGCACCAGCCTTTTCCAATCGAGATGCAATTTGCCCTGGAAAATTTCCCAAGGACATTTCTCTTACTTGATAGCATTAAGGTAAAATAACCTGTCTAACCAGAGAACCACTATCTTTTCTTATCAAGATGTCTTTAGTCCAGGACAAATGTTTGTCTAAGGATTGTACAAAAGACACGCAAGTGAATAGCACCTTTTGATAATTAAGTGTTAGATACAGTAGAGCCGAATAATGAATTAAACTACATCATACAGCTGTTTCATCCTTCTAGGATTTGTCTAGGACTGTCAGTGACTGAAGAAAATCCAAAGTGATCCAAACAAATGTCTAAATCTAGATGGGCAGGTGCACTAGCCCCGTAATGCAATAAATTAAGTATTTGTCATACAGCATGTCAACAATGACAAGAATGTGAATACTCATTGCATTTCTTGTTTGAAAACATACAAGTAAAAATTTTGTCTACAAAGTCCCACAATCTCATTTTCATTAAAAAAAAACCCCCAAAATTCCCCTCATAGGTACAATGGTGATAATACTCAGTACTATAAACATCAACAACCAGAGCTTAATAGTACAGTAACTTTCACGGTCAGAATTGGGACATATTATATTTTCTAACAATTTTAAAATTTTGAGATCTAAAAAATTGAATATAAAAGGACATCTCATAAACATGCATCTCATTAGTAGACCAATTAAATGTTCGCTGTCAATTGAATGTACCATAAAAATAACCCATCCACTCAAAAATAAGTGACTAAACGGTATAGTCCAGTTTATCTTTGTTCACAATCGTTGTAAAAAATAACCTGTATACCTTTTCACAATGCTGTAAAACAAATATGTAAATATCATTCCATTCCTGAAGATCAGATCAATAGCCAAACTCTTCCATTCCACAATACATATGACACGATCAATGATACACACAGTTATTTCTATTCAAAATATATGTGAAGAGAGAATAATTTTATTTCCAAAAATACACAATATCTTCCCTCCCCCCAAAATGTCCACAACCTCCATTTGCAAGGTTTTTTCTGGGAGACCCCAATCCCAATTCGATTATTTCAAAAATAGGCAAATTTCCCAAATATATAGTATATTTGATAAAGAGGCTGTCTCCCTGGGGAACACCCTAATTTGTATAATACTGCTTTTAGTTGAAGTTGTTCTAGATCTATCACTCATATAGAACACTTTTGCTTGATGCTGATCGATCTCTTGTCCTCCTGCACCAGGTGCTAGCACCCTTTGTCATTACAACTTCACACCACTTTCCACAACAATGTATATATGGATTTTTCACCTGACAAATAATCAACAAACAATATCAAAGACCAACTGTTGAAAACAGAATCATATATGAACATTTTTCTTTTGACCAGTTGGCATTTATATAACTATAACTGTCAAATGAAGCGGTGTCATTCTTCTCTTCATTATACAATGATCTTGCTGAGATCTGGTCGAAACACATCAAGCTGATTTTAAATTATCGACATGAGCCAACTGAAGGCATTTCTATGAAACTGTTGACAGATGGACCATTGGTTTGGGGCGAGTCAAACACATAAAACAACACTAGACTCCAGTAAGTATCATCAATATGAAAATACTCATGATTCACTAGTTAAAATTACTGATGATATGTGTTGTGAAGAATGTTTTGGTGAAAATATTGTTTTACGATAAAGAAACGAATTAAACATGAAGATACAAGCACGTCTAGATAAGAAATAATGCAAAGAAAGCAGGTCCTAACCCCGTCCTAAGCCAATCTATGATATTAAAGTTTAAAATGAACATCTCTTTATGTTATGAAAGAATTCAATCATCAAAAACTAGGATGTAAATGAGATGAAGGATGAAGACATGAATTTCTGGATTGTCCCATCCAACTGTTTGAAAGGGTTGTATGTAGCTGAAATTTACTGAAATGTCCATGGAGAAGGATTAGAGGGGGCTGATGGATGAGGGGAAAAGAAAGGGGATGATGGATAAGGGGAATTTGAGGGAGTTGAAAGGGGAATAAAAAAGGATGGAGGGATGAGGGGAAGTTGTAGGGGTAGACAGATGAGGGGAATAAGAAGTTAAGGGATGAGGGGAAATTTGAGGGGTTGATGAATGAGGGGAAATTGAAGGGGTTGATGGAGGAGGGGAAATTGAAGGGCTTGATGGACGAGGGGAAATTGAAGGGCTTGATGGAGGAGGGGAATAAGAAAGGATTAAGGGATCAGGGGAAATTGGAGGGGTTGATGGAATAAAGAGAATTAAAAAAGGGTTGATGGAAAATAGTAATTATAGTGGGTTGATGGATGAGGGGAATAAGAAAGGGTGGAGGGATGAGGGGAAACTGAAGGGGTTGATTGATGAAAGGAAATTGGAGGAGTTGATGGATGAGGGGAATAAGAAAGGGTGGAGGGATGAGGGGAAACTGAAGGGGTTGATTGATGAAAGGAAATTGGAGGAGTTGATGGATGAGTGGAATAAGAGGGAGCAGATAATTTATAGAACACAAAAATGTTGGACAATTAAATATATCACAGCCTTCAAAACCGTAAAACATTTCATATTTTGCATTTTAACAAAGAACAATTTAAATATTACCATACAATATATGCGTCATGACATCAACCAATAACACAAAAAATGTGGTGGGTATTTGAAGAGTATACTCTCAGATTGAATCATGTCAAGTTTGTCTTTTAATCCAGCTCGAATACAATTAAGAAAAGATGTTCAGCTGTCCGAGACTCCTTCTTTGAGAAATTGACACACAACTCCTATAGCTAATTTTAGCAAAGGAACAAAAAAAAACCTATTTTTCATGTTAAGGGGATAACATTAATAATTAACCAATGGAAATGCTTGTTTCAAACCAGATAAACGATTACCTTGACAACAATGGAATGCACAGTTCTTCATAAAATGATATATACAATATACACAACTAATGAAAAAAAAAGTTCTCCCACTCTTTGTAGGGATGATAGGTGAACTTAAAACACCAGATATCTTACTTCAAACAGTACCAAAGTACAAAATGGCTGCTCATAGATTTTACAATAAAAAACTCCCCACGGTATTTAACTATTTGTTGTTGATATACCACACCTCTAAGTTATATCGCTCAATTATTTCAAATTAAACTTGAATATGTTTCAAAATCTGCCAAAATTTTATGTCTTACCACATGTCGTATGGAAACTTTCCCTTGTCTATAGCTTTTATTCAACACACAATGCTCATGTCAACTTAAATACAATAAACATGTCTGTACAAGTACTGATGTCTTCTTCATAGACAAATCAAACACTTGATGAACTAATCTTCACCACTTTGACAAGACAGCACGTCTTTTTTGAATCAGTATCTAAAATAATCAATCCGTATTTCAAATATCACTTTTTTTTCTTCGAAATTCGCCTAAAAGTGACAGATAAAGCACAGTTTAATTAATCGATTGAAATTCCAAATCCTTCTGAATGAATCAAGATCAAAGAAATAAGTCTATAACAAAAAAGAATAATTTACAAATTCCCCTACTTCTATGTAAAGTAGAATCTTTTGAGAGGCTATGACAATACTTTGGAATGGGATTTCATAATGGAACAGGACGGATTGACATGTGGTTAACAGTTAAAGCTGCACTTTCTACCCATAAAATGGCAGAAGCATAAATTAACTCAGATTTTAGATTTTTTTTTTTCTTGTTTTGTTCTTTTTTTGTTTTTTTTTTTTAAAGCATTCTTCATTTAGATTATACAACACAAGAAATCTACAACAATACACTAATACTCCTGAAACATCAAAAGCTTATCTCTGATGAGAGTGGCCTAGAAATATCATCATACTAAATGATATTGGATCAATTTTTAAGAAATTCTGGCGATTACATGACATAAGGTCACTCATCAAGATTTTGGCATAAAAAAACTTATCTTTGATTCAACAAACTGTACAGGCGTGTTAACAAACATCAGCAATTAGTGAGGGGAAATCGTTTAAAACCACTAATAGATTAACAGCTTTTCAATGAAGTTAATTAATGACAACACCAACAGCTGTGTGTTCAATATTTCTAGAAAGTGAAGGCATTCTCTGAGGCAGTGATATTTTCTTTCTTAGTAACTTTTAACATATAACACCTCACTTACCTCAAATTTACATAAAAATGGACATTATTGGCCATAGGAATTTTCATGCTGCATAAATATGAATATTAAATACAAGAATGTGTTAAGGTACAGATGATCAATTATGAAAAATTATATTGACAATCATATTTGCTAATATCAAACGCTTTGAAAATCAGTTGCATTTGTCCTATCATCCAATCAATACCATAAAAACTAATCATTGCAAAAATTTCAAGCATCATTGATTAAGTAGAATCCGATTATATGAACTTGTTTTCTTTTATGAGAAAGGAAGTTACTTTGTTAAAATACTTTGTGCTTTGATTGGATGACTGGGTGAACTTTGACCTAAAGCATGATTCACACGCTCATAGAAATTAGAATGTGCAACAAGTAGTTCACTTTTGTGTTTGAAATAATCTGATTTAGTTTTTTTGAATTTTTTTTTTTAAAAAAGATAAATTTATTTCTAGTATGTAAAATAAAAAAAATTATCTCCAGTTATGATTAATTATGAGTTTAAGTAACTCAATGTATTTCTTACATTTTTCAGTTGTGCAAATCAATTAGTGGCATGTCGCTACAGGTCACTTATCATTATAACCCAATTATGATCATTCTGTCATTAATATATTTGATAAAATATAGTTTTAAAATATTTTCTAAATCTAAGTTCTCCTCACATACTCAATATGCATTTTTCACCAGTAAAAAAAAATATGTATATAAATATATTTTTATTTATCAATAAAATCTGAGGAGAGTTTTGGAAATTAATACCCAATCATATGACTTATTTATTTTCAAATATACATCAGAAAGTGAATTTAAATAACTTGTCATATGTAGCAATTTTCAGAATACAATACACATTTCGACTACAGATAAATATAACTGAGCTTTTAAAAAATCTGTACTTTAAAACCCAGAAATGATGCAGTACAATACAAGGACAGACGCAAAATCATTAACACAGTGTTTTATCTAAAGTCTTGTAAACTGAAGAGGCAAAGGAATGGCCAGAAATATGTGAACTACTTCATTCCAAACTTCTGCCCTTCACTGATAGTCATTCAGCCATTGTTACAACTCCTCTCACACAGGAAGAGCATCTTTAGGTTTACATTATAACCTACAACAATGACACTTTGTGTCTTCTTAGTCAGATAAAGTCCTCACGGCAATGTCCAGGCAAAATTTATTTACAACACCAGGACACTGAAATAATGTCAATTCAAGCCATCAAATATTTATGCCATGACAATATTTAGTTAAAATGACACTTCTTCACAGCAACACATCTTCACAACTGATTTAAGTCATAAATTGCAAACACTTTGACAATATTTAGTCAACATCACACATCTTCATAGCTGTAGTCGAAAACTATATATACAGACACTGTGACAATATTTAGTTCATTTCACATCTTTCTAGTCGCTTTGGGCCCAAACTGCAGACACTGACAATATTTAGATGAAAGTTCACATGTTTACAGTTGATTCCATCAGACAGGACAATCATACTTTGTTGAAGTTTTGAATCAGATCTGTCCACAACAGACCATTGGACTCAAAAACATACTTAAAACTGCAACAGAAGATAAAAGACATGAAATTTCATATTTAACACATCGCTATCTCATCAACAGGTAAGCATACTGTATATATAAACACCTAATGTTCTACAAATGTTCTGTATATTGTCCATTTTAATAAGTAAAGAATGAATAATCTTATTTTGTAACAAGACATGTATGAGAAACTCTGAGGGAAAGTCATTCATGATGAAAAACTCCAATGGAAAGTCATTAATGGAGAGAAACTGAGAGGGAAAGCAATTAATAAAGGTTTAGCAAATATGATATTTTTGCCATTCAATTCAAAGTCATTTTTGCAATATATCAAAGGTTTGTGTCAACAATCCAGAAATTGGCAAGTGATTTTGACAATATATCAAAGATTTGTGTCAACAATCCAGAAATTGGCAAGTGATTTTGACAATATATCAAAGATTTGTGTCAACAATCCAGAAATTGGCAAGTGATTTTGACAATATATCAAAGGTTTGTGTCGACAATCCAGAAATTGGCAAGTGATTTTGACAATATATCAAAGGTTTGTGTCAACAATCCAGAAATTGGCAAGTGATTTTGACAATATATCAAAGGTTTGTGTCAACAATCCAGAAATTGGCAAGTGATTTTGACAATATATCAAAGGTTTGTGTCAACAATCCAGAAATTGGCAAGTGATTTTGACAATATATCAAAGGTTTGTGTCAACAATCCAGAAATTGGCAAGTGATTTTGACAATATATCAAAGGTTTGTGTCAACAATCCAGAAATTGGCAAGTGATTTTGACGATCTTAAAATCAAAAGACTTTGGCGAATACTTTCTTAATGCTTTAGAATGTTTAATTTGCATAGAATACTTAAAAAATTATGGCACATTTACCGAGATATTAATAAATGTGTAATGTATATATTCAGATTAACTGGGTGCTTTACTTCATTCTGTTGTGGCCGTGATATCTCTTCTTTAGCTTTTAAAGTTACTGTTAAGCCTTTTATTTTTTGTGGGGGTTTATTTTGGCTGATTTCTTGGGTAAACTTAATCAATAAATTTATGCATCAATAAAATTATAAACAATTTAGAATATACATTATCTGAGCAATGGTGGATTTCATTAGCACTATTTCCCCATAAAATAACATCTGAACAAAACGTGTTTTTATAGAAAACAACAGTATCTGAGCCCAAAACCTATCATTTTACAGTACGAAACAGGCTGATAAGAATAGTAGCAAATTTCTCTTACAGAAACTTGAAACAATTTTTACTAAACTTTCCTAAAATTCAACCTTATTAAACTGAAAAATATGGAACATTTATCATGTTTGTATGGAATTTAACGGATAGAAGGAAATTTCCTATTCTTTGAAATAATGCTGTACTCAATAAGCATGCATACCTGTCAAAGTCATTCCTTTTTGGGCTTTTTCTTGTGATGACGTCATCAGCTTCTGGCAGGTTGTAAAAGTCCTCATCCTGCATTTTACTTATAATCAACTTGTCAAACTTCAGAGACACTGAAGATATAATAAAAAGTCCTATTTAATTTGTGGGATGTGATGCCTATATTTCACATAAAATCCTGCTTCTGCAAAACAGTTTCAAATACATGTGTCTGTCATTTAATCAATTACATATTGTAATGTAAAATTTTTGGGTCCAACTTTAACTTTCAAAGCGATCAGAAATAGCACTTTCTGGAATTATCTAAAGGTATTTCTGGTGTTACGACTAGAGTCTTTCTTTGTAAAAATTTGTTATGTTCAAATTTGTTACACATTTACAAGGTAACCTTATGATAAAAAAGAGCCATACCAAGGGATTTAAATTTATCATAAAAATTCATTTAAAGTCTAATCATTTTGGGAAAGTTTTACTGAAGTAGGAGCAGTTAATATACCATAACACAGAATGGAATATTTTAACAGTAAAGACAAAAATCTTTCTATTTCTTTCTTTCTCAACATTCTCACAAAACTTTAGCTCAATGGCACCAGTTGAACTTGAGAAGGGTTATAAAATGTGTTTTTCTATGATGGTGGCCACGGCGACCATATTGGATTTTGGACAGACCTGAACAATAACAACAGGTCAGGACCATCTCAGGATCATTTCGAGCAAGATTCAGCTGAAACCCACAGGTAGAAGTTAAGAAGTTCAAAATGGGTGTTGTTCAAGGAAACCATAATTGCACAACAATGACAGAAAATGGTTGCCATGAGTGCCATATACAACTTTTGATAAGGCCAAAAAGTAACACTTTGTCAGCTTTCTTTCAACATCCAAAACAATTCTTAGCTCAACTGCACAAGGATGCAGGGCAATTTGAATTGCCCAACATCTGACTACAGTTGACTTATAAAGAGATATGATATACTGACCTTCATCCAATGATCCTAGCTTCTGTGCAGTGTCAAACAAATGTTTTGGGCTCCAGATTTGTGGAATTCGTGGGTGTTGACAACTGACATTCTCTGGCATGAGGATGCCAAGATTTTCCAATAAGATACAAAACAGCTTGTTCCTAAGGAAACTAATCTGTTCTTCAGTGAAAGACACAAGTGGAATAGATTTGTTGCATACTGAAAAAAAAAAAAAAAAAAGATTCTGGATATTAAAATGGAACAGCTTGAAAGATTCAATAAGTGTATGCAAATATTAACAAAAAGTTATGATAACAAGCTAGAACGGGGAGGGTAACAATATCTCAGTTGGCAAAGTGTTGGCCTAGGCAACCTCATGCGAAAATTTGAAATAGGATCAGATTGTGTTTCTCAGCACAACAAAGACCAGTCTATCCTGTTGTGGTCTGGTTCTTCTTTAATACAATTTACTCAAATTAGTCTGAATGGAATGACATGTCTCCCATACTACAAGGTCACACCACCCCAAATATGACCTTGGCTGTCCTTATGATGATAAACCCATCAAACAAGCCAAGACAGATGGTTTGTATACTTACAAATGTGGAATTTGGTTATAGGCTCTTGGGTTGCCTCTTCAGGAAGATAGTCATGATCTGCAAAAAAGGACACTGTGCTATCACTATCAGACATCAACTGAGACAAACACTGAAATTACATTGCTGTGTGGTCTCATGAATTCTAGTAAGTAACTTACATACAAGAATTGCACAAAAGACATACTTACTTCTAAATACATATTTAGAATAGAGTCGAGCAAAATAAAGAATAAAACTCTGCCATACAGCTATTTTGTCCTTCTTGAACTCATCAGTGATGCTACGGGATTGAAACAAATGTCAAATTCAAGATAGGGGGGTGCACTGTGCCTCATAATTTGATACATTTCTTAGTTTTTCATCTATCTGATTATTTCATAAGAATGTGAATTACAAGTGGATTTTCTGAACCATGGAGCTATCTAAATGAATAATTACATGTCTTTATGAAACAGTCAGCCCCCGTTTACAACAAAGTTCTGAAGTAGGACATTAAAACTGTACTGTGTAAGGCATGTGCTAATTGTATGCACACTTTGTGAGACACTTGTCTTCATTGTGGTGATGATGTGACAGTTTCAGTTCAACAGTTAAAGGGCCAATGTTGAAAGTTTTCAAATGTAGGTCAAAGGTCACGATAAAGGTTATATGGTAAAAAATTTGGTACGACCAGAAGAGATTTGTCACAAGGAACTAACAAGCTCACCTCTTCCAGTGTAATATTTATGAACAAGGTTGAAGTTGACAACAGACAAACTTACGGACAGCACAAAAACACTATGCCCCTGATCTTTTGATCCAGGCATATAAAACATAGCCTTTGTTATTGTGATTCTGTTGTTTGGACTATCACACCAACATCACAACATAAAAGCATATGTAGTCGTGTCATTCCATCAAATTTGTCAACAACATTGTCACAAAGGTGATCAAAACAATTATAAGCTGCCACAGAGATTTTTACGAGCATGGCTGCCCACATCATACATAAGGATTTTTCCTCATGGGAAACTAAACTGATATACCCTTAGTCACTGCACTTGTTGGCAAGTAAGCCAATGCCTTGTAAAAAGTTAATTGTTCATTAATGTTGATCAGAGGAAGAATCAGAAACCACTATATTGTTGTGGTTATGTCACTGTCCTGTTGTAACAGGCAAGATAGCAGCTGTAAGTCATGGTGCTAAAATATAGCCAACACAGGTTCTGTATTCAGGGTTTCATACCAGTAACTTGTAAGGAATACATAGCATGTGTTAACCCTGTGGATATCTGCTGTGGCACATATACATTTTATCCTGTATAAATGTAATATCATACCTAGATTTGCCCAACAATTTTACTAATAAATTTCCCCTACTGCTCATGAAACATGTAAATATGTGGGTGTTACAGTCGTAATTGCTTGCCTTTAACTTCACCATCTGGAATTTGATTCCCCTAACAGACATCAGGAGGTCACCTAATCTAACGGGTACTTCTCCCACAGTCAGACTCACCTGTGCCCCCTTATCATGAGATAACCTCCCAGCCAACAAAAAAGAATTGATATAAGATGAAATAACTTGTTTTGCAATTGTTGTGTGTTAGTTTATATGTAATGCTATCAGATGTCCATCCAAACTAGTTCTAAAGAAGTACTTCTGACCGAGAAACACATGAATTGACCTATGTCCTACATAGAGAACGTAAAATAATTTAACTGACCTGCATTACATGTGCGCCAGCTATTTATAATATACACAACAATAATACCCTAACTATCCAACGACTGTTAAGATTAAATAATGCCTACATCAGCTTCCTGTTGATGACTTGGGAGATTGAAATTCAAGGTAAGTTCATGAATCTAGTTGTCATACTTTATACTTATTACATTTTAATAGGAACAGCCACTCACTTTGTGACTTTATGAAACAGTCAGCCCCCATTTACAACAAAGTTCTGAAGTAGGACATTAAAACTGTACTGTGTAAGGCATGTGCTAATTGTATGCACACTTTGTGAGACACTTGTCTTCATTGTGGTGGTGATTTGACAGGTTCAGTTCGGTAGTTAAAGGGGCCAATGTTGAAATTTTCAATTTTTTTTGTGACATGGAGTGACAGCTTTTAGTTACAGCAGCCTATTTGCTAATTTCACTGCTTCTTTGAATTAAAAAAAAACAATAAGGAATGTTACTCACTCAGTTTAACATAAGCTGCCTCACAGAGAAGACCCTGAAGCCAGGATATTCCATTGCCTAGTCCCGAGTCCTGAAGTCTTTGAACACAGGTTGGAATCCAGTCCTTCTCTGAGTCATGTTTACGTTTCTTTGCACAACTGGTGATATCAGGCTAGATTTGATATTACAAAAAAGAAATTAATGTTTTTTATATTGACATTTCATCAAACATACATTGATCAAAGTGCTGAGGCGCCAACAGATGCTGTGTTGATAGAATTAAATAAAGATGGAAGCGATAACAGTATGCAAGCGCAGAAAACAGAAAGAACAGTAATGCATACACCAAATTATCACAGGAATGTGTAATCTGAACTTGTCAATCTTGAAATAATTACTAACATTACTAATTACTAACTTAATTAGCATATACTACATAACAAAATCTACACGTCAGGGAAAGAATTACTCTCTGAATTTAATTAAATATTACATTTAGAAAACTAAAACATACACCTCCAATTTTAAAACATGATTGAAAATTTGTTGCCCTTTTAATTATAATATAATCAACTAAGCAATAGTAAGTTCTTGAAAGAAATTATGCAGTTTCAAGCTAGTCTTGGTAATGAGTATAAATGTTCATAGCATCTAACAGGCCTCAATGGTCATCAGACTATAAAGACTTATGTATGCAAGAGGCCAAATAGGCCTAAAAAATTGTGCAACTGGTCGACAGTTTACAAAGAAAACATTGTTTGTTCATAAAAAACATTTTTTGCAAACTAGTATTCTTGGTATACACAAATGTCATTACTCCTGACCTAACGCTTGTTGAAAAAAAGATATTTTAAGACCCTGTGACCTTGAAATGGGAATAAGGTCATTCATTTTAACAAACTTGGTAGCCCTTCATCCCAGTGTGCTACATACAGGCCCAATATCAGCACCCTGGGCTTTTTGGTGACTGAGAAGAAATTGTTTAAAGATTTCAACACACTTGGCCCCTGTGACCTTAAAAAAGGGTCAAGGTAACTAATTTTAACCAAGTTGGTATCCCTTCCTGTCAGCAAATTACAGGCCCAATATCAGCACCCTGGGCCATTTAGTTATTGAGAAGCTTAAATAATTTGAATGGAAAGTTTACCATTCCGGTCAGATGACCCCTAAAAAATGTTTACATCTTTACATAACTTTTTGTAAAAACTGGTTTCAGGAGTTGCTGCTATAGAGCATGAATTTATATCAACCGGACCTTAGTTCTAAGCGGTTTTTCCTCACTTTGATCTGTAACAATTTTTGCAATATTCCAAAGGAATTCAGATCTAAGTGAACTTTTACAATTGAGAACTATCCTTACACTGGCAACTGACGTCTTGTCTATTGGCTGAAGCTTGCACTCGGGATAGGCAGCAAGAATCTTAGCCTTTTCTTCCTCTTCCATCCACTCACTGTCAATCAACTTGCATACAATCTGGAAGAAAACATATATAAAAAAAAAATAAGGCAGAGAAAAAAGCAGGTTGTGTAACACATGTCCAGCCCATGCAGCCTATTGCACTTTAAAACTGTGAAGTTGCTGCTAGAGCACTGATAATTGTTTTCTAAAAAGAGAAATTGTGAACTTGACCTTTACCCAACAACTTTGAAACTCAATATTGTCCAAGTGTCCAAGGTATTATGGGTGTTTGTAAGCGTGTGTGAGGTTTTATCAAAATTCCATAAGAAATGAAGTCATTTAGACATTGATATCAGATTAAAAGACAGCTGGAAAGAGAAGAAGGGTGAAACTGAAGTGCCCACCACCATCCAGTTTCAAACTCTGATGTAATGCAAATAAGAGACAGACTGACCGAGAAGAAAGAAACTTCAGTGCCCTTTAGTAAATGAAACAAGAGATCCCAGAGGGATTTTGGTGCCCACCATTGTTTGATCTATATTTGTTCTTTGAAAGTTGGAACTTTCCCATCTTTTCTATTCCCTTCTCTGTTTTTGCTCTCAATGATATGAAATTAGAATATTCATTTTCAAAAATGATAATCTTTACCTTCCAAATTCATGATGGTCCCCTCAAAGTTTTTTTTTTTTTTTGTGATCAGTCCTAAAATCAAATGTGCCCATGAAGAGACCAAAGGGAACATACATATTCGTTTACATTTCATCATTTTCGATCATTCCAAAAGTCAGACAGGTACAACATGGGACCATTTGAAATTTGAGAAAGATCTCTAAAGTATTTCTCAAGAAAGCGTGATAACAAACTTTCAAAGTCAAAATCCCAGATGGCCATCTGTAGGTCATTTTGTTTTTCTGATCAGATCAAATGGGCACAACTTGGGACCAAGAAGAACATTCATGTGGAATTCGAGAGAATTTCATCCAGTACTTTTCAAGAAATCTTGATAACAAGCTTTCAGTCAAAATCAAAATTTGATAGATCCTCCAGTACTTCTCGAGAAATAGTGATAACAAAAATTGTTTAGGGACAGACCACGGACGAAGAGTGATTTGAATAGCCCACCATCTGATGATGGTATGCTAAAAATCAACACTTTGCACAAGTTGTGAAGTTTTGATCTTTGGGCAGGGTCAGGGTAAGAGATAAAGCTATCCAATTCATTTTGAATCGACAGAACACGGCAGACATTCAAAATGTCATTTCTTAACAAAAAATTGACATTTCCTCACCAAATGCTTTAAAAAAACAATATCAGTGGTATGCTTACTGTTTGCATTTTTCCTATTTCATTAAAGTAATCAATTATGTTTTATCTGTTTTGTGACAATTGGTGATCATAGCTTACTTAAGTACAATATGGATAAGACAATGGGACCAAATGAAATATTGGACTTATTTGCTGCTTTAACTTAGCCATGTTTCTTTGAGCGGAAACATTGTGCATCGAAGACTGACTCTATTTTCATTGGTTGTTTACGGAATACCTGTCTCAAAGCATGGCATCACATTAATGAATAAGTAGTAAATAGAAAGTAATAAAACAAAAAGTAAAAAATCTCATACACAGAACTTAGTGAAACTGATACCCACAGTAATACACCCACTCTCATACACAGAACTTAGTGAAACTGATACCTACAGTAATACACCCACTCTCATACACAGAACTTAGTGAAACTGATACCCACAGTAATACACCCACTCTCATACACAGAACTTAGTGAAACTGATACCCACAGTAATACACCCACTCTCATACACAGAACTTAGTGAAAAAGATACCCACAGTAATACACCCACTCTCATACACAGAACTTAGTGAAACTGATACCTACAGTAATACACCCACTCTCATACACAGAACTAAGTGAAAAAGATACCCACAGTAATACACCCACTCTCATACACAGAACTTAGTGAAACTGATACCTACAGTAATACACCCACTCTCATACACAGAACTTAGTGAAACTGATACCTACAGTAATACACCCACTCTCATACACAGAACTTAGTGAAACTGATACCCACAGTAATACACCCACTCTCATACACAGAACTTAGTGAAACTGATGCCTACAGTAAAACACCCACTCTCATACACAGAACTTAGTGACACTGATACCTACAGTAATACACCCACTCTCATACAGAGAACTTAGTGAAACTGATACCTACAGTAATACACCCACTCTCATACACAGAACTTAGTGAAACTGATACCTACAGTAATACACCCACTCTCATACACAGAACTTAGTGAAATAGATGCCTACAGTAATACACCCACTCTCATACACAGAACTTAGTGAAACTGATGCCTACAGTAAAACACCCACTCTCATACACAGAACTTAGTGAAACTGATACCTACAGTAATACACCCACTTTCATACACAGAACTTAGTGAAACTGATACCTAAAGTCATACAAATATTGTAATCACAGTTATATCCTTAAGAGTAACAAGTCTTGTCAACAATATTTCAAAATAAAATTCAATAAATACATTCTCATGAACATTTCACATTGATAGAATATCGATAACACCGAGGCTGCAGCAACGTCAATGAAGCATTACTTTACATATACAGCACTGCAGACGATTTTACGAATTCAAAAAATAAATAATAGTCCTCAACTCTATAAGTCTGAATGGAGTCCTGGAACATCAGACAACAGGTTCAAGCCATGACAAAACTTCACAAAATCTTTTGATACCATCCCCTATAAAATATTTTCTGTCCTTGGTAAGTATTTTGGTAGAAATTTGAAAGGTTCTGCGAAGTTTGAATTTTACATATTACTAATAGTTGTTATTTTGCTTCCAATGCCCAATGGGCCTGCATCATTCGCTTGGTATTCAATGTTCATCAAAAACAGAATTGATGTTAATATCACAAACATATTGACATTTAAAGTAGGCACATTCAAGCAATTTTAAGCAATTTTCACAGCAAAAAGCTTCTTATACTCAACACTAAACAGCGATAGTTATTACCTTAATTAGAGGTTAATGCCATTTCATTTTTTCTAAAAGATGTTGGGCTTTGACCTAGAAACACTTTTCACCCAAATATCCTGATTCTTGGCCTTTTGGTTTACCAGAGGAAGTCTTTCATAGGTTTCAACAAATTTGATCCCTGTGACTCTCAATATATCATCCTAGGAACATAACAGACAACTACTAGGCTTTTGTGTCTTTTGGTTAGTCAGAAGAGGTCGTTCATATGTTTTAACATATTTGACCCCTGTGACCTTCAACAGAAGTCAAGATCATTTCTTTTAAAAACTAGATTGAGCTTCATTCTCGGAACATACCAGCCAAATATCATGCCTCTGGGTATTCTATTTTATGAGAGGAAGTCATTTAAATGTTTTAACAAATCTGACCCCTATGACCTTGAATATAGGTCAAGGTAATTTCTTTTCAGAAACTTTGTCTGACTTCATTCTAGGTCCATACAAGCCAAATATCAAAACATTTCATTCACTGGTTGTTCATAAGAAGTTGTTTAAAGGAAAAAGTTGATTCCAAATGACGACGGATGGATGCCGCGCCATGGGCTAGGTGAGTTAAAAATTACACCTTGGTCATAAAAACAATATTCAAGCATAACAACATATTACATTGCCTGACAGAGGAGACTAGACTTACCTGCTCTGTAGTCTTTTCCATGTCTAACTCCTTGAAGTGACGGAGGATATCTTCAACTACTTTAGACTTGCATTCTGCCTCCATGTACACCATAATGAGGATATCATCGTCTTCAGATGACCACTCCACTTTTACAGAAGCCTTTGAAGTTGTCATCTCCCTGAAATCATTAGTATTATAACCCCACTTAGTGTTTACAGTGCCATGAAAACAACTTCATCCCCCTTGAAACTTAATTGTTCTATTGTAATTTTGATTTTTCACTCTATCCTGGAAGAGAGAAAAAATAAAACCATACTAAATCACAACTATTACAGAAAAAAAAACAACAACAAGCTATACCATCCTTGATAATTCAGGGGTTACGAACACCTTCTCTGCACACATGGAACATTTCAAGTAAAATTTAAGGTTCAATGAGACACATTGGGTATAAGACAAATCAAATGAAGCTTGAGGTTGAATAACGGTTTTTTTATTCTGGCTTTAAAGTTGGGTGTCACTTTATAAGAAGGTATTTCATATCATTGTGAGAAATCAATATAATGGTACAAGTCCAGAGGGCTTATTATTATTGTCATGAAGAATGGAGATGGGTTTATTACAAGGCAAATGTATACCGTATTTCACCGCAAATAAGCCCCCTCCTGCAAATAAGCCCCCCCACCACTTTTTCCAATTTGCCAGGAATAGGGGTTTATTCACAATTAAGCCCCCCCCCCCCCCACCCCCCCATTGTTTTGAAAAAAAAAACAACATGTGCAACGATAAAGCAGTACTTACATTTAATTAACAGGTGTAATTATTAGGGCTTGTTTTTTAAGTGTTCACAAAGTGTCCCCTTATTTTTCATTTCAACTGGTGATAAGTAGCTAACGATCACAGCGACTGTGCCAGAGGGCCCCGCTCAAAACACGCTAAAACAACACAGTGTCGCTTTGAAAAATATTAACCGATCACCGAAATTCGGTAATTATATGGGAGACAATGCATCTCCACGGCCCTGTATCCCCATATGGATGCATTAATACATCCAATAGGATGACAGTGGTTAACCAGAACTGGTAAACGAAGGGAAGACTAAACGTCTTCACAACCCCGCATCCCCATACAGAACCATTAATACACCCGACAGGACAAGGTGGTTACGTGAGAAGAAAAAACGTGGAAACAGAATTCCAACAACGATAAACAAACGTAAGGAATGTTATCTACATTCCTGACCCCGTATACCCATAATGATGCATTAATAATCAGATAGGATAACGGTCGGTCAATGAAAACATGGGTGTGTTTGAAAACAAAAACATGTGGTCTTCACATAAAACCCACGATATACAAAGTTTACACGCTAAAAAAAGACTGACATCATCTAAAAGCACAATGAAAATAAAAAGGCATACTTATAGTCGATATAAAACAAATAGAATTGATAAAAACTCGCAAAAAGATCACAAAATAAATGAAAGTCGGCGGCACGTTGCCAAGAATGGCGCCCGAGAGAAACTGGAGAGCATGCGTGGGGAAGGGGAGATAACTCACATCAATTTCCGGGCTGGATGGGGGCCTAGAAGGGGGAATAGCCATATAGTTTTAGACACAGGTAAGTTAAAAGATTGAAGCAAACATAGCTACTCTTATTAACTACTGCTTCCTACACTTTCTATGCTTGTTGAGTTAGACTATTTTACATGCTGAGCTGAAACAGTCTTTTTATATCTTTTCAAATAACAAAAACTGGGCAACTATAATATAATAAGAGCCAAGACCCGGAAAATCATTCAGAAATTTCCTAGATATTTACACAGCCATAACCCTCCTGGTATAGCTTCACCAACTTCTAATGCAGTTTCAGTGGAAACCAGATGTAATGTATTCAGTTTGTTATGAGTAATAGAACATACATGTCAGGATTGTCGCATCCACTGCCATCAGGCTTGCTGAACATATTCACAGCACACTGGTAGGGGTCCTCTTCTGCTGTAGCTATGAACTTCCTGATGATGAATTCAATGAGATCATCTACCTCCTAAAAGGTAAGAAAATGCTAATGTCAATGAATAGAATCAGAGCGAGAGAGAAAAGTGGCAATATGGAACAGAAAATTTGTTCAACCGAAATATCACTGCTGAAAGATGCTTCAGCATTTTCTGTTAAAATGTCCCATTCTTATAATGATGTATAAAATTCAGCCTAAAAACAGCTATATATTTGGAGACGATAAAACTTGACACTTACATCTGATACAAAAATGTCTTGGTCGTTAATCTCCAAGAAGGTGTCAAGGATTGGTTTCTGCAGGAGAACATGTGGAGAGCCACACTGGCCAGCTACATGGTGCATCATGGTCAATACACAATTGTTAACCTCAACAGAATTGTTGAGGAAATGTTCCAGTAATAGGCCATACTTCTCCATAATGCCATATGTAGCAAAGCTAGAAAAATCAAAAGTTCACATTTACCATCCAGTGATATATGAAGTTATTTTCACAAATCAAAATTTTCTGTTAAATCATTCATGTTATATCTTAACAATTTGAAATTTTGCAATTTGAATGTTAAAGGACAACTAATACTCACATGTCTCTTTATTCGACCAATTAGATTTTTGAATCGTGATAATGTTATGAAAAAAGAGCCTCAATATCACTCCCCCCACCCCCACAAAAATAATACAATATATTGAATATAGGATACACAAGTGAATACCAACAGAATTATCCAAGTTTGGAAAATTCCAGAAAATTACTTATTTCAAACTTTCAGAATGATGTTTTTCAAATTTATTTTGACTATGTACAAAGACGAATTAGAAAAGGTCATTAAACTCTGCTCTTGAGATTTAAAATAACATGTACTTTTTGATATGGGAAAGCATGACAAAAGAGTTCTGACAAAGTCCAGAGTTAATCCAGCAATCCAGAAAGTACAGGAGAAGATGATTAGTGAGCACCAAATCCTCCAGGAATGACATTCCGAGTAACTCCACAATGCAGTGACGAATCATGTACAACAACAGATTAGGCAGATCTGTCATAGAAGCAAGTTTCTCTGTAAAGTGATAAGTACATATTGTCAGACTTGCCCTGTGATATGATTGTAGTAAAATCAGATTTTTCTGTAGGGACTCAATTGTCATAGCTTTTCAGAAAATTAATATTTCATGGGCATTTGATATCGTGGATGAATATACCCGTTAGCTCAAAAAATCTACTTAAACCAGGTGCTTTGTTTACCATTTTGTGGACAACTGTGGATAAGTATAGCTAAATATAGCTTATACCAGCTGCTTATTTTAACACTTCATGGACAAACGAATATGTGGATTAGAGTACCAGAGAGCGGATTAGAATACCAGAGATTGGATTAGAGTACCTGAGAGTGGATTAGAGTACCCGAGAGTGGATTAGAATACCAGAGATTGGATTAGAGTACCCGAGAGTGGATTACAGTACCCGAGAGTGGATTAGAGTACCGGAGATTGGATTAGAGTACCGGAGATTGGATTAGAGTACCCGAGAGTGGATTAGAGTACCAGAGATTGGATTAGAGTACCAGAGATTGGATTAGAGTACCGGAGAGTGGATTAGAGTACCAGAGATTGGATTAGAGTACCGGAGAGTGGATTTGAGTACCAGAGATTGGATTAGAGTACTCGAGAGTGGATTAGAGTAACCGAGAGCGGATTAGACTATCAGAGTGGATTAGAGTACCAGAGAGTGGATTAGAGTACCAGAGAGTGGATTAGAATACCCAAGAGTGAATTAGAGTACCGGAGAGTGGATTAGAGTACCAGAATGTGGATTACAGTACCCGAGAGTGGATTAGAGTACCCGAGAGTGGATTAGAATACCCAAGAGTGGATTAGAGTACCCGAGAGTGGATTCTCGATTACAGTACCCGAGAGTGGATTAGAGTACCCGAGAAATCAACGAAAACAAATCCTCAAACAAAAATTAATGATTTCACGTCACACAAATGTGAAAATGGTAAATATAAGTCATGAAAATTTCTTTTCAATCTAAAAAAATATGGAGCCATATTACATAAATGATAAAAATTAACGGTGAAAAAATTGGTGCAAATATCTGTAACGAGAGGTTTCAGAGGGATCTTCGTGCCCACCATTGTTTGATCTTTATTTGCTCTCTGAAAGCTGAATCTTTTCCCTTCTTTTCTGTTTTGCTCTAAATGATAAGAAATTTGAACATTCCTTTGCAGAAATAGCCATGATAATCTTTACCTGCCAAATGCAAGATGGCCACCTAGAAGCAATTTGGTTTTTTCTGATCTGTCCCAAAATCAAATAGTCATAAGAAGAGACCAAAGGGAACATACATATGAAATTTGAGAGAAATCCATTCAGTGCTTCTTAAGAAATATGAATAACAATGTTTACTAAGTGAAATCCAAGATGGCTGCCTGTCGGCCATTCTATTTTTCTGATCAGTCCCAAACTCCAACAGGCACAACTAGGAAAAAGGTGGCATCTATACATGAAATTCGAGATATATTTATGCCGTATTTCTCAATAAGTAGTGATAACTTTAGAAATCAAAATCCAAGATGGCCGACTGTTGGCCATTTCCTTTTTCTGATCAGTACCAAAACCAAACAGGCACAACTAGGTATCAAGGGAACTTACCCATAAAATTTGAGAAAACGAGACCTCTAGGCCTTAATGGTCATCTGACTATAAAGACCTATATCTAGCAAAAAAGGCTAAAACACATTGCTGGTCCATCAAGACATTTTCTGCTAACTTGAAATTACAAAACATGCAATACATAAATACCATTACTCCAAATGTATTGGGTGTTGAAAAAACAAGCTATAGGTCCTTACAGTTCCTTACACATTTCAACACATTTGACAGTTGTGACCTTGAAAGTTGGCACCCTTGGCCTTTTGGTTATTGAGAAGAAATAACTTAAACATTTTTACATATTTTGAAATCTGTGACCTTGAAAGTGAGTTAATGTTATTCATATTAACAAAGTTGGTAGCCCTACATCCTAGGCATGCTACAGGCCTAATATCATCATCCTTGGCCTTCTAGTTATTGAGAGGAAGTTGCTTACCCATTTCAACACATTTGACTCCTGTGACCTTGAAAAAAAAATCTTTCCAGTACCTCAAGTAGTTGCGATAACAAGAACTGTTTACAGATGACGGACCACAGACATAAGACAATTTGAACAGTCCACCATTTCATGATGATGGGCTCAAAACTAAAGTATGCTAAATTTAAAAAATAATTGATTTTCATGAGGATTTTATTTTCAATGATTTGGTAGATGATCTTAACACACAAATTCATTTGGCAAGTAACTACCCCTATCCATGAAGTGTCCATAAAAAAGTTGTATTTTATTTATTAAAAAATAAAAAAAAAACCTTGCAAATCGAGCCATGAAAAATATCAAATTTTGCAGTATATTCATTTCAAGGAACAAAGTGTGAGTAACTGCCAAATAAATCTGAAATGTTGATGTTATAGTAAAATTACAAAACTGACTGTGGAAATGATGGACGTATTCCTTCTCTTCTTCATCCTGATCTTCAGGGCTCTCTTGTTGCAGGTTATACAGGAATTCCAGAATTTCTCTCAGAGCACAGAGCGACAGCTTTAACCTGTGAAAAATGCAGTAAGTCTTTTGAGAAATCTAAAAATAAAATGATTCACAAGCGGTGTTTATCCTTAAACGTAGATCCCAAGGGTTTCCTATAAGTGTATTCAGAAGTAAAGTGAAATCTCATCATTAGGATGAACTCTGATATTGGAGGAAAGTGTCTGTCTGACTGAACAATGAGCATAACCAAGTCGACTTCCTTATGGCTATTTTCATCTATATTTTCACAGTCATTACATTAATAAGTAGCTTTTTATTACAACATAAAACACAGTAATTTCACAGAATAGCTAATATGACATTCAAGTGTTGTTGTACATGGCAGAATCTTAAACCTATTCCAGTATTAAGGTACTGTAAACCACTGTCGTGTGCTTCCATTACTTTGGTTTGCATTTACAAAATAAGGAAAAATTAGATACATCTTTGTTGCAACCTTTTTCTTTTCAGCTCTAGACCCTAATAATCTACTTTGACCTTGACCTTTGGACCCATAAGTCTAACCAAGTGAGTTTTATCTTTGGTCAGTTTACTTCAGGTTGAACTATGCTCCGTAATGTCATAACAAAACATGAATCAGTTAAAAAGTTACAAAATTTGACCTTCACCTTTGACCCAGTAGCCTCCTTTTTGATCTGGTGGCCTTGACCTTTAATAATTAGTTGACTACTTTTTTTAAAATTCTGACCAACAGTGTTTCATGACGTTATGATATACATTTATTGGTGAAAGAATTTTACCTTGATAACCTTGACCTTCAGCTTGGATTTTTGACCTCAGTGTTTTTTTTGTAAAATAAATATCTTGACAAAGTTTCATTAGAAATGGGTAATAAATAGTCATTAGTCAGTAACAGATTAGGTGGACAGATAGACAGACACATAAAGTGATTCCTAGAGGGCAAAGGTAACTTAAGTACAGGGCCCTGATCATCAGTGGCACCAATCAATGGGACAAAGTGCTTACTTTTGTGGTTCTTTCTTCTGCGAACTTTTATGAACAAAGACTTCCTCAGCCCTGATAAAGCACTGGTAGACAAGATAACCAACCATGTCCTCGGTCAACACGTGTCTACAACAAAAACAGAAGTACAGCCTAATAAAAACACGATCACAATAGGTCACTTGAGACTTTGTCTCGGGTGATCTAAAACTTTCAATACACTAATGTCCATTATTTCACATCTTACTTTTCGGAGGTCATGTTAATGTACTATAAAATAGTGAAAATACAATCACAGAAAAACTATACAGCATCACCAAAGCACCAGGAGCTTAAGAATTAACTCAAAAATAGGAAAACAGACTGGAATATATACAATAAAGGCAATAGTGAATTGGTGTGATTTGGTTGGATACTCACTTGACACATTTTAATGGTAACTTTTTCGTTTTTGCAAATCTCATGAACAATGCTAACTCCCAGAAAAGGTAAGCTTCATCAAGGACATTGTCTTTGGTCTTAAACTGTTCCTACAAAACAAACAATACAATATGTCATTCCTGCCACTGTTGACAAACATTTCATTATCAATCTTACCATCTGTTGACGTGCCAAAAGGCTAAAATAGCTGATTAAAAAACAGTAAATGATGATCTGTACCTCCACTACAGCACTGCACACCATTAAAACTTTCCTTGAATTTACCATGAATGTAACCCATGGAGATAACATGAGAAGAACTCATTAAAAACAAGATTTGTGAACATGAATGACAGCACTATTCCATGACATCCAGGGCTCTCGCATCCCAATTTGGGACAGGGGCCCGGGGCCTGTGGCCCTTAGAATTGGGAAAAATAATGGTGCTTTCCTTAGAATTGGGAAAACTTGGGGTCTAAATTGCAAAAAAAAAGATACTATTTTGCATTGGGAATTCGGCCCCAAATCTTGCAGATAGAGAGCCCTGACATCAGATAACCATTATTCTTCCTACTGATATTAATAGGGTTCTTTTTCTGTTATTTCTGTCATGCTACCTATCATGTATCTAAATTACTGGTACCCTGAGAAAAGAATTTCGGTGAGATTAGTTAAACAGAGTTGTGCCCCTTTAATATGCAGTGTCTGCAGTCAGAGGGCTTTTAAAAGGGTAAACTATACAGACTTTACTGACTATAGACCTCGGTAATTTAATATGATAGCTTGTAATGCACATGTGTAGAGAAACAAGAAGCTATGATACACATGTCTCTAATGTCACCAGGAATTTTCCTTTATCTGGGCCAGAACAACCAGACACCATCTGCCCTTGAGTTTGGCTTCTGTCATCATTTGGACATACAGCAAAGACTGGGTTGCTCTTTGTTGGCTTTTTCAGCCTGAGTATGCTGTAAATGTACTTAAATAAGCACATTCAAATTCTAGTGCATTATTAATTTGGCAAATAAGCCCAGTTATAAATTTGCCCAACAATAACAGCAACTGCTCTATATAAACCATATACAGAAGTGAAAATTGGCACAATAAAATTTTTGCCCAATACTTTCGTGAAATTACTTAAATATTGACATATTGAAGTTTACTGTAGTAAATGGATAACCCCAAAAGTAAGCCAGTGTTCAATGGTATGATCCGACATAAGTCCGCCATTATCCAAAATAAGTATACACCAGTGATAATAAGTTTTTTTACTACTACATACCAAATTACTTACCAATATGTTAGCAAAGACAACCATGAAACCATTGCTCAATATCTTTGTGGTAAACAATCTCAGTCGGAATCTACAATGAATAGAACATTTGTTTTGATCATTAAAGCACTGAAAAAACATCTTATTTTCAAATTATGTTTACGTAATATTGGCAACCCTCCAGTGCCCTACCAACAGATGACATTGCCAAAATGTTTAAATTTTTAAAATGTTAAATTCACGTATCAATAAATTGTGGATTAAATGAAGAAATATCTGTTTCATGAACTGAAAATCTTTACCTTTTATGTAAAGTTGGCCAGTTAACATTCAATATACATGTTTTTTTTGTAGTTTTGAGATTTTCATTTTTTTCAATTTGAACTTTTCATAGTATCAATTAGATCCAAGTATTATGATTGAATTTGGAAAATACTCTTAATCTTTGACTTATCCTTAAAACTGTCACTCGTAACTTTGTCTTCCTCTCCTCCCCACCATTTCCCACTGTCCATGGCTTCATCTTAACCTCTCCCTCCTCTCAATGCCCAAGTCTTCACCTTACTGCCCTCCATTTTCCACTGCCTCTGGCTACACCTAACCCCTACACCCTATCCTCCCACTGCCTCTGGCTACACCTAACCCCTACACCCTATCCTCCCACTGCCTCTGGCTACACCTAATCCCTACACCCTGTCCTCCCACTGCCTCTGGCTACATCTAACCCCTACACCCTGTCCTCCCACTGCCTCTGGCTACACCTAACCCCTACACCCTGTCCTCCCACTGCCTCTGGCTACACCTAACCCCTACACTGTCCTCCCAATGCCTCTGACTACACCTAACCCCTACACCCTGTCCTCCCACTGCCTCTGGCTACACCTTACCATCCACTACTGCCCATACAACTCTCAATGCCAATTTGACTACACATGAAGGCCAACCACTATCCATGTGTATACTTTACCTGAACTCTGATATGACATTGGGTGTCAAGAGTGACATAGATGATTTAATATAGATGGAACTGTCATCACATTCATCACTTGTGTCCTGCTGCATCTGCTTGCCATCATCTTTGCCATCTAAGATGTTACATGTGTTGGTGAACACATGATTTAAAGCCCCCGCCTCTGAACCATCTATATCCGACATTCTTCCACCTTCTACTGGCAGACACTCTAGCATTGGCTCCCAATTCATCTTGTCAAAGTCGTTTGAAAACAGCATATCTAACTGTAATACCAATTTCAATTTCAAAATGTATAGAGATCTTGTTAAGATGAACAAAAACCATAAAGAAATAAATGTACCATAAACATACATATTTTAATGGTATTTTGGTAATTTTTGCACTGAAAGTAATATGCTAAAAACAGAAAATCTCCTCAGTATTTATACAGCACATGATGGATAATGATATACACTAACCTTTCCTTTATAAATCAGCCAGTTCACTTGCATCAGACCGTTACTCCACTTCCTCTGTAAACCAAAGTTTAGTTTTAGAATAATGAGGTATACCGTTCAAAAAATGCTGTCAATATATAAAAAACACTGAGATCCTATTTCAACAAAGGGTGATTATTCTTCGAGTAAAAAACACCGTGATTCTGTCTCAAAGGGCAAAATATATACAAAGAACTACTATCCTATTTCCTGTTGCAATGCATTTACCCCTGAACCATTGATAATACAATGCAGAATTTAACATTTACTCAGACGTGGTCTATTTACATGGACAACTGTGAAAATATCCAGTGTTCAAGAAGTCTCAAGTACCTGTACTTACCACTTCTTTCTTTTGTAGTAGAGAGATTAGGACTTCTTCATAGCCACAATCAAACAAGAGTCTGTAATTCAAAAAAAAAGAAAAAAATATGGATGTTCTATAAATTATAAACGGTTTCACTTCTGTACAGCAGGAATTTTGTTTAAAAATGGAGTGAGTAGGCCATTCTAATAAAGTTTGAATTATAAAATGCTTTACTAGTAACAATAATAATAATAGAAAACAATCCTTCATTAATGAATTTTTGCACGTATCCTAAATTTGCACTTACTCTAAAGTCAAACCTATCCTAAAGTCACACTACCATAAAGTCACATCTATCCTAAAGTCACATCCTTAAGTCACAACTATTCTAAAGTCAGATCTATCATAAAGTCACACCTATCCTGAAGTCACACCTATCCTAAAGTCACACTACCATAAAGTCACATCTATCCTAAAGTCACATCCTTAAGTCACACCTATCCTAAAGTCAATGATCTATCATAAAGTCACACTTATCCTGAAGTCACACTTATCCTAAAGTCACACTTATCATGAAGTCACACCTATCCTAAAGTCACACTTATCATGAAGTCACACCTATCCCGAAGTCACACCTATCCTAAAGTCACACTTATCATGAAGTCACACCTATTCTAAAGTCACACCTATCCTAAAGTCACACTTATCATGAAGTCACACCTATTCTAAGTTTGCACTTACTCTAAAGTCACACCTATCCTGAAGTCACACCTATCCTAAAGTCACACCTATCCTTAATTCACACCTATCCTAAAGTCACACCTATCCTAAAGTCGCTCTGGTGAATTCAGGTACATTAGTATATAAGTTTTCATAATTTCTACTTTATTTCTTATAACCCTGAATATTTTGTTACTTGTTATATAAAGGACATCAGACAAATTTTACGTACTTCACTCGCTCAACGTGCTGCATTATGGTGGACTGGTCAGGACTGGACTCCTTGATGTATAGAAGATTACGAATCATGAAAAGACATTTGTTGATTGCCGCGACTCCGTCGTCCGTTAGGCTGTATGGTCCAGACTGTAAAATGATAAATAAAGATGAAGAAATCTCCCAACAGATAAGTCGGAATGAAATGTAAGTTAAAAATCACAACTAACATGGCACTGTATTGAGCAGTTTAATTCATAATGCCGTAAAGAAAATCATCTACATGTGTACATTAAATATTCTAGCAACATGTTTTGCTCGACTGTTACAGATCTATATTAACAAAATTCATAATGAGAATTAGAAATTCAATAAAATAGGATCTTTAACAAAACAGAATGCTGTTCATGTGAGTTTAAAATGACTAGGGTTATTTGTGTGTATTACAAACCCAAGTGATTTTATTCCAGTAACACAGTCAAATAATCTGATAGTCAATTTCTTGTTCAGATGAAATCAAAGATTTTGACAGGTCTGATTTCTGAGACGATAACAACTAAACTAAGTAATTGATTTGAACATTGAATTTGAAAGTCCTTCACTTCAGCATGCTATCAAATGGCCAAACATCAGGAATCTTGGTCTCTCGATTACTAGAAAAAATTGCTCAAAAATATTGATTTGAATGAGTCATGATCATTCATTCAAAAAAAAAATTGGACGGTCATTCATCCAACTTTATGCTAATATCCTGATAAAATGGCCCTTGGCCTTCTGGATAGTCAGAAGAAATTCTTCATCAGTTATTAAGACCTTTATATACCTTCCTATTGAGAACATCAAAGAAAATGGTTCAAAATTTTACAGTCATTCATCTCATTATGCTAGGTTTCAATCATTAGAATTGTTGTGCCATTTGCTTCTTGATAAGAATTGGAATGCTTCTAGCCAATATCTTGACTCTAGGTCTCTTGATGGTAGGAGGTGGCTTACAGAATAGTATCATACAACCAGTGGGATCAAAATGTTGCATATTTCAGAAAGCTAAAGATTTCAAAGGAAAAGGCTGATGGACAACAGACAATCCATAATGTAGGGCTCTCCATCTGCCAGATTTGGGGTTGATATTCTTTTTCCCCAATCTAGACATGAAGTTTTCCCAATTCTAAGGAAAACACCATTATTTTTCCCCGATTCTAAGGGCCCCAGTCCCAAAATGGGGTGTGAGAGCCCTGGAATGCCATAAATTTGTTTGTTTGTTTGACAGGTTTAGTTGAAATCTTGTCCTAGGTAAACACTGTTAGTCATCATACAATATACACAATAAAATCAGTCACAAATTCACAGGTTAGAAATGATAAAACAGAAAATGTCTGTATGGATGAAATGCCCTCACTCTGAAGTATGCAAGTATCATTGTTTGATAAATCTGCAGAAAATATCCAATGTGACCTTTGACCCCTTCACCATGAAGAAATATGATCATCTTTATAAGGTATAGAACATGATGTTACAATGCTATGGAGTAAATCTGAACTAAATCTGTTGAGAAGTTCTCAAGATATGATGGAACAGAACAGAATGGGATAGAACGTGACGTGACAGGAGAGATATGAATAGGGGTATGTCATATACTGCCCCCAATATAATGATGAAGACATATAACTACAATATACAATAAATGTAATGTGTTGAATCATAATCATAAATACCTCTTCTAGAAGAAGTTTCATTTCCTCTACGATAGCTGTCACAAATGTTTTACAGAAGCATTTTTCAACAGTATCTTTGATTGCACTCTCAAGCTCAATAGCCCATGGTGGTTTGGTCCTTTCATTTGTGTCATAGTCATACTCCACAGGATTTGTCAACAGGATCATCAATCTACAACATTGGTTACATTTAATTGTATATTCCATAATCTGAAAGTACGTTCAAAAGAGATCAGGAATATGGATGCAATTTGTTGTAAGTTTCCTCTTTTTATCCCTGTAAATATTGATATTGCCAAGTAAAGCCAATCCTTCTGTGGATGTCATTGCAGTGGATTTGCTTCATCATTCAGCACATTCAGAAAATTCCTGTATCAAACAAGGGCTTCAATATTTTTCAGATCTGTCCTTGTTATCGATAGCATTTTTCAGCACGATCAGAAAACATTTGAATATCTAATCAGGATCAAACACAAGATTTTCATGATGGACCATTTGGATATTGATCTAAACAGAACATTAATTTCAGGCTCAAGGTGCCTAGAGAAGATCTGTATGAGAATTTGAATTGCACCAAATTATTTTACAAGTTACAATATTTAATCAGATTGAAAAGTGGTCGCAACTTATTCATTTTAGTTTAATACACTACCAAGAAATGGAGCATTTATTGACCAATCAGAAAAGAGTATTAAACTGCAGGACGACCGCAATATGCACAAGACCTTAGGTATTCCATAAAAACCCACATTGATCAATTACATCTGTAGTTCAGATACACTGCCATAAGTATTGAAACATTAACATTTCCTTAATCTAATATTCCAAGCTCAAATGATAAATCTGTAAAAACAATAATTTTGATCAACCCCATGGGTTTACTCTGAAATAGTATGAAATTCTTATACAGTATATAACATGGAACCTTTTTTGTTAGGCTCCCTCCCCTCATGTAAAAATTCATTCTTATTTGTGGATTACCTTAGCTTACTATTTCAATTATTTTGAATGATCCAGGGTTTTCCATAAGAGCCGGTCCCCGGTCAATTTGACCGGCTACTTTGATCATTTGGCCGCCTACACCAATCCAGTTCCGTAATAATGTTCCGTACACGACTACACGTACACGGCAGGCCAGCCTCCTACTTTCACTACACAGCCTACTACTAACAAAATTATGGAAAACCCTGTGATTCTGAAAAATAAAGGGGGCTTATTGGTTGGAAAGTTGCAGATAAACAAGGTAGTGAAGACTGACCTCAATGCTTCCTGTAGGTTTGTGTGGTCATCTCTGATGTACTTGATCAATGGGACCAGTTCCTGCAGTTGAAATGTGCACAGGTAAATCCGACTGACAAATTTCTTATACATTTTGTATGTATACACATTACACATGAATATTTGTAATATATACAAAGATAACAAAAGGTATTGGTTGAGAAATTAATTATGTAAATATAATGTCTGTAACATCACTCTCTTAGTGTATATAGCATTGCATACCACAGATACCTTCTTCAAGAGGTTTTGTTTTCGTCGCACTTTCAAATTTGAGGTCTAAATATAATCATGAAAAACTTATATACTTTGAAAATATTACATGACTTCCTTATAAAATACATCCTAAGCTTTTGGCGAAGTATGAACCATTGAAAAATTAATCTTAACTACCTAATTCTATTCAATATCATTTACAATATACACTTACAGAATTTTGAGGAATGATATGTACAGAAATGATAAATACATACCTTTTCTGGGAATTTGTTATTAAACAGCAGTCTTCTGTAGGTCTTGTCCATGTTATCTCTCATAAGGAACTCCAAATTTTCTTCAAGGATTGCTGCAGTAAAAAAATGATCACATGCAGATACCTGACCACAGGCATGAAGGGTCCAACTAAATTTACATCAGGGTCCAAATATATGTACACTCAAAAGCGAACTAACTGATCCATTAGACCTGAAAAATCTGGTATATTTACTTTTATTTCTTTTCTTCATGTCATTTAGTTTGGATTTATTTAAATATTTGAAAGTTTTCTTTCTTTTTCTGTTATTTTACGGGACATTTAACTATTTAAATTTTTTCCATTTTCACTTTTGGCCAAAGGGCTTAATATGGCTTCAGCCATTCTTGACCCTTTAATCCATCAGTTTATAATAACAACAAGAAGCCAATGGCCTCCTAGGTCTCAGGCAACTTAACAATGCAGTAGTACCAAAATCAAAATACAGTTTATTACTACAAATAAAAATGAGCTCAATTTTGAAATGTACAAATTATGACCGAGTGACAAGATATTGTAGTTTGGATCATCAAATTGTCAAGATTGGTCTCCATCAAAAAAAAAAAAAAAGTAAAAATCAATATGTGAGAAATAAACAACACAATATTCTCTTAATATAATGTTACAACAAGTGCAAGCTAAAACTGCTTCATACAAACTACAGGAAATGGAATCCTGAATTTCAAAGCACACAACACTCCATTTCCCTGTTTGGCCCCATCCCTGTGTCCTTTAATGGTCAGCCAAACAAATGATGCTTCACATAAAATTGGGACAGAAATGAATCCTGCCATTCCTATAGATAAGCTCATTTGGGACATTTTGAAGACATTTGACCTTCCACAATGATCATTACAAAAAGATGCGGTCACAGTGAGGGACACAGACTTAGGTAAGAGATCTGGAATTTTATCACCTGATCAGTTCACTTGTCCATGTTTGGCTCTAGTGCGAGCGATAATTGCATATTATTTTACATCATTTTGCTTCATTGGGTTATGGCACAAACATTTAATTCAAACATCCAAGAACTTTCAGTCTAGTTTTTCAAGCATGTACAATAGATATGTTACATAACATATGACATCTTTCCATCCTAGCTGAATGAGAGACAAATTCATAGCTCTGATAAAAAGCTGCAGTGGCTGTCATTGACTCATGTTTAACAAACCCCAAACATAGAGACAAATTCATAGCTCTGATAAAAAGCTCCAACAAATTAACAGCTGCAGTGGCTGTGAGTGACTCATGTTTAACAAACACCAAACATAGAGACAAATTCATAGCTCTGATAAAAAGCTCCAACAAATTAACAGCTGCAGTGGCTGTGAGTGACTCATGTTTAACAAACACCAAACATAGAGACAAATTCATAGCTCTGATAAAAAGCTCCAACAAATTAACAGCTGCAGTGGCTGTGAGTGACTCATGTTTAACAAACACCAAACATAGAGACAAATTCATAAATTAACAGTTGGCTGTGAACAAACAAACACCAAACATAGAGACAAATTCATAGCTCTGATAAAAAGCTCCAACAAATTAACAGCCGCAGTGGCTGTGAGTGACTCATGTTTAACAAACACCAAACATAGAGACAAATTCATAGCTCTGATAAAAAGCTCCAACAAATTAACAGCCGCAGTGGCTGTGAGTGACTCATGTTTAACAAACACCAAACATAGAGACAAATTCATAGCTCTGATAAAAAGCTGCAGTGGCTGTGAGTGACTCATGTTTAACAAACACCAAACATAGAGACAAATTCATAGCTCTGATAAAAAGCTCCAACAAATTAACAGCTGCAGTGGCTGTGAGTGACTCATGTTTAACAAACACCAAACATAGAGACAAATTCATAAATTAACAGCTCAGTGGCTGTGAACAAATTAACAGCACCAAACATAGCAAATGGCTGTGAGTGGCTGTGAGTGACTCATGTTTAACAAACACCAAACATAGAGACAAATTCATAAATTAACAGACGCAGTGGCTGTGAGTGACTCATGTTTAACAAACACCAAACATAGAGACAAATTCATAGCTCTGATAAAAAGCTCCAACAAATTAACAGCTGCAGTGGCTGTGAGTGACTCATGTTTAACAAACACCAAACATAGAGACAAATTCATAAATTAACAGACGCAGTGGCTGTGAGTGACTCATGTTTAACAAACACCAAACATAGAGACAAATTCATAGCTCTGATAAAAAGCTCCAACAAATTAACAGCTGCAGTGGCTGTGAGTGACTCATGTTTAACAAACACCAAACATAGAGACAAATTCATAAATTAACAGACGCAGTGGCTGTGAGTGACTCATGTTTAACAAACACCAAACATAGAGACAAATTCATAGCTCTGATAAAAAGCTTCATAGCTCTGATAAAAAGCAAATTAACAGCTGCAGTGGCTGTGAGTGTTTACAAACACCAAACATAGAGACAAATTCATAGCTCTGATAAAAAGCTGCAGTGTTTAACAAACACCAAACATAGAGACAAATTCATAAATTAACAGCTGCAGTGGCTGTGAGTGACTCATGTTTAACAAACACCAAACATAGAGACAAATTCATAGCTCTGATAAAAAGCTCCAACAAATTAACAGCTGCAGTGGCTGTGAGTGACTCATGTTTAACAAACACCAAACATAGAGACAAATTCATAAATTAACAGACGCAGTGGCTGTGAGTGACTCATGTTTAACAAACACCAAACATAGAGACAAATTCATAAATTAACAGACGCAGTGGCTGTGAGTGACTCATGTTTAACAAACACCAAACATAGAGACAAATTCATAGCTCTGATAAAAAGCTGCAGTGGCTGTGAGTGACTCATGTTTAACAAACACCAAACATAGAGACAAATTCATAAATTAACAGACGCAGTGGCTGTGAGTGACTCATGTTTAACAAACACCAAACATAGAGACAAATTCATAGCTCTGATAAAAAGCTCCAACAAATTAACAGCTGCAGTGGCTGTGAGTGACTCATGTTTAACAAACACCAAACATAGAGACAAATTCATAAATTAACAGCTGCAGTGGCTGTGAGTGACTCATGTTTAACAAACACCAAACATAGAGACAAATTCATAGCTCTGATAAAAAGCTCCAACAAATTAACAGCTGCAGTGGCTGTGAGTGACTCATGTTTAACAAACACCAAACATAGAGACAAATTCATAGCTCTGATAAAACGCTCCAACAAATTAACAGCCGCAGTGGCTGTGAGTGACTCATGTTTAACAAACACCAAACATAGAGACAAATTCATAGCTCTGATAAAAAGCTGCAGTGGCTGTGAGTGACTCATGTTTAACAAACACCAAACAAAACCTTTTGACGAGCTGTGTCTACCTGGGGCATAACTTTTCGAAAAAGGGAAGGTAGCTCAACATATAATTTACGCACATATGCAAAGTATAGGATCATTGAAATCAATTCAGTAATTTAGGAGGAGTAGCCGGTACATCTTGCATCTACGAACAGAAGGACAAACAAACAATCTGATTCCAGTATCCTCCCCCTCCAACCACCCCGCCTCTAATAAAAACAAATTACTGTCAGAATCAAAGATGGTCACTTTTATCTTAAAAATTATTTTTCAGATAAGTCCAACAATCAATGTTAACATATAGGGAACAAGAGGAACCTATATATGAAATTTGTGGATCTGGTACTTCTCAAAAAATAGTGACAACAAGAACTGTTTAGGACAGACTGATGCAAGATGCCAGATACTAACCACTGACAGAGGGCAATTTGGTCAGCCCACTATCCTCTAATGATGGTAGGCTAATATAACAAACTTAATGCCAAATGAAAATTTATCTCAATTTAAATTGTATTTCACATTCGATAAGATTATTTTCAAACAATAATTCTCAGCAATAAAAATCTATTTCTTTTCCCGTGTTTGAATGCGGAATTCATGGCCAGTTGGACTAACTGATACAAGGTGTTTTCAAAGCTATATACACATGAAAAGCATGAATCCAGGACTTATATATCAGAGTCCCAAAAATCACTGCCATTCAAATTTGAAAACATAGTTTAATACTTCTCTTTAATATCATAGAATGTCTCTACCTTTGTTATATATCTATGTATACTGGAACAATACTAGGAATAACATTAGGAGGAAGGAGATCTTAGATACAATACATACTTAGTGATTACTATAATTACCTTGGCTGTTACTGGAGGGAATATACACCCCGTCCTCCACCATTCCGAGGTTACTGGACAGGCTGTTTATCCCATCTACGTTCATAATATGCCACTCCATATTTAGAGGATTATTTTTTCTTCAGGAGAATAAGTAAAGCAAATTTGCTATCTGCCACAGATCTGCAATTGAAATTTCAAACAAATAAAGAAAATTTATGAATGAAAAATTAGTCACTGATACAAAGAAAGCTATAATATAGTTTATTACCGATGAAGGGAAGGTGTGAACGACACACTTACTATAGTATTGAACAAAGTATTGATACTATTGTATTGAAGTATTCAAATAATCGAGTCAAGTATACAACAACCTCTGTGATTGGTCGGGGGCGGAGTTTAGACAACCTGAATAGTTGATCTGACACCCAATTTGTTCCGGTAGGCGGAGTTATTGTACACTATCAGTTACATAACAATTACTAAGTAATCGCTGGAAAAATGTCCGATGACGGCAACAGTATGCAAAATTTTCTTCGACGAAATTATGTCCGATACGAACGATATGGGGAATCCTGTTTTTGTACAAGGCGATGTGGTTGTGATGGATAATTGTGGATTCCATCACCATAGACAGGGAGAGCGCATTTTAAGAAATATGCTGAAAGAATATGGCGTGTCCCTGGTTTTTCAGCCACCTTATTCCCCGGAATACAACGTAACTGAATATGTATTCAATGTCATGAGACAGAGGCTTCGGGCAAATACCCGACTTGTGTCAGAATTTCTGGAACTTGCAGTAGTAAATGCTCTAGATATTCCGCCCAACCAACTTCAAAGTTTTTTCACATGTTGCGGATATGTATAATTTTCGATGGAAAGATAAAAAATAAAATAAAAAATATATGGGACCACAGAATTCCTTTATTTTTTAATGCAGTATGAATTATCGGCATATATCAGGAGGTCCCAGGTAATTCGTAATTCTTTGTTACATATAATAGAGCTTGGGCTTAAACCGAAATATTTTGAGCCAACCTCCCCCCCTCCCCTCCCCCCCCCCCCCTTTCAAAAAAATAAATATATAAATAAAACTAGTACAGAATGACTATATGACTATATTCACTGTTAAGATGTTATGAATTCTCCGGTCCCAGTGATCTAACCTGTTGATATATATTTTGTACGTAAATTAGTTTAGTACTGAGTAACTTTCGTTTTCTCGTTGTACCATCGATGGAAAAGCAAGGTATCATTGGGTGTAGAATGAAAAAAATGGGACAACCCAATTAGGTCTGATCTGAAGCCACCTGTGACTTGGACTCTTCCAATTAACCTCTCGCGACAGTCAAGTGTTTGTAAAATGCCGATGTCTGCACAGTATTTTTTCACCTGGCTCCACCCACAATCGATCTAGACTTGGCTCTGCCAATCAGAGAGCTTGTTGCATAAATTTAAGGAATTCGATTTGTGAAGTACTTCAGTACAATACTATCAATACTTTGTTCAGTACTACAGTACTTGAAACGTTCACACCTTCCCTTCATCGGTAGTAAGGGGTTTAACTAATAACATCCTGAAAAATTCCTGTTTACCAATATTTACAACCTCGACTTATGTTACCATAAGGCGAAGTCGACTGCAACCCAAGAACAAGACAGAGAAACAAATGTGCAGACACTTTGCACCGAACAATGTCACTAGTCAGGGTTTTCAATAAGAGCCAGGAGCCGATCAATTTGACCGGCTACTTTGATCATTTGGCCGCCTACACCAATCTAGTTCCGTAATAATGTTCCGAACACGACTACACGTACACGGCAGGCCAGTCTCCTACTTTCACTACACAGCCTACTACTAACAAAATTATGGAAAACCCTGACTAGTTATTCCCAACAGAAAAAAAAAGTACCATTTCACACAACCTTAGTGAAGAAATAAGTAGGACAAGACAAAAGTATAATCTTCGTGAAACAGGTCTATGTATTAATAAATAAAAAAGGTAATTTCCACATTTATCCAAAAAGTTTAAATATTGATGAATGCAAACAGGAAACAGTTAGTAGAATTTCTTTCTCTACTATCGGAACTTAAGACCTGAATGTTTTGTTAGTTGGGAAATCAAGAAAGGCAAGGGGTATATATCTGCAAAGCTCATATCAGCTCATGATTTTCCAACATAATATGTGTCACTATGGTAGAACTATACTAACTCTATATGTTTTTAAACAAAGTTATTTGAAAGTCTTCATAGCACTCAATATGTGGCATGAAATCATACTTTTTTTCTGAATCTAGTGTTCCTAATCATGCAAATGACAAATTTTCCTCGACTGTTGCCAAGGAACAACCTGGAAACTTGAGGATGAGTGATTTCCCGCAGGTGCAATATGTAACCCTGGTAAAAACTAGCACCAACATACCACTCAGATAGAGAGAACTTCTCTTTAGCTCGATCTATTGAGTGTCAGACTTGTAAGGCAGAGGTCCAGGGATAGAAATTATAACCTCTATTACAATAGCATATTTTTGGCTTTAAAATCATGTTGATTTATCATAGTTGATGTCACTTGATGCTGTGTACCAACTCCATCAGTTGCGCCACAACATAATGCAGTGAAATATACAGAACCTGCTTTTAAAAAGCTTTTTTTCTTTTAAGTAATTTTTAATATGTGGTAACAGATCCATAATCAACTTTGCATACACGTACAAAAGGCTCGTATTATAATAATTTTTGCATCCAGGCTTCAGATTTCTGAGCCAGCATCGATTCAGACATGCCCAATAGAATCTAAACACTACGTTATGTATAAAAAGTTCAGGTACACATGTACTGCACACGTGAACTGACGACACGTGAAACGTTTACAGGCTTCCCGGATTCCATGAGTGATCATGTCAGTTTTATTATAATTACTCTCGTTATCATTGACCATTGGGAATTTGGTGTCGATTCAATATATTACCTTTGTCAATGAAATATCAATTTGATTTAAAACGCATTATTTGTCGCATTTCTCGAGCAGTGATTGCGAGACGGTCTAAATGACGACTGACGGCGAAAGGTGCACAATGAATGCTGCTCTCGGATATCTAGACCTAAATGATATAATGCTAAAGTTGTTGCAATAATGAGCTAAAGACTAAATTTAATTTGTTTTTATTCATAACTATTACGTAATAGTATCCTACCGATACATTGAATAAAACTTCGTGACTAACAAACCCCTAAATAAATGGACGAAACGTCTTATAATAATAACACCACAAGCATGTTAGAAATGAAAGAACAGACGAAACTTACTTGAATGTCTGTTGATGTTCAAACGTCCTCTCGTCTCTCAAACCCTGTAAGGTGTACTCCAATGTTAGACATATATAAGCTCTGTAGGCTTAGCCGCCATGTCGTCTAAAACAACATTTCATCTGCGCATAGTGTTTGCGCATAATTTGTCGGCGAATTTGGGTCAGTGAGGAAACGTGATTTCCGGGCACGTGGACAGCATACGTTGCCTTGCTAAGGCATATGTCTTGGGCACGTGGACAGAGCATCACGGTATGACTTTGAACTTTTCGGCACACAATTAAATCCGATATTGAATACCGGCCAGATTAGAGAGGGTTCATTTTATGAAATTGAAAAGAATCATCATGATTTTTTCTATTTATCTATTTATTTATATGCTTATTTATTTAATGGTTTTATGACTAAAATCATTAGAATATATGAATAAATTAATTATTTCACGATGTTTTCCTCTAAGACTACGTTGGAGGAGAAAATATGTTTTACAGAATTGAATGCATCATACTGATTTGTAGTTTAGTCTGGACATAGGTTTCGGACCGTTATTTATTTTGGACCGGCTAATTTTTACTATTGATCTGCGTTGACTTGCTCCAGGATAGTTGCTGTAACATGTGACGCTTCCGAGAAGAATAAGAAACAGTGATTAAAACAATTCACCATTAAATATTGTGTTAATATTTCATTGGCAAAATGGTGTATTTTTTTCTTAATACACATTCAAATTACGTGTTAAACATACTCCAGATACAATTAAAAAACCAATCAATCCCTCTTTGGATGCCAGTGTTTGTTGGAAAAGTGTTTTGTGTGTGTGTGTGTTTTTTTTTTTTTTTTTACATGATCATTTTTGATGACTCATTTCTGATTTTAATCAACTAGCGAATTGTGGACTGATCAATGAAAAATTAATTTTATTTAAATAGTAAATGTTATAAGAAAGACATTTGCCAAGAAATATGGTTTATTTAAGAAAAGGCAACCAAAAATAAAAAATTGAATCTTGCCCTTTAGAAAACGTGCACACATCAACACCGATTATAAACCATTTTCCACCATTATTTCATTTTGATTTTTTTTCTGTTACCACAATGTCATTTCCATTCATATGATAATTTTATGTAATACATGTATTTCTGCGTAACTGTAAGTTGACGTCATCAGAAACGGCTGGTCAGTCACATGTTCGATACACGTGTCGATCATTTCAGGTATGCGAAATTAACTGATCTGAGTGCGTGTTTTTTTTTTAGAAAAAATGATAGTGTTTCACAGATCTTTTTTTTTTTAAATATTTTTTATAATATGAACATATGAATTTAATTCATGTATTTGATGACAATTTTTTGACAAAGCATAGCTAACGAGAAATAATTTTAAGGGGTCAGAATATTTTAACTGGGTATCATTTTTCATATATTGATCGCAGTATGTTTACATGCTGGAAAAGCTCTTTGAAAATAGTAATCAGATGAATAACGTGAAGATATTATTGTGTGTTATCTGAGGCGATGTGAAAAGATCGACGTAACATTGGTCAGAATGGCGCTAAAATGACGTCATTATTGTCCCTTGGTACACACTGTATCTACTCTGCTGTGAATACAATCCAAATTAACACTGGGTTGATGGTAGCCAGTCAGGCTAACTGTAAATATATGTAATGACACTAATTGTGTTATTAGCAGAAGGTACCTCTGATCCCCCAAACCATGTAGTTACCTTAATACAGCTAAGATGTTTCTACTGCTTCACCGCCGACGTCTCAGTCGAGGTCATCCCTGACTGTGTGTTTTGACCCCTAGCTCAGTACACTCTCAGGATGGGGGGGTCCACAGTGATGATCAGTCACTGCGCGTTGGTGGAGGGTGTCCAGCTACTTGAGTCTTTCTTCATCCACACCCAGCATGAAGATCTCTCTGTTTCCTTGGCCATCCTCTGCACCGCTGATCTCTTGGTCCTGCCTGACACTCCCAATTCAGCTAGCATTCTCCACACAGACTGTGCGGGAAGCCCCTGCATCCCACCTCGACCGGAAAGCTGCAAGTCTGCCACCCTTTCTCCCTGCACTCCATCAGCAATGCTTCGTACTTTCCTCTCTTCCGTTCAAGTGCTTCACTGCACCTTTCCACCCATGGAACTGTTAGTTCTATGATAATGACCATTCTTGTCGTTGACAACCAAAGAACCATATCCGGCCGAAGGTTGGTTGGTACAATGTCCGGAAAGGTAAGTCTCTGATTAAGTTCTACTGCCAGCTTCCAGTCTCCTGCCTGACAAAGAATTCTGGAAGTTCTCTGCAGTGATGCGGATGTTGGTGTCTCACCTTCCTTCACAAACATAATCTGTGTATGTCTGGACCTTGGTTGGGTGGCCTTATTCTTTTTTTCCCTTTCCATAATATCTGCCTGCTCCCTTAAGACTTGGTTGTGGCGCCATGTATATCTTCCCTGTGCTAAGGCCACCTGACAAGAGGTAAGAATGTGCTGTAATGTTCCTCTCTGTCCACACAGGCGGCAATCAAGTGGAGATTTGCTGGTGTTGGTAGCACGTCATACACAGACCGGAGGAGGAATTGCAGTTGGAATTGCGGGTACTTCCAGATTTCTGACCAGGAAAGTGCATGCGGTTCTGTATCCCATATTGTCCACGCTCCTTGAGCTCCCAATGCAACTGCTTTGGCCTGCCTTGGTTCTTCCTCACCATTTCTAATTTCCTTTAGGACCATGCCTTTCTTCCGCATCAGCCTTTTTCCAAAAGGTGCTCTTAGTTGTTCCTATACCTTGTCTTCCTACTGCTATTGTTCCATCAATGTCTTTGTGTATCAGTCTACTTCCAGTCCCGTCAACTGCTCTTGATGCTGACCATTTCCTGCCAGTTCGTACTTCCATGCTGGCTAATCACACCTTATCATCTTTGGAGTCCTTCAAGGTCATGATGAGTCTTGCCTTGCCTGTCTTGAATTCTTCCACAAGTGAAGAGATGGGGAGTTGTATGAAGTATTTAATACAATATATGTTTACAAATCCACAGGTCCAATGGACATGATCCTATCTGCATCAAATATTTCTTATGTTGCTTAGGCTGTAGTAGTCTTAATTTTTGTTTGAAAGGTTGTGGGTTCGATTCCTGTGCTGGATGAAGATAAGATCATGCATGTTGGACTTTTCGTTTTGCCAACATATGAGTTTTTGTTCAACAAAACTATCATCTGGTTCCCAGTTCCATTTTTGATAAACAGAACTAGGGACTTTGAACCCACTTCAGACTACATTTCAAGCGAAAATCTGCACTTTCCATCTGAACATCAATAATTTGTGAGGATTACAACTCTGACCATACATTCTGTCTTTAGAACGCTCATCTCTATATTTTGTTGTCTGTATGATATGTGTTTTGTGTCATCGCTAAAATTGATGTTTGATTGGTGTAAACTAATAAAGAGCCACATGTCTTTCCTGCTCTTGACTAAAGACATGACTGAGAGCAGCGAGTCAGTAGTCACAGTCTATTTCATTCTAAATTCTCGGGTCCCTGTGAGTAGATTTCCTCCAGATTCTTTTAAAGAAATGATATGAAAAACCTTTGTGCAAGACTGAAAGTGAAAAAGCATGATTGACCTCACCTAGGTTGACTGACATATGATGCTACATGTCATTTTTATGATTGGACATAAAGACAATATACAAAAGTTGGACTGAAAAGCAGGTTCTTATCACAGGTTGAATTAAGAAGCTGGCAATAACATCGGCCAAATTTAATACCAATAGTAGAAAAGTAATTTTTCTTTTCTTTTTAACGGCAAGATGAGTTTTTTTTTTATGTAATTTGGCACAACATCAAAACAAGTACTTTAAATAAACCGAGAATACATTCCGTTTTTGGTGTTATGAATCGACAAAATAAAAAATAATTACATTAAATCCCTTTAATTTAATCGCATTTTGCAATAATTTTTACGTTTATGATGGACTCTTTTTGATAATCACTGAATATCGGCTATTTTGTTAAACTGACGTCATCATTTTTAAGTCATTAGGTAATAACGTAAAAAATGTCACTTGAAATATTTGTTTCATAGAGGATTAAATTATTTTGATGCAAACATTTTCATAAAATTGATATTTTCCACAAATAAAAATACATATTAAGAATATTGCAATACTTATTTATAAGACAAATGGAATAAACATTGCCAGTTTCACTTCGTTAAAGATGTATACCTGAATTGTCTTCCCTTGAATTTAAATCGATTTTATTGCATAGATATTACACAAAAGACGCAAGTTGTCACAAGTTGTCTCCCCTTTGAACATGTACCCAATTCGGAAAAAGTGTCAATTTAATAGAAAAATTTAAGTGAAGTTCAATATTGTACCTGTTTGACAATTATTCATTTATTTATTCCCAATTCAACAGGACTAAAGGTTTCACTTACAGAATGCATAACAATTATTCAACACAAATATAACACATTCAGTCATGCATGTAACACAGACTTAATGAACCACATATAAAATGAATTTAACTAGAGATAATAATATTCTTTCATTGTACTTTGTGAGCAAAACATATTACAGTCTAGTGCAAGTTCAAGAAAGTTACAGTTACATTGAATCCTGTTTCAAACACTCTACTTTCTAATATTTATTCCACTTCTGTGGCAGTAAAACTGATTGGTGATCTAATGAGATCCAGTAGTGCTTACAATTACTGAAATGGCTGAAATCGATCATACTTATATCTCATCACTTTCAAACTGTTGTAAAACACCTGTTGTGCCATTATCATTTAACACCACTACCTTATATGAAAGTCATTACAACGTATCGTATGTGACCTCGAAGTTTGAAGGATCAAACTAATCTTTTCGTCTAGTCCACAAAATTTCACACATGAAACTTTCAATTTTGCCATGACATGTTCCAAGGATGTAGAGAGTGACAGAGATATATGGAGTTTAAAGAATGGGCCCACGACGGGCCACCAAAGACGGGGATAAAGGACAGATTGGCCCCTGTCGTCTGAACACCATAAAAACATCAGTGGAAGCAGTTGTAAAACCTGTCAACCAACCATCAATAGACAATTTGTTTCCGCAAAATGTTACGTTTAAAATCATTTTGGGTCCATCTGACTCAAACTATGAAATTAAGCTTTCTTATGAAAATACTTGCTTTTCTTTTCACATTTAAAGGTAAAGCACCAGTATCACTGTTACTTTAAACAAAAAACAATTCAGTCCAACCAACTTTCCATACACTGTGAAAATTCGAAACTATTTTTTCCTGATAATGTCTACACTTCTGTTGCAGTACCTACAGTAGTTGGCCTTAATAAAGCAATGAGCCTCATTAATTTTCCCCCTTAATGGATAAATAAACATTTTCTTGCAAACTACAGTTCTGCATGATTTCAAAATGTTGTTCATTAAGAAAACTGCCGTAGAAAAAGATATGTTATACTATGTTACAGTTAGGAATGATAATTATGATAAGTTGACGGGTATACTCGAGATTATATTTAGCTTACTAATTGAAAATGAAAAGTTTTTTTTTAATTTTTTTTTTTTTTTTTCTTAAATTTCTAATGTCAGAACTGTATTGTAATTAAATTTGATATGTCACCATGGGACATTTTTTGTGAAAGTTGTAGAAGAGGACATCAATTTTGTTGAAGTACTTTGACCTGTCTATGACCTTGCAAGAAATCCTGCTCCTGTCAGATTCCAATAAACCCTTTCACACCCATACATATTGCTGTTTGCCAAAATTGTAAACCAATGCCATTTCCTTGTCCTGTAATAAGCCCACTTTGAGTAATTGGAAGTTATGTGTTGGCTGCTGGTCTTATCAAAAGATCGATTTAAAAATTCTTAAATATTTGTTACTACACCGATATACATCTGCCTTCCAAAATATTTTGTATTCATTTTTTATATCTTTTTTTTTTATAAATTTAAAATCAAATTTCTGTATGCGACATTTAGTGTCTATACTGTTTTCATTCAGAACCTTTTCTATGTTAAAAGTGTACAACCAAAATTCAGTTTTGACAAAATTGGTAACAGAAATATTTTGCTTACTTCAGTAAACAAACAAACAATATGTAAATTGTAACAGAACATTTAATCAACAAAGACATCAAATACAAGGTTACTTTATAATTTGTGTTCTAGTGAGATATATTTACATAATAAATATATATTGGTACATATATATACTAACAAATTATCCACATAGAAATGTAGAAAAAATCCAAAGTTGTATTTTGAAAGCCAAAATGAATAAAAACTGTCATCACATGATTTTATTGTCCGAGTAATTTTTATTGAAGGTCAGATAAATATATTTTTCAGTCATTTCTAGATCACAGAGGTTTGTATTCACACTTAAAGAAGAATGCGACAGTCCAGCTGACAATGATAACGCACATTTTACTTCTTCTTTTTGCCTTTCTTTCCTTTTTTGCCTTTCTTTCCCTTCTTCTTCTTACTGTAAGGTCCGAACCCTTTGCGGACCATGACACCCCTCCACCAGGCTTGTACCTGTAACACAATCACAAGTTGTAAAACGGACCATCTGATGATCGCAGTCATTTAACAAGTAAATTAGAAGTCTATTTACATTTGTTGTTTTTTTTTGATAACATAAAATTATTATTGAAATCTTTTGTTTTTATGTACAGGATTAATGTAAAAATGTTCTGTTTAGTAGTAAAGATTCTTCCATCTCCTGTTACTAGCGGAGCTGGGTTTTCTGTAAAGCTACAGATTCATAAGCTTGTGGGCTTCACAAAAGGCAATAACTTTTTTTTTTTCTTTGTGTCTCTTCTAAGTTCTTTCTTTCAATTAAAAATAAAATTGATAAATAGTTCTCGCCTTATGAAATTTACTGCACTCTTAATTAAAGCAGACTTATGTTGCCAACAAATCTGCTAAGAACTAAGCACCACTACAATTTTCATTTTTCACATATTGTGTACAGTGTTAGTTATAGTCAAATGATAAGTATATATACTGGCGATATTTATCCATCAATACACCCATGCCTGGTAATAAGCCCACCCATATCTGTTACTGTTTTGTAGAATTCCCGACAGAATCTACCTCATTGGTTTGCAATAAGACCAGTCACCCCCATCCCCACCACCACCTGGTGTGATTTATTTGTTGGTCATTTGATGAGAGAGCTGTCAATAAGATTTGACTAAATCTTACCCTGATGGCAGCCTTAAGCTCAATGGCCTCCTGGTCTGCCTTTCGGCGTGCTTTCTCCTTCTCAATACGATCTTCAACTACTACTTGTTCATATTCCTTATACTGTTTGGTCAGTTCCTGGAGGCGGTCAAGATCCTTAGCCTTACTGGCCTTGAGGACATCCAGCTCATGTTGTTTGGCCTCTACATCTTTGTCATACTTGGTCAGCCAGTATTCAACCTTTTTCTCCAATTCCTACCACAAAGCAAGAAAAACATAAAGTATACAATTTTTGGAGATATCAAACATAGTATCAAAACCACAACAGCATCAGGAAAGATTTCTAAATCAATTCAGTTACTGTTGACTTCTTTTGCCTATCACCTGACTTCTTCAGTGCAACTAACTCAATTCTTCTACACCTAAAGTAAACAAAAAGCAGACACCCTATTCTATAAATAGATAGAAAATATAGTATTATGACGTAATTATTCCAAGCTCGATAAGTGCAATATATATACATGTTATAAAGTAACCTTTATATATTTACATGTATGTTATCAGTTCCATTGATCCAACTGTTGCTACTCACATACAATTTTTATACAATGTGAGATATAAGAAACAAACGGTATGTGTTACAATGCGAGAAATCTGTCAACAAACAATTTGTGTTACAATGTGAGAAATTTACATAAAATAAACCAAAATTGTTACAATTTTAAATTTGTGTGTGTGTAGGAAAGAGATATTATCATATTACCTCTAGGTGGGACTTAAAGTGGGGGGAGAGATATTACCTCTAGGTGGGACTTAAAGTGGGGGGAGAGATATTACCTCTAGGTGGGACTTAAAGTGGGGGGAGAGATATTACCTCTTGGTGGGTCTTTAGGTAGGAGGAGGGAGGGGAAGGGATATTACTTCTTGGTGGGTCTTTAGGTAGGAGGAGTGTGGGGGAGAGATATTACCTCTTGGTGGGTCTTTAGGTAGAAGGAGGGAGGGGAAGGGATATTACCTCTTGGTGGGTCTTTAGGTAGGAGGAGGGAGGGGAAGGGATATTACCTCTTGGTGGGTCTTTGGGTAGGAGGAGGGAGGGGAAGGGATATTACCTCTTGGTGGGTCTTTAGGTAGGAGGAGTGTGGGGGAGGGATATTACCTCTTGGTGGGTCTTAAAGTGGGGGGAGAGATATTACCTCTTGGTGGGTCTTTAGGTAGGAGGAGGGAGGGGAAGGGATATTACCTCTTGGTGGGTCTTTAGGTAGGAGGAGTGTGGGGGAGGGATATTACCTCTTTTAGGGTCTTTAGGTAGGAGGAGGGAGGGGAAGGGATATTACCTCTTGGTGGGTCTTTGGGTAGGAGGAGGGAGGGGAAGGGATATTACCTCTTGGTGGGTCTTTAGGTAGGAGGAGTGTGGGGGAGGGATATTACCTCTTGGTGGGTCTTAAGGTAGGAGGAGGGAGGGGAAGGGATATTACCTCTTGGTGGGTCTTAAGGTAGGAGGAGTGTGGGGGAGGGATATTACCTCTTGGTGGGTCTTAAGGTAGGACTCAATTTCAATGTTACATCGGTTCTCCTCATCAATCTTGTGTTTCAGTTGCTGAAAAATAATGTTAAATGCATAAAATAATGTACAAGCACTTACTATTCTTAATTTAACAGAAAACATCTTAAAAAGATTAGTTTCATCCGATGTACAATTACTACAATAATATTTTAGAAAAAAAAACATGGAAATGTTATTAATATTATGACAACAATAACAGTGAGTCAGCTCTTTACCTCTATCTCTGTCTGCAGCTCCCGCTCTGACAGCTGACATCGTTTCTGAGTCTGTGCAACAGCAACTTCGGCCGACTTTTTAGTGTATTTTCCCTCCATGTTTGTCTTGGCCTTCATTTCCTGCAGCTGATCTTTGTAGTGAGCGATCATGTTGTTCCTCTGTTGAAGTTCGACTTCCTTCTCCTTCTTAATGTCTTGTAGTTGTTTGTTGAGAAGCTTGACCCGTTTACGTCCATTTTCTTCTCTACAAATCAACAAAATAAAGTAAATAAATTTTGTTTGAATGTTCAGATTTAGACTAGTACGGATATCAACCCTATAAGATTTGTATATGTGAACACAAACATAATATTTGATCATAAACCTATATATATATATATATATATATTGCAGTTTCACCAACAAATGTTATAGTGTTGTCCTGCAATAAACCCAGCCCTTGACTTTGAGTTTATGTGCTAATTTTCTGAGCTTATTGCAGAAAATATACAATACCTTAATGAATATGTCCACCCTAAACTTGGTCACTCTCAATGAAACTAATTTTTACCAGTGAAATGTACAGATGTAGTTTTGCCAGTGAAATAATAGGAATTTATCAATTTCATTGTAAAAATTGTAACATTACTGCGAAAAATAATTTTACAATTAATTTTTCTGGGGGAGTTTTCTGAAAACAATTTGTAAATAATTATATTCATTAAATTCCTATATTATATTTTTCATATTTTTTAATCTTCCCAACCTGATTAATAAACGAAACTTTCAATTTTTATTTCTAACTTCAAAATCCAAACGAAAATTTTGGTGGAGCCTCTTTCCTACATTCTTTTTTCTTAACTGATTGAATTATCATTATAATTATATTTCATATCACCCAGCTTCTAAAAACCTGATAATATGTAGCGTGTACTTTAGGATTGTCTCTGTATGGCTACTAACTTGAGGATTGTATCCTGTAATCTAGCTTTTCTTTCCTTTTGTAGCCGGACTGCTTCCATGAGCGCCTGAAAGCTACAGTTCTGGATCAATTCTGACAGCGTATCACTCATCACTCCCTCCAAAAATCCTCTGAAAATAAAAGCTTTTTGATAAATACCGTAATATCACTGACATTTCTGACAAACAAAAGATTATAAAATACGTCATGATAGACAAGTATGGTTGTACAGGAAACAAGTACCAGTAATCAGGTCACTGGCCTTTAAAATGAATATATACATGTCTTATAATTAAATACAGCAGACGTCAAATAATGGCGGTTTTGCCCTTCAATGAGTTGTCAGTGATGCTATAAAGGCAGTTAGATAGAAGGACAGCAAGGGGTGATGACAGCTCTGCTGATAAGAACGTTGGCCAATGTTAAATCAATTGAAGGTACGAGATATCAGTTTTGACACTCTCTACCAGTGATGTTTTGTTTATCTCATGAAGCTGAGAAACAGATCAATCTGTGTTGATGTCGTTGTGTCCTTTGACAAGACATTTTACTCTTATTGCTCTAAATGTCATGTGATGGGCCTCCTGTATGTTGTTCAGTTAGGTAGCCACCAGGAACTACAATTAATGTGACCCTACCTCAAAATGACTTTGACTATTCACAAAGTGATAAACAATTTAGTGACATACAAACAATATACAAGACAAACCAAGCACTGACAACTGGGACACATAAAGATTTCTTAATTCCAACATAAAAAGCATGTATATCTAGCTTGATGCAGCTACACTATAGTTGTAGTTATTGAATTCAAATGTTCAGAATTGCAAAAATAAATCATGATAAAATATACCCGGTGTAGATCTTACCTATCAGCTTGGATTTTTGCTGTGTTATCACTAGTAAGCGGATTCTGACGTAAACTTCGCCCAAAAACATGTGTACTGTTTCTTAAGTCACGTCCAGCATCCATAACTTCTTGCTCCACTTCACTGAGTTTAGCAGCATTTTTAGTTGTGTTTCGGAGGTCCAGTTTTTTTGAGAGGATTGTCTGATATTTAAGTTCCAGTTCCTTCTGCCCCATCACTAGCTGGTTGAGTTCATTTTGAACAAGCTACAAAAACACAAATGACAAACAAAATAATTCAACTGTGTAATCACTTTGCACTTTAAACATAAAAATAACCACATATTTGTCATGGGTACAAACTAAAATTGCTTACATCAAATTTGCCCTCATAAGTGGTGGGCACTACTATCATCTACTGCATCAAATTTGCCCATGTAAGTGGTAGGCTTTACTATCATCTACTGTATCAAATTTGCCCTCAAAATTGGTGGGCATTACCTGGTACTTACATCTACTGAATAAAATCTGCCCTCATAAACAGTGGTCATTACTATTATCTACTGCATCAAACTTGCTTTGCAAATAATAGGCATTTTACTCTGACATGCATCCAACTTGCCCTCAAAAGTAGTGGGCTTGACCTAACTTTCTTAATTAATGTTGGCATAACTTACCTCTACAGCATCAAACTTGCCCTCATAAGCAGCGGGCATGATGCGTCCCAGGACAGAGAGCTGGTCCACACAATCCTCCAGGATGGTGGCCACATGGATGGCTGATGTGCCCTCCAACATCATGACACCTGGAACAAAGAACATCCAATACCTTGTATTGATTTTGGATCCATTGTTAAACCCATAAGTGTGGTATAGACTTTCAATCTTTTTTTTTTTCGTTTAACAATTAAATTATGAAACATTAAGTTTATCAACTTCCACTTGTCACTTCTGTCAGCTCACATAAAAGTGTATGAGGATTCTTATTGTGGGAGGAGACAGGAATTCCTCTGGGAAACTGACAAATTATCCTACCTGTACATCTTTCCCCAAATGATTGGGAAATCAAACTTTGGTCTCCAATGTGAAAGACCAGTGTGTTATCCAATGAATGCAATGGTGACACCAGATGCATCCCTGATGACTCATGAGGTTTGATTTGTTAAAGTTCAAACTACATAATATATATTACAATTATTATGAGAAAACATCACATCGTATCAAATTTCATAATAAAGAAAGGACCATCACTCTGGTATTTTATTTTTATCTGATACATATTGCTTTTTTAGAATTATGTGGCTATTTATTTTTCCTGATACAATATATCAAATTATTGTAATTCAAGTCATAATATGTTTCTTTATCACATAATCTGGGTGATGCCCAGTGAATTTACCCCAAGTATAATTTTTGCATACTATATATGTCACTAGCATGATATACCCTGGAGCATTTTTCATTGGCTGAGTCAGTCACAAATTAATTGTGATATCATAATATGAACAATGACACATCATGAATTGAAAATGTCGTAAAATGAGATTTGTTTCATAAAATTTCATATGAAATAAAAACTCATCTAACATTCTATATCTATAGTTTTTTAAAGACATTGGCAAGGAGTATGCAGTATCATTTCCTGGTAACACAATATTTTTCCCCAGTTTAACTCACTATACCAGTATCGTTATTGTTAAAACATGGAGACCTGATGCTAAATGTTGTCAATATCACATTAAGTTATTTTCTTTTTAATGTAATGACATCATACTTTGTATCTTTTAACATATTAAAATCGAATCTCGTTATTGTGAACTTGACGTGAATGTTTTGTGTGAAGTTTGACAGGGACCGACGAAATGCTTTGAAGTAAACGGGGTCTTCCAGTTATACAAGTTCGCGATAATGAGGTCTGATTGCATTTATTTCTACATCATCATTAGAACAGATAAATTAAAAGTTTATAATATCACACTACAGTTTAACAAAACTACAAACTGGAGGCTGAACACAGTGTCACCATAACCTTAATAATCTGTGAGATTTAGATTTAGTGAAAATAGAAAACCATGTCAGCAAAACAACGAAGTCTGCAAATCTGATAACTTTAGTGTTAATTATATTTTATGTTTCACACCTTCAAACAAATTCTTAGTTAATATACAGTAGTCGTTCGGGGACCACACCATTAATATTACCATGCACTGCTACAAACTTGTTTTTAGTATATACACATGTATAAATAAACACACACACACTAAATTAATGAAGACTGCACCTTGCATTGATTCAAAACTTCACCTGTTAAACTATTTCTGATATATGGTACTTAGCTTTAGCTGTTGATAACACATAACTATGTTGATGAGCCCTAAATTAAATTTCTTCTGTTTGCTTATGGACTTAAAATACCTATAAATCATATATTGGATTTTCTACATGGTATACATAATTTTCAAAATTGTGTGCAAAGCTATATCGCCTTGTAATGTCATTTTGTGTTCCTGAGACTTTTTCTTATTTTCAGTTGTCTAATTGTGAAATATCAGTAAGATTTGTGAGATAATGTCAACACCACTGTTCAGAGAAGTCCAAATAATGTTTAGCTCTAAGGTTTGAAATATATGTATTCTGCTTTTGAAAAATGAATGTATAATGTATTTGTGTATGTGTGACCGTCTGTGGTTTTGAAGTGAAATATTTTGACTCAAACCCAATTCATCTTCTATATTATTAAATCTAAATCACTTGTTTTTAGCTTACTTTTTGGTAACTTCATTGCACCAATATGAAATTTCCTCCATGGCTAACGAAAAAAAAAAAGAATCTCTGAAGCTTGATTTAAACATTAATTTTGATATTGATATTTTTTTCCAAAATGATACAGACTACCTTGGTGTAATTAACAGATTAATACACAGTGCGCTAAAGATTTAAAACGTTTTCTGGGTTAATGAGCAGACAAGGTATCAAAACACAATGTGCAGACCTTCCTCTCCTTTCCCCATCACTCTTCAAGTGTGCAAACCTGTAACACAAATACTTCAAAACTGTATAGGAATCTAAACTGTACATTCATTTATCAAGGATGTACTTCAGTTCAGAAAATATTTATCTATATCATCAATTCTTTGAGGCATTTTCTTTGGACTTTCTTGACCAATAAAAGGGTACATTCCATATTGATATTATTATGAATCATAAAATATGTTTGTACATGTGCATGTGATTTCCAAAATTTGCAGTTTACTTGAAACAAAATTCTTTTAAGACAGGACAAAAAGTCTCTATCCGAAATTAATGGGAAAACCACTCCCCTCCTCTAACCTGATTATTTATAAATACTGAAATCACAGAAGCTGCACATGGGTGCGTAAAAACCTGTAAAGCATGACTGGAGTGTTCTGCCATTATTGGAATACATATGCCCTATGTATTTTAGTTATTTACTTGTAATTGTAACCATGATAAAATGCTAGCCTCAAAATACTGCTTGGTTCGAGGACAATTTGCTTAACAGTCGAGTGTCAGACTAGTAAGCCAGGGGACCAGGTTTCGAATCCTAATGGAGGTATTGAAATAAATAATGACCTCTGATACTTAATTATTATGGAACTGAGGTCACTATTTATACCAATGTCTCTACCAGAATTGAATAGCTATATCAAGACTAGAGCAAAGCTCTTCAGGCACCAAAGGTGCTGAGTTCTAAACTAGTAACATATACAAGACCACATTTTTTCACATCCAGGACAAGATCCATCTGAAATTCTTCCGTAAGTGGAAGGCATGGAACATCCAGAAGTGAAAGGCATGTAACATAGGTGCTTTTTACTTAACCTGAAGATAATGTTGATCAAAAATACTACGGCAGCATTTTTGCTGAATTTAAAATTTCTTTATACCTCATACTGAAAGTATGCTGACCAATATCATGACTTCATAACATATATTAACATATACACAAGCAAACAAAACACCAATGTCACAATAATTACAAGATTAAATCACCCGCTGTAGCATCTCATTTTTTCATCATTTCTTAAAGCACTACACAATTAACCAATATTTATTGGTATTTTATTGTCTTGACACTCTCAACAGTAAATGTCATTGTGGCGTGTAAGCTCTTTCCTGACTGATATTATGCGTTTTTGTCAGGAACTACGTTACCATACGGAGCATTTTTTTTATATGTGCGTCATCTAGCATAATTAAGAATAATGTAAATATCACATAAACAAAGAATGAATTTTGGCTCAGGACAGAAAAACAAAACTGGTTTGATAGAACATATTCTCTTTGAACTGAAGTCATTTCTTTTCTGTGGTGCCCTTTTACGGAAAAAAAATTGAATCTGATATGGAAGTAATACGATAGAAGAACGTATTGTGTCTCAATAATCTGACTTACTTGTTTATAAATCAATATTCACAGTGTTTCTCGATTTACTGCCTGGCCTCCATATTGTTTATTGTTGCCATGACACATGCGCATGTGAAACGGAAGTTCCGGGCAGAGCACATTTCCGCTTCCTTTTTTCGGCCATCACGATTACAAGGTGCTGATACCATTATACGAACCTAAATAAATTTTTGTTTACAACGTCATGCGAAAGTACCTGTATACTAGTTCCAGTTTTTAGCCATCTATGATATCAGAAGTATACACAACACACATTTGTCATCATTGATGAACTTTATTAGTAACGATATTGGATGGATTGGAGTGCAAACCCGTCTCATGTTGACATTCGTGTCTTCTTTTTGTAGACGTTGTTTTCATAGATAAAACACAAACACTCTATACCACTTTGAAAATAATTTGCTACTAACGATGGTGCCAACTAGATCAAATTCAATTGTATTAAAATTGTGTCATGAATGCTCTTCATAATAACATAAGTTGCAATTTCGTACACCAAGAACGAGACACTTTTAAAATCTTGACATCACTTTTCTTCGTAATTTTACTAGAAGTTAAAGATTTAACTGATAATCCTTTTTTTGCAGATCTGCTCATAATGGCAGAGGCCAACCAAACGGCAAACCCACAGAAGAAGTCTGGAAGGTTGGTATTTCCATCACTTGCTGCTAGGGTGTTGACAGGTCTCTCAAAGGAGATGATCAATTTATCTACTGTGATGTAGGAATTTAAATGTCATTACCAGGTTATGACAGTGGATGACACGTTTATCAAGTTCCTGCTGAGATGTGGCATAACGTAATAAGACCAAAACAAATGTTTGGCGTATGGACTTGTCTAATTAGTTACCTATTGCTAATGAAAGTTACTCTTTTCATTAATTCATAAGTCACTCTAATGCATAATCATTTGGAATAGAAAAGAAACAAGTGAATTTCTATCAAATGTTTGTAGCATAAAAGGGTGTCATATTTTTATAATTAGGTTGTCCAGCTTATTGAAAATGATTCATTGGCTATCAATAAAGGTCATGTTAAAAAATGCCCTTTTCTGTTGCAAATGTTTAAACAACCCTATTTCTTTCTGTTTCTAAATAACCCTACATTTTAGTAACTAATTGATTGAGCAGTGACTGTCCCTCAAATGTTGTGCCCAACCTTCTGAACTATGAAAAGGAAGATTTAAATTCATATCTTTGTTGTGTTTTTCTTCATGTTCACAAGAAATTTTTAAGTGAATCATTTTGATTTTGGTCCAACATCAAGATTTCTTTTGTCTTCAGCAAAATAAAGAAAGGTTTCCTGTTGTTCCCTAGATCACCTAATTTTTATTTAAGGCTGGATGCTTTAAAAAAGGCAAATTCATTTGGAATAAACCTATATAAGGTCAAATATCTGTTAGATTTAATATTTTCCAGGGCATGTTGGACAATTTTGGATAAAGCATAAAAAATAGAAGTCCTACCAAAATGCACCCCACTCTGTGCTTAACAGTGGTTATGTTAATTTCTGTTCTTAAATTATGCAATACAGATGATATCAGTTGAATTTTGTCGTTTTATTTTAGACTGTACTGTAAAGCTGTGTTCACTGGCTTCAAGCGTGGTTTGAGAAACCAGCATGAAAACACTGCATTATTGAAGATAGAAGGTGTAACCAAGCTCGCAGAAACCCATTTTTATCTCGGAAAGCGATGTGCATATGTATACAAGGCAAAGAGGTTGGTTGCATATATATGCATGACTTTTTCTTAAATCAGATCAACAAAAAGTATCTGCTTGTAAACTTGGTCTGATATTAGTGATAAAACTATTCAAACAGATCACAATGACTTCAACATGGAGTTTTACAGAGTATCGTGCTAGGTATAAGTTAAATGTCAAATTTTCATTGTTTACTAGGCTATAGTTGGTAACGTATAATTGATATCGCAGGCACTCACTGCTGGTAATGCTTTTTAAGATACATTGGTTACTTTTATTTGATCAGATTGATCATACTTTTCTGCAAAATAATAGAATTATGAGTGTTCGTTTTATATGCTTTTGTTAAAACAGCATGTGATAAATGCTCGTTAACAATGTTTGATAATTTTTGAAGTGGTGATCCAGAAATATTATACACATAGGGTAGGCAACTTAAACTTGGAAATTTATACTACAAATGGAGAAGCAACTTTATAGATGATGTACACTCATTGTGGTAATCATGTTGAGCCCTGAAGTTTAGAAATGAAAAATATATACGAGTAAGTTGGAATTAAAATGAGAGAAAAAATATGACAATGTCACTGACATACTTCAAATGAAGAAAAATATTTTGACTTGGGAATAAACTGGTAAAACTCAAACTTATTATATTAGCATAGTTGTTGGAGAGATAGGGCAACACTAAGATTTCAGAGTTGAGCTAAGTAGCCTACATTATTGAGATTTTTTTTTGAAATTTGAAATTAGATGGAAGACAACACAATATTTAAAAGTATGGAAGATGATGTGTCTAAAAAATAGCAAGAGGAAAATTGATCCTTTACTAATTGCTTGTAAGATGAATAGATATTCCCAGATTTTATCTTGTAATCTGAAGTCAAAAGTAAAAAAATACCATGATGCAGTTGAGAATTCTGCATTTATCAGCTACCATATTATTTGATCACTTGATTCTTATTTTTTTTTTTTTTTTTACAAAATTTTCAGTCACACTCCTTGATTCTGTGACTAAGACGAGAAACCAGATAACATATTCTGCAAATTATGCAAGCAAGTTAATTCACATTTAGTGACAGTTAAATGAAATTTATAAAGGTAAACCTGTTTACAACCTGGACACATTCATAAAGAGAGTCCTATATTCAAAGATATGTTTTGATACTTTAATTTGTGAGGGGAGATGTTATTGATTTAAAGAAAAGAAATCAAATAAATGTAAATAAAATTCACTTGTTATTTTCCAGACTTAATGTACCATAATAATTTCTTTACAGGAAGACTGCTTGTCCTGGCCACGAAAATGCTAGTCGTATCCGTGTAGTGTGGGGAAAGATCACACGCCCACATGGTAACAGCGGATCTGTGAGAGCAAAGTTCAGGAAGAACCTACCTGCCACCGCCATGGGACGCAGGATCAGAGTGGTGAGTTCAATGAAACCTACTGGATGGATATGATATGATATTCATATGATAAGTCTGTTGTTTAAAGATATATTTAGTTAAGGTTTGTGCGGTTTCATTCTCCAATGTATGGAAAGCATACTTTCCTGTGTGGAGGATGATTAAGGAATAAGATTAAGAAAGATTTTAATCACTACTTGCCTTCCGGAACATGTTGGTTGATTTTAAATCTTTTTCGAGATTTATGCAAACAGTTTTTTCAAGGGTAATTATGTTTCTTATCAGATATTTGCATTTTCAATGTTAATAGAAAGAAGCGATACTTAAATTTTTTGCATAAGAACTGTTCATGAAAATGTATTGAAAAAACTTTGGTCCCAGAAATAATTGTTAGTATTGTTGATTGAATATTGAAATGAGTGAAAACATTTTCTATAATTACATTTTACTCTCTTTTCAGATGCTGTATCCATCCAGTGTTTAAATCTCTGAAATGTACAGTAAAAAAAAAAGAGAAAACCCCAAAAATGCCTTTTTTGTTTTTGTTTTTAGAAACAATTACCAGAAGAGCTTATGTCTTGGTGTATTGTCCGTCATCTGTTTATAGTCTCTGCACCAGAATAATGGATCATTTCTCCTCCTGGAGAAATTACATGGGAACTGCTGTAGCTGGAAAGACTAAATAAAAAAGTGGAAATTCAGATCCATGACAGAAATATTCTTCTAAACTTCTCTTTAGCTCAATTGGTTGAGCGTCGGACTAGTAAGCCAGTGTTTCCAGGTTTGATTGCTAGCAGAGGCATTGAAATAAATAATGACCTCCATTAGATTGGTGTGCATGTAGGGACCAAGGAATTGTACTTAGCCATGTCTTGCCAGCATCACTGTAACCCCTGGAAACTTGACAAGTTTTTTTCCTGGAAGGGGGAGTATGTAACCCTGGTAAAATACTAGCCGCAATATACCACTCGGCTAGAGAGAACTTCTCTTTAGCTTGATTGGTTGAGTCAGACTAGTAAGCCAGGGGTTCCATGTTCAATTCCTAGCAGAGGCATTGATATAACAAAAAACTGACCTGAAACTTAAATTAAAACTGGAGTCACTGTTATTTTAGATTTTCGCCATTCTTGCTCTGCAGTCTTCATTTATTATCCAGTTGTCTAGAAACATCATAAACTTAAAGCTTCATCTCTTGTTTATGTTGCAACCTTAAAAGGGCCAAAATCGAGATCACAGTTACTATAAGTAGATATCTGACTGCTTCACTCTACAAGTTCCACTAATTATTCAGTTGTTTTCATACACTGGCAGATATCATTTGTACCAGTCTGTGTCCTGATCTCTATATCTTGATCTTGTGAAGCTAGGATTTATTGTCTGGGCTTCCCAAAGATCTAAGAGGTAGATTTAGTCGGCAAAATAAGTAATAATGGGAAAAATTTGAAATTTTTAGATAAACTGAACAAGAGTTTCTCTGATGAATAAATGTATCTCCCAGGAATTTGATCACGAGATCGTATAAAGAATGAAAACAAGAAGATTTCAGTTATTTTTTTATTTTAACAAGCTAGTGAATATAGGCCTTCATCCAAGCAAACACTAAATGCATGTTAAATATTAAATAGCAATAAAATTCCAATAATAGATGCTCGGTCATTTTTCAAATGTGTTCACAAATCATAATTTAATACGATAATGATTCTTAATAAAAATTAAGTTTGTAGTAATTATTTATAAAACTAATTCCATTTTTATGACAATGGTGTTATCACAATCTGGTTCAAATGGACGTTTTTCTTATATGTAATTGCATGCAATAGAGAAAAAAAATAATTTTCTTTGTTAATGGATATTAATGGATGAACTTCAGATAACTCCTTAAAAAATAGTATGACACACACCAGTTAATTTTCAGCTCGGTTGGTTAAAAAGGGAAAAGTCAATAATGTACATAAACAACAATTAAGAAATTTACAGAAATCTACTGCACTGTGTATACTGAACAATTAAATTTACAGACATCAATGTAACCAGATTTCCAATGAGCTATATTAGTTTACCCATTTTCCTCTGAAGAGAACAATTTTGATGAAAAGGCACTTATACCATTCATACAACTTGTAAAAATTGAGAAAAGGTAGATTTTAATACACTCGACATCTATGACAATGAACATGGGCAGAGATCATTCATTTGAACAAACCTGAATGCTCCTTACCCTAGCATGCTATAACTCAAACATTGTGACATTAGTCTTTTTAGTTTACACTGGTAAGAAATCATTTTAAGATCTTTACACATTTCACACCTGTGACAATGAAAGTGGGTCATAATCATTTCGGCAAACACACTACAGGCCAAATACCATGGCACTGGACCTTTCCATTATTGACAAAACAAGTATGCAAGATTTTAGAGTCTCTAACCTCTGTGACAATGATAGTAGGTCAAGGTCACTTATTTATACAAACTTGGTAGCTCCTTACTCAAAGCACGCTACAAACCCAACATCATGACCAACGCAACCTTGAACGTTTTGACCACCAAGAAAAAATTACTGCATGGAAAAAGTTGACAGACCACATCACACCCTCGCATAAGCATAGAAAAAATTCACAAAAATTATTTTCAAATATAATATAAATTTATATATATAAATATCATATGTAATAATTATGCAAAACACAGTTTATAGAAAATTAATGAAATAAATCAAATTCAGCTGAAATTGAACTTGATGAAATCAGGACAGTCGTCAAGTTATCTAGACGTTTTAATATATCATTATATTGCCTTGAAAAGCAATCAATCATCATCCAATATTGGGTCAATGGTTAACGTAACTTGGCAGATAGGATCAATTCTTAAAACTTTCCTGTTTGATGTATGGACTCCAACGTTCAACTTAAGCTGATTTCAGTCTATTCATTCTAATAAATATAAACACAATATATTGACCCTGTTCCATGAAATTAAGACTGTAGACCTTGTACTACTGAGAAAGTTATACATGCATGCACTTAAACATATACAATGCTTTTTATGTAAATTGTTGAAATAGACTTTGTTTTGCTCAAGCAAATGCTGGCAAGAATGCAACATGGTAAACAATTGTTTATTCAAAAAGAAAAATAAGAAAAGTACAAAACATCTTAAAATGGAATAATCTTACAAGTATATTGGCTTAAGCTAGTACACTATCAGTGGGACATCTAGATGTTAGTTATAAGGCTTTTTGGTCATAAGGGAGAGCTGTGTAATATTTTTTCTAGAAGCCCTCAGTGTGTATGTAAAAAATAGAGAAGTGATTAGATTGAAGGGTAACACATGTGTATCAGTATCAACTTTTCTGTTCAAAGAAATAATATGATAACTTTAAGGAAAACAACAAAAAAAGTAAACAAAACATTTACAAGGTTTCAGGTGGTACCTTTTATTCCAAGTACATGTAATTACTTAATAAACTCCATGTCTTCTCTCAGGCACATAACCTTAGTTACCTATGCAGCAGCAGGCATTGTATATATCTAAAATGATATGGCATTTTTTGTATCGATATTTACTGTAAAGTATCATAATACAGGGACATATGTTCGAACAAAGTAGAAAAAACATCTGTAAATAAGACTGAAATTCTTTGAAAATAAGATACATATAAAGTAAATAAAAGTATACTAAGCAATATTGTACAAACATTTTCACAGTGGCAGATAAAATAAACAAACAATATACATTTCATGCTGTTGTATCTAAAAAACACAGTAAATGGAGTTTACATATGATTGGAAATAACAAAACGGTCATAGAATGCCTTCACAATGGACAACCATTATTGATAATGTCATCAGATCTATATTTCTATAAAAACAAGAGAATACTGTTTATAAATAGTATGTACACACAATAAATGAAGGGATTACATTTACAAAATAAAAAAAAAATAAAAAATTTAGAAAAAATCAGAAAAGAAATTACTATCAGTATATAATTATCATTACCAGCTGCAAAGTTTATGCTGCAGAGAAAGTACAGTCATTCATTAACAACAATACTAAGCATTTCACCCAAGGTTAAATAATAACACTTATCAACTAATTTTTCTCTGTAACATCATTCGACCAGCTAGGTAAGCATTTTTTGGACTGGATGAAAATTAGGCTGGCATGATTCATGCTACTGGTTCTATGTTTTGGACTCTTGGCCTCATAGTTACCCTTCAGAAGTTGTTAAATGTAGAAAGATGACATCAGCTGGCACTGTTCTACTGTGAAAACTCATTCCCTGCCCCTTAGGTGCCAATAACACTACGATATAAAGTTCTAATTTACCATAGCCATGTACAATATTATTTTTTGACATAACAATAGTTAATATATTCACAATTTTTTCAATCTTAGCTCAATTAATATACTGAATGTGCAATAAGCTGATAGGGCCTACCTATTTAAATGTTTTGCCCAGGCCTTGGTTTCTCATAAGAGGACACTCTTCTTGCCTCTATAAATATGAGTGAATTGTTTGCCAGGCTTGTGGCCTACATTTGGATAAATACAAGTATATCATTCTCTATTAAGCATTTTGAGTATTAAACAACATCAAAAGCTTAAGTACAGTCATAAAATTAAAATAATGCACTCTTTTCAATTGAAAAAGAGTACACTATTATACAGCAAAATGTATGAAATACCAGCAGACATCACATTCAAGGGAACTTTCATTAAAATTGAACAGAAATAAATTTTTTTTTTTGTAAGGCCACAAGTTAGAGATGATAATTAAACCAACACTTCATAACAAAGGAAATAAATACTATAACATACTTTTTCTTCTCAAAAATAATTTGCATAGTTATTGAAGCTGATATTTGATTTCAGAGCTCTTTTCATGTATTCAAAAGTATTCAATAAAAATACCTTTACGTTTATTTTTGTTTTTCAAATTTCATTCACTAAACATCCAATCAATGAAAGAATGCTGGACAAAGTTTGTTAGCAAACAAATTAAAAAATACAACTTGTGACTAGAGTTCTGTTGTTCTGTGTGAGTTATTCCCATTGCAAACTTCTCATTCTGCTAAAATTAATCTCTACATTTGGCCCGGATGGATGCGCTGAAGGTCTTACTATTGGAGGAATCTGGAGTACTCAGATAAGACAGTAACTCCATACTTTTTATGTTCGATCAGAGAAATCAAACCCTGATTGTCTTGGTGAAAGGTAAGTGTGTGTACCACCTGACTACCTCCCCACTTGAGCATTAACCATCCCCACTCAAGTATGATAAAACTATGTACCACCAAATATATCACTACTGTGTACTTCAGGGTAGACATATTTTTTTTTTTCTTTTTGTATCAACTTTGAACAATAAAGAAATAAATTACTGGTGTTCTGGGCAAAATTTTCTATAATTTATTATATAATATCTATACAAGTCACATAACCTCACTTACATAAAATCTCAAATTTGTTATTGGTAAAACCAGACACCTTATTAATTGTCAAGCAGAAAAAGCCTAAAAATGAATTAATTTATAAGCCTATATAAATCTAACAACATTTATGTAAAAAAAGGCCATCTTCCAAATACCTGTATCAGTAATAAATCTGATTTTTATTAAAATATATCTAGATATATTGTGTATTTTAATTATTTACAAATGAATGAAGTCTTTCTATAAGAAAAAATATCAGTATACAACAGTATATGATATTAAATGTCAACAAAATTGTTTTTACAAAATTTACATATTGTGAAGAATAAGGAAAAAGTTTATAACATATATACACAATGCATATTCAAGAAAATTTACTTAGTCGGTAAAACAAAAACAGAAATATTGAAATAAATCTAAAATGCAGGAAAGAGGTATATTCTATATTTTAATAATCTTAAGGTAAATGAAACAAGGTACTTATCACACTTGCTTGAGAAATCTAAAGATCCATGGTAGAAATATTTTTTAAATCTTCTCTACCAGTAGGTTTTCTTGAGGAGTTTAATACATATTTATGAAACAATGCAGAACTATATTAACTAAAATATTTGTGGAGGACTTCCTTTTGCTGTATTCATTATCTTTAATGACAGCACGAAATTAAATACCTTCAACATATTTTAAATCTTATTAGTTAATCAAAATATGCAAACAGTTCATAATAATGCTCTCTAAAAGTAAAAGCTGTAAGGATAGGTTTCAACAAATTTAATTCTGTTGAACTTACCCCAACCCAGGACAACCAAAAAATATAAGCCTTGCAAAACTTAATAACTATACAGTATGTGTGTTATCTATCACTATTATATATGAAAGACTATTAATATCAGCAGGTGATAAGTCACCAAACACAGATTCAACACACAAAGTTTTTTTTTTTTTCACCGAAACTGTCCACAGGATAGACCACATTCTAAAACACTATACTGGCATGTTTTTCTGGCATTTAAAGTCATTATTCTCAATTTCCATTTCATTATTCCAAGCACTAATTTCAACCTCTTAAACCTTTAAATATATCAACTTTTCATAATCTGTTTTTAGCCCACCCCAGAACACATTCGATATCTTTACAAAAGAAATTATTTTAAAAACATGCTTGGAAAGTTATATGACATTTAACAAAATGATTTTGAAATATCAATACATATTACTGAAGTATTGATATTCCAAAAGACCATGATAAAAATATTGAACTTCTTTGTGTTATGAAAATTTTAAAATTAACCTTAATTGTTGTCTATGCGTAGTCATATCTTAAAAAAAATCATCTTCTTTATTACAAATGTCAGAAGCAAGTGAGCGAGATCTGCAGGTAGCTATGAATTTGAAGACAGCAGCAACTAAGCTATCTGTATTTACACTGCCATAATATTCTTTGTTTGTGTAATTTGTACATAGAGCTGTCCGTTAGCAACCTTATCACCTTGCTTCCCACGCTGTACCAACCCAACAGCTGAGATCTTGTCTCGACACTCGTCAACGCTGGTGAACACATGTTTGCCCATGTAGGTGTCTCGAAGGATGTTGCTGTTCCAGATCTGGAACCGATGAAAAAATTAATAAATAACTAAAAAAATAAGACATGGATGTCTCGAAATTGACACAAATTAGTACAATTATTTGACAATTTTCTACACAATGACGACTTTGTTTCCCTGACCCATGAACTGGAATCTGGTACATGTATTTTCATACTACTTTTATAGTGCACTAAGCCTCGTGTGCACTAAGCCTCGAGGCTAACAGGTTACTCTTTACCTAGTCAATACAAGCAGGCAATAAGTAGTAATGGTTTATAATTTTGCTAGAAAATGTTTTTATAAGGTATGAATGATCACACTTTGACAATGATTTGAAACAGAATGAAAGCTGAATGGTGGACAGATATGAGTGACACTATATCCTCCCCTATCCCCACCCACTCCTTCACCCAAACCCAAAAATATGGTAAAAGTCTGAAAAACAATAGAAACCATTGATATCAGCAACCAATCAACCATCCAGAAAACATATTTCATTACCTGGATCTTTAAAGGTTTTTTCAGGGCTGCTTTTCGGTAGAAAATTGCAGAAGAGTTCCATTCCGGACTTGTTGTGTCCTCTACGACTTTGGTAGTGACCTTTTCACCTTCACATGAGATTACGCAATATGGGTCAGCTCCTGCGGAATTCGAAAACAAAATATTATTAAGTTAGATCTTTATGGCAGTAATGTACATCTTTTCACAAAAATTGAGTCACCTTTTCTTTTTATCTAGGTTTAAACCACCAGCGGCTTGATCAGAAAGCAGCTAGATGGTAGAAAACTTTTCAGAATAAAACAATAAACATAATTTCTTAGATATCAAGCATATTGTTTTAAGACATGGAAATTCATCTGCTGAAATCTTCATCAGACAGTCCAACAGATATGTGGAAGATTTACAGAATCTATCACCATTGTATCATGTAGACAGACATATCTAAAATCTGAGAATAAAAAAAAAATTGAGCATTCATATTGACACACATTTCTTGCCAGATCAAGGGTATAGAACTCGAGTCAGAACTGAGGCTTTGCTGTTGTTCTGAATCCAAATTTTAAACCCAAGAGTAGAATATCCATTATCCTCCACCTGCTTTCTTCTATACTTCAAGTTTTTGTGGTGAACTAAATACAAAGATTGATCATAATTCTACCATGAGATGTGTGTCAAAACTGATGTTAACATTAACATGACATTAAACAATTACTTCAGGGTTACATAAAATAAATTAATCACTCTTTGAATAATGACATTTCTAGATGTAAAAAAAATATGTAAAATGTCTTGAGGAAACCTTAATTGCATTTGTGAGGTGAGCTTTATACCCAATTACTTACCTGTCCTTTCTTGTCTTTCCAGTCCCTCTGCCCTCATGACCTTGACCCTGGTAACTAACTGCACATTACCACCACAACATTGCCACCAACTTTTCTGTGGCTTTTCATAGATCAGAGGTCTGCAACAATGTAACATCACAACTTGAAATGTCATATCTCGACAGTTCCATGGTTATGACTACAATCCTTACAATGTTTAATGGTTTATTCACATTCTTTATAAATTGTTTCCATGATTTATTACTGAAAGTGAAAACAATTGATTGAACAGCCATTTTGACCGGTCTGTTGTCACCACTCCGGAAATAGCCATGAGAGTTAACACAGAAACATGTGGTCAGGGCGTAAGCTTTTTGCAGGCATATGAAATAAAATGTTTTGGTTATACTGACCAGCAATAACTATGGGCGGGCTTATTATCATACTTTGACTTATTGCCAGATAAATGCAGCTGAATTTGGTATTAATAAATTGAGAACTTACTTGAAATTATTGTCTGAGCTTGTGTACATCCTCAGAAGGAAGTCACACTCATTATCAGGGTCAAATGTACAGGCTACAATAGCATAGCGACCTTTCGTCAGCTTGTGACGTAGGAAAATTGCCCGACTGTCCCTGAAGGCGCTTGACGTGACCATTTCCTGTTGACTCATATCATGCATACGATAGCGTCTGTTTTCCTCCACCTGGAGACATTAAAAAATTATAGTAATGGCACTGTCAATTCCAGTAACATATCTAATTTATTTCGGGACTCGAATAAAAAATTTTGTATCCATTACTCCGTGCCTACCTATTATATGCACTTCAAAACAAATTATCGTTGAAATTTGATCAGTGGTACACAGGCTTTGAGTCCTGGGTTGAGTTAGATGTTTAATTGGAATAACCAAAAGTTTGAATAGTAAAATTACATCAGAATTAAAATCGCCTCTCATTGTTGTCAAACTATCATCATGCCTGATAAAAATTTCCTACCACAGTCTGCTCCTGATCTATGGTTAAATTAAGTATTTTTGTGGGGCTCAAATTTTCATTAATTTCCAAAAATATACCTGACACCTGATTTCATGGTTAGATCTTGCCCATTAAATCCACTTTACCATAATTTTCATAAACAACACCATAACATACATTCACTATACCATATCTGTTGCAATCTTCCTTCTGTTATTTTTAAATTGATTTCCTTTTCATTACAGTTTTACTTGAGGATATAATCCTTTCATTGCTTTTTTCCCATAGATTTAAAATTGTAACCTTTTCCTTGAGATATAATCCTATCATTGCTACTTTCCCATAGATTTAAAATTGTAACCTTTTCCTTGAGATATAATCCTATCATTGCTACTTTCCCATAGATTTAAAATTGTAACCTTTTCCTTGAGATATAATCCTATCATTGCTACTTTCCCATAGATATAAAATTGTAACCTTTCACTTGAGGATATAATCCTTTCATTACTTCTTTCCCACAGATTTAAAACTGTAACCTTTCACTTGAGGATATAATCCTTTCATTGCTTTTTTCCCATAGATTTAAAATTGTAACCTTTCACTTGAGAAGTTAATCCTATCGTTGCTACTTTCCCATAGATTTAAAATTGTAACCTTTCACTTGAGGATATAATCCTATCGTTGCTACTTTCCCATAGATTTAAAATTGTAACCTAACATGTTGCTTGATTAAGAGATTGATTCATTAATATCAAATTTGTACAATGGTGTCAGATTGGACAGGTAAACATCATCAATATATTGATTTGTATGATGTGTCAGATTGGACAGGTAAACATCATCAATATATTGATTTGTATGATGTGTCAGATTGGACAGGTAAACATCATCAATATATTGATTTGTATGATGTGTCAGATTGGACAGGTAAACATCATCAATATATTGATTTGTATGATGTGTCAGATTGGACAGGTAAACATCATCAATATATTGATTTGTATGATGTGTCAGATTGGACAGGTAAACATCATCAATATATTGATTGGTATGATGTGTCAGATCGGACAGGTAAACATCATCAATATATTGATTTGTATGATGTGTCAGATTGGACAGGTAAACATCATCAATATATTGATTTGTATGATGTGTCAGATCGGACAGGTAAACATCATCAATATATTGATTTGTATGATGTGTCAGATCGGACAGGTAAACATCATCAATATATTGATTTGTATGATGTGTCAGATCGGACAGGTAAACATCATCAATATATTGATTTGTATGATGTGTCAGATTGGACAGGTAAACATCATCAATATATTGATTTGTATGATGTGTCAGATTGGACAGGTAAACATCATCAATATATTGATTTGTATGATGTGTCAGATTGGACAGGTAAACATCATCAATATATTGATTTGTATGATGTGTCAGATTGGACAGGTAAACATCATCAATATATTGATTTGTATGATGTGTCATATTGGACAGGTAAACATCATATTGATTTGTATGATGTGTCAATATATTGATTTATATGATGTGTCAGATTGGACAGGTAAATATCATCAATATATTGATTTGTATGATGTGTCAGATTGGACAGGTAAACACCATCAATATATTGATTTGTATGTGTCAGATTGGACAGGTAAATATCATCAATATATTGATTTGTATGATGTGTCAGATTGGACAGGTAAACATCATCAATATATTGATTTGTATGTGTCAGATTGGACAGGTATATATCATCAATATATTGATTTGTATGATGTGTCAGATTGGACAGGAAATTTTGCCATCTTCAGCATCTTCAGATGAAGAAGGCAGAAAGGCTAAGCTTACAGTCTCATGGTTTTGTTTTTGTGTCTTAACATTAATATATCTACCTATATTTTACCTTTGCATCTTTTTGATATAAATATATATTTATGAATCGACGATAAATGTCATATGTTTATGCCTATATTTGCTTTATTTTTACCTTGACAATGGAAAAACCAATGGTCATGTTACGACTGCCACCTGCTCCACGTGTACTTTTCTGAACCAGCTGAATCATCGGCTCATCTTCGTTATCCGTAATGTCGAAAGTGAACTAGAAAAAACAGGCATCTAGTTATTTTATGTGTCTATAATAATTGTCAATTCTGATACGACAAACTTTGCCATTTAGAGGGGTATCTGAATAATAGAGTGCGGTTGCCTAAGTCATTCATACCTAATTTTAATTATGATTTCTGGTAGAATTGTACAAAATGTTTAAAATCATTCAGAGTTTAATAACAGCGGGTTTTTTTTTTTTGTGATGACTATCACCTACCAATTTTTAAAACCATTTTGCCATTGTCTACACAGTATTTATACTATAAACTAAGAAATGACGAAATTATCTCCCTTGTTCATACCTAGAATCACCAGATACAGAAATTTTTCATACTGATCCACACCTTACCTGGTCACAATTTAAGTATTTGTATATTTGTTTGTTGAGTTTATGATCTTGCAAACAGCCAGGGTCATGTTAAGACAGGGACCCCTTGTAGCAGCTGGGGCTGCAGCAACGGCACAACATACAGGAGGCTTGTCACATGCCATTCAGGGCAGTTAGAGTAAAGCATCTTGCCCAAGGACACAACTATGACTGGGTGTTTCTCAGCTTCCTAAGAAACACAAACTTCCGTTGGTAGGGAATGTTAAACCACATGCCTCAGATCTACACCTGATGTTATGTGGCATAAGCCAATGCTGAGCTATCGCGACCCAAAGAGTATTTGTAACAAGAGGCATAATGGGCCTGCATCACTCACCTGTTTGTTAATGGGTAATAGGTTGTGTAACATTAAAATGTAATTGAACAAGTTTCAACAACCTGTTCAGAATTTAAAACAGTTTACCTTGTGATGTTGAAAATTTAACAAGATTGCGCAGTTGAACAAACTTGGAAGCCATCATATCAGCATGTTACTGGTGAAATTTCTGGTTATTCTATAGGCCAAATATCAATATCCTGGGCCTTTTTGTTATTGAGAACAAGTTCTTTCAAGATTTTAACTCATTGGACCACGTGACATTGAAAGTGGTTCAAGGTCATTGATTTGAACAATCTTGGTAGTCCTTTTTCCCTATATACTAAAGGTCCAATATCATTACCACTAGCCTTTCCTATACTGCGAAGTTGTTTGATGATTTCTGAACACATTTGACCCCTATAACCTTGAAAGTGGGTCATGTGAACTTGGCAGACCTTCATTCCAGCATGCTGCAGGCCTGATATCAATATCCTTGACCTTTCTGTTACTGAGAAGAAGTTGTTGAAAGATTTCTGACCTCTGTGACCTTGAATGTGGGTCAAGGTCATTCATTTTCATACCTTGGTAGCCCTCTTTCCCAGCATGTTACAGGCCAAATATCAGTACCCTGGGCCTTTCTGTTATTAAGAAGAAGTTGTATGAAGTGAAAAGCTGAAGTTGGATGGACAACAGATAGACTGGCCAGGTGAACTAACCAATAGAATCTATAAATAAATCTTGTGAGAGAAACAGACAAAAGATAAGGGGATATGGTGTCTACACTAAAGTTACCTGTGGGTTGTTGAGGAAAGTCTCCTTATGGTTCAGACAACCCCCTGCCCTGTTTGGTTTCACCCACTTACTGTGGGCTAGACCTTCATGCCAGGTTTTACTGAAGGCAAAGATGGAAGTGTTGACTACGCAGCATATCGCTGCCCGCACAAAGTATCGACAGAAGTCCTCCATGGTCATCCTGTATCAAGTGTGAAAAAATACAGGTTAGTTTATGTTGAAACTTTATTTATTTTACAAATATAAAACAAGCTATCAGCTTATATTAATCTCTTTTGGCCCAGATTGAAGCATGTCAGGGGTCTTACTGTAGGGGGAAACTGGAGTACTGGAGTTTCACAACAATTGCAAAACAAGATTTTTCAACTTATAGTAATCACTTTGTGTAGGCCTGGTTAAACATGCGAGGGGTTTTACTGTGGGAGGAAACCAGAGTACCTGGAGAAATACCCACGTGGTTGGGCAGGTGATCCCCATACCTGTTCACTTTCATTCTGGGAATCAAACCCCTGACCTCCAGGTGAAAGGCTAACACATTAGCCATGGGCCCCTTGATCATGACTTATTAATATTTCATCTGTTATGACCATATCAAGGGCATGCTAGTTTGACTTAACCTGTTTAAATAAATTAATAAAAGAAGCATATCAGACCTGATTCACTCATCTGATCTGCTGCTTAAGAAGATGACTTTTGACCCTGTGACCTGAAAAAAGGGTTAATGTCATTTAAATAAATTTGGTAGCCCTTCATTCCTGCATGCTATTGACTAAATATCATCATCCAGGACCCTTTTGGATTTTGAGAAGTCTTTTGAAGATTTCAAGACATTTGACCCCTGTGACCTCGCACGTTCATTTGAACAAATTTGGTAATCCTTCATCCCAGTATGCTACAGAGCAAATATCATATATATCCTGAAGCTCCTGCCTGTTGTGAAGAAGTCATTTAAAACGAAAAGTTGATGCTGGAAGACTGACAGTGATGTAAGCTTTCCATCAGGCTTGGGAGTTATGAATATCAATAATATTGAAATGAACTTCAAACTGAAATAGTCTTAGCCCTGTGCTCCACAGATACCTGGTAACTTACATAATTAAACATTAAACCAAATTTTAATATTTCATGAAGAAAATAAAAGCAAAAAAAAATCATTATGCAGCATTTTGAAAGAATACTCACCAGAATTCTCCATCGTCCTCAAATGTAAGTCCAATCTTGTTGCGTTCATCTTTCGAAATCTTGTTCCATTCCGGAGAACTGAGAGTAAAAACGAATCTCTCACAAATTACCACACAGTGAACGATAACATTTCATCTTTTTTAAAATAAAAATTGGATTGGTAGCTTATTAATGTAATTTCTAAGCTTGAAGGTACTTTTGCACCAAGTCAATCAACAAACTAAATGCTCAAAGAAGAGAGTATTGATAAAGTATTCTATCTCTTAATCTAAAAGGCCACTGACTGGTCATCATGCTGATCATCCAACTCATTGTGCAGGCTGCAACCTCTTATTTCTCTAAAAATATTTCTTTGATGCTTGTACAACCCAAAATTTCACCGTAAAGACAGATTCAATTATATTCCATACAAAAACCTGTATCACAGCTGTGTTACTTACAGTTTAGGCAATAATTATCCTATTTAAATGTTCCAATCTGTTTCATATAGTACATAAATAACCATTGATCACATAAGAAACTCCAACTTCATTCTATCACACAGCTTTAAAACATGGCAGTTTTAATAAATGCAAATTACGAATGTATGCATTAAACAAATAGTATACTAGTTTTGAAAAGGAATTCTGTTTTATTTACAAGGAAGGAATGCTGATTGTTTGTCTGCTTCATGTTGGAAAAAAAAGTATTTATCAATTTTTTGGTGCAAAAGAATATGTGACTTTGTCATGGAGCCAGTTGAACATGTAAACAAAAATGCTAAATGTTACCAAATTATGAACTTCAGAAACCTGACAGTAAGCATAAGGTTAATTGTCTTCAGAAAGTCAGAGATTCCAAGGTACCTGTCATGAATTCCTTGATATGTAAACCTCTGGCGTTGTTGGGGACGTCACTCACATATAGCATTTATTCGACAAAAAACCTCTATCTTCCACAGTAATTTCAGTAGAATGGTGTATCATTGTCTTGGCCCATGTTGTTCCACATTGAAGGCCTGTCTCCCCCAACTTATTCCCCACTGAATGCCTGACTCCCAATCTTATCCCTCACTGAAGGCCTGACTCCCAATCTTATCCCTCACTGAAGGCCTGACTCCCAATCTTATCCCTCACTAAAGGCCTGACTCCCCTAACTTATCCCCCACTGAAGGCCTGACTCTCCCAAATTATCTCCCACTGAAGGCCTGACTCCCAATCTTATCCCTCACTGAAGGCCTTATTATCCCAACTTATCCCTCACAGAAGGCCCTCTCTTCAAACATATAACCCACTGAAGGCCTGGCTCCCAATCTTATCCCTCACTGAAGGCCTGACTCCCAATCTTATCCCCCACTGAAGGCCTGACTCTCCCAACTTATCCCCCACTGAAGGCCTGACTCTCCCAACTTATCCCCCACTGAAGGCCTGACTCCCCCAACTTTTCCCTCACTGAATGCCTGACTCCCCCAACTTATCCCCCACTGAAAACCCGACTCCTGCCGGAGGTCCCATCCTTCAAACTTACCCATCACTGAAGGGACCTTTCCACTCCTTTTCTCCCCAGGGATTCCTCAGACGAACCATGTGAATCTTTTCTCTGTTGAAAAAACTAAATAGACCCGACCCCTCCAGGTGAATGTTTTTGACGGCTGTGATTCCGTAGGCATGGCCCTTTACCAATCCAATATCAGTAGATGCCTCCATCTCTTGGCTGCTCTCTGCCTGAAACACAAATAAACATCAAATTTTTGTACAAGTTTAACAAAATGTGAAAAACATTTTTTTTTCAATTTCTTTCTACTATCTTGGCTGACTTTGAATGTTTTTTTAGTAAGGGGTTTGACATGCAGTAGAGTCATTTCTGTAAAATTATCAAAACTATCAATATTCTTTTCTATTTTTCCTTTTACTTACTGGTATAGATGCAGCCATTAGGGATTTTCTGTCCATTTGTTTCTTCATTCGTTCAAATAGGTCCTCACGTTCCTCTGGTTTGTTTACAAGGTCACGACCTCTAAGGTCAACCTGTTCAGAAACACCACCAGTAAAATCCTCCAGTGCCTCCCCAAGTTCTCCTCCATCCAGAGCCTCATAGCAACCAAACAACCTGCAACAACAAAGCTATAACAGTAAGTAAATCATCAACATTTCCTGAAGCCAATCTTATACTGTAAAATCCTACATATTTGTGGGCCTTAATTTTTGTGGTTTTCAATAAACTACTTTATTACTGACATTTGATATTGTGAATATAAACAGCTCAATATATTTACTTATACCAACTTTAACAGTTCATGGATATATAAGTTTATGCATTAAGAACACCCACAAAGTCAATGAAAATAAATCCCCTCCAAAATTAATAATTTTACAGTATTTCTATATATTTCATATCGAATCATGAATGAATATAACCTCAAAATATTTATAAAATATGCCACTAAAAACAACTGTTTGTTAGTCATGCACTACATCAATGATGCAGAATGTCGTTTCTGCCAATTTTGAGGGTCTGTACCATTTATTGGATGAAATTTATAATTTCGGTGTTAATATCATTTGAAGAGATGTTCATCATTAACACAGACACTGACTGAAAACTCTCTGCCAGCTTTGAAAAATATCTATGTGCTTTGTCAAGCAAAGAGTACAATCCCGATGACAGTTCACAATTTGTTGAATGGATGAAAGCGTCAAGTCCCTATAAGAATTTATCAATACAAATTTTCATTCCAAAATAATGTTTATACTAAAGGCAGTTTGAGGGATGGTTGTGTAACAGAGGTCTTTATTTCTTTAAATGCCTCCACTAGGATTCGAACCTGAGACACATGGCTTATTAGTCTGACGATCAACCAGTCAAGCTACAGAGAAGTTCTATCTAGCCAAGCAGCATATTGAGTGTCTGGAGGTTAGAGTGGTATTGTGAAAGTAACGCTAAGTACAATTCCCAAGTACCTACATGGGCACCATTGTAACAGAGGTCATAATTTATTTCAATGCCCCCACTACGATTTGAACATAGGACCCTTGGTTTACTCGTCTGACGCTCAACCTATTGAGATAAAGAGAAGTTCTCTCTACCTGAGCTGTGCATTGCGGCTAGTATTTACTATGGTTATAGTTAATAATTCGTAAATCCATTCACTCCCGTATAACAGGTTATAATTACACCATGTGTGCTTTTGTAAACCTCTTTCACGGAGGTCACTAGTGCATGCTATGTTCATGTCAAATTGTTCATCTACATGTTTAATGCCTACAAATTTTTTTAGAAATATCACATTATATTGTTCTATATTCATTTAAGTTAAACTGATTTCCAAAAAATAAAGAAACATTTAAGTTTCTTTAATATAATAATTAGAAAGAGAATATTTCAATTACCATAAATTTCCTGTACAAATGATTCTGTGCACAGGGAAATTTTCGCTGCAGTTAACATTTAGCATTCTCAGTGGGTGAAAATCAAAAATTCTATTCAAGGGTTCCCAATATATAGTAGTGCTGAGTAGTTCCCACTTACTTGGCATAAGCTTTCTCCAGCAGTGCACTCCAAAACTCATTTTTACTCTGCGAGTGAATGAAGACAAGTTGATTGTTGATGGTGGGTAACATGTCGTCAATAACAACATCTATCCACTCTCCGTACCTCCAAAACCGGAAATGGAATATTCCCTGATATTTGTCTGGAACATTTTCATCCCATTCTTGTTCTCGCCATTCTGGAATCACCTGCACAAAATATACCGTACAGAATATACCGTACAAAATATACCGTACAGAATATACCGTACAAAATATACCATACAGAATATACCGTACAAAATATACTGTACAGAATATACCGTACAAAATATACCGTACAGAATATACCGTACAAAATACACAGTACAGAATACACTGTACAAAATACACCGTACAAAATACACCGTACAGAATATACCGTACAGAATACACCGTACAGAATATACCGTACAGAATACACCGCACAGAATATACCGTACAAAATATACCGTACCGTACAGAATATACCATACAGAATATACCGTATAAAATATACCAGACAGAATATACCATACAGAATATACCACACAGAATATACCGTACAGAATATACAGTACAGAATATACCGTACAGAATATACAACACAAAATATACTGCACAGAATATACTGTACAAAATATACCGTACAGAATATACCGCACAAATATACCGCACAGAATATACCGCACAGAATAAACCGTACAAAATATACTGTACAAAATATACCGTACAAAATATACCGTACAGAATATACCGCACAGAATATACCGTACAGAATATACCGTACAGAATATACCGCACACAATATACCGCACAGAATAAACCGTACATAATATACTGTACAGAATATACCGTACAGAATATACCGTACAGAATATACCGTACAAAATATACCGTACAGAATATACCGTACAGAATATACCGCACAGAATAAACAGTACAAAATATACTGTACAGAATATACCGTACAAAATATACTGTACAGAATATACAGTACAGAATATACAGTACAGAATATACTGCACAGAATATACTGTACAGAATATACTGCACAGAATATACTGTACAGAATATACCGCACAAATATACCGTACAGAATAAACTCTACAAAATATACCGTACAGAATATAAAGTACAAAATATACCGTACAGAATATACCGCACAGAATATACCACACAGAATATACCGTACAGAATATACCACACAGAATATACAGTACAGAATATACCGCACAGAATATACCACACAGAATATACCGTACAGAATATACCACACAGAATATACAGTACAGAATATACCGCACAAAATATACCGTAAGAATATACCGTACAGAATATACCGCACAGAATATACCGTACAGAATATACCGCACAGAATATACCGCACAGAATAAACCGTACAAAATATACCGTACAGAATATACCATACAGAATATACAGTACAGAATATACTGTACAGAATATACCGTACAAAATATATTGTACAAAATATACTGTACAGAATATACCGTACAGAATATACTGTACAGAATATACCGTACAGAATATACAGTACAGAATATACTGAACAGAATATACCGTACAAAATATATTGTACAAAATATACTGTACAGAATATACCGTACAGAATATACAGTACAGAATATACTGTACAAAATACACTGTACAGAATATACCGTACAGAATAAACAGTACAGAATATACAGTACAGAATATACTGTACAGAATATACCGTACAGAATATACAGTACAGAATATACTGTACAGAATATACCGTACAAAATATATTGTACAAAATATACTGTACCGAATATACTGTACAGAATATACTGTACAAAATATACTGTACAGAATATACCGTACAGAATATACAGTACAGAATATACTGTACAGAATATACCGTACAAAATATATTGTACAAAATATACCATACAGAATATACCATACAAAATATACCGTACAGAATATACTGTACAGAATATACTGTACAAAATATATTGTGAATGTAAATTTCACAAACTGTCTCACCCTGTCCCACACGTCTTTGTTAGCCGACAGACAAGAGGACGCAGCAACAAACCAGCAGTTACCAAGGCGACCTTGAGTGACATCTCCTGCACTGGCTCCTTCCACAAACAACTTGGGGTTGTCACAGATTTGCTATCAGAAACATAAAATAAAATATTGTATATAATATCAAAATTAAATACAAAAAATTTTTGAAAAAGACAATTTTTTAATAAACTGCTCTATAATTTTCATAAAATTGATAATTTCACTTCTTAAACCCCTTTACTGCATTAATGAAATGATCAATGATCCTTTAAAATCTATATCAAACAGTCTGGTTATAAGCTCTAGGTATGGTTGCACATGCTGGGATTCAAACTTACAGTTGTCAGCTGATATAGTGATAATGCTATCACTGATATCACTAGTGTTGATATACTACAGACACAAGCCATGACAGCCATTACAGGTAACAATACATTTTCCAGTTTTATATTATAATTTTTTTGTATCTTTGTACACCACTTATAAGTATAATAAAATGGTATGTGAAAACATTCCAATAGTCACTCTCGATCTATCATACACCACTAACGTATATATAGAAATTGATACATAAAAATTATTCCAATAGTCACTCTCGATCTATCATTTAAGTTTGAAATATTGATCCAGCTTTCAGTACTGTCAACTTACAAATAATTGACAAAATTTAAACTATTTTTCTAACATTACTAATTTTATTTGGTGATGAAAATGATAAGCCTGTAAAATAACAAATAACTTCACACTGATAAATCATCCCTTAGATATTGATACTTAAATGTACATGTATACTACAACGTTACTGTATATGATGCATTGTTTTAATTCTACCTTTGTATATTGAAACACATGCAGACTGACATATTCTCTTTATCAAAGAAAGTCCTAGCAGGTGCCTTAATACAATTTTTTTTGTAGTTTCCAAACTTGCCTTTGGTCTTTTCCAAACTACATCAGCTAACTTCCCTTGACTATAGAATAGAGAACGGTCGTCTGGGGGAAATTCCAAATCTATGAATAAATTTCCTTTCGTTTTGCAGTCTTTTTTTAGTTTTGCGTAGTCTTGGTTTTTGTACTTCTTCATGGAACCAAAGCATGGTAACAGATTCATCCTGCTATTGGTGTTGTTGATTGGCCTCTAGCTAAATGGGAGATTTCTTAAATGGATCTTCTGGAAAAACAAAAAGAATATCATTTCAATTAGCCAGAATATATTGCCTGGCTAGATAAATCTCTTAAGTTATATTTGAGTGTCACCCTTGTAAACCTACAATTCATTTGTTTTTTCATTCTGCCAATTTTTTTCTATCCGCATTTAAGTTGAACAGGCATATAAGCTGCATGCCAGACCGCCAACCAAAAAAGGTTCGGCTTATAATCTGGAAAATGTGGTACTAAATATATGGGGTTCATATCATAGCAGATGCATTAAAACAATGACTTCTGTTGCATCGGCGCTTGTGCAGGGACTCGGGAATGATACCGATGAGTTCTTTTCTGTTAGAGGAGTTTACCTGGTATATCCCTGGTGCTAGTTACAATATCCTTCTAGAGAGAACTTTGGTCAGTTGAGAATAGACTAGTAAACCAGAGGTCCCATAATCAAATCCAAGTGGAAGTAATGAAATATATCATGACATCTGTTTCACTGTAAAGGGCAATCCAAAACAAAGTTTTTCCTTACTGCAGTACTGCAGTTTTTGTCTGAATGAAAAATTACAGCAGGTCGAGTAACAAAATACGATTTGACCTGCAGATATCTGCCATCGTCTTGTGTATGTAATGTATTGTAACATAAGTTGGAAACTTGTCTTTTATCCTTTATCGTATCAACACTTATCAACATTTGGTTTTGCACTTGACTTGCATCTTATAATTCATGCAAAATCGTAAGAAGGCATCTATCCATCAAAATATCTACAGTCTAATGGGAGTTTTTCCTCAAAAGTGAGGAAAGCAGTTGTTTCTAAATTAGAATTTCAATCACACATATTGAAGCTATATATCTGAAATTTTCTAGGATTCTGTAGGAGTAATAAGAACTCTAACACTGACTGCTCTACTATTCCTGATGTTATCAGGCTTAAAATCACTACTGAAGTGTTAGAAGATTTATGTTTAGCTGTAACACAATCGGACTCCTTGTCCAGACACTGTCAGCTTTATCAATAAAAATCTTCACAGAACAAGTAAATGTAATAGGACCCATTCTAATCATTCAATTTATAAATTCATTTTTCTTGCAATGTAGACTGTGAGACAAATGACTCCTTTAAAATTGCTTATCCACATGCAGAAATGATCAACAACTTTGATTTGGAGAGATAGTCAGAAGGCCTCCAACAAGGTCCTTGTAAGTCTGTATTTGGTTAAAAAACCAGGAGCATAGACTTGGTTTTCTGTGCCACAAGTAATTTACATTTCTGTAGCCTAAACCATGGCTGTACATGTGATGGCAAATGAGGAATGCACTTAAGAGAGGCAGTGGACAAGTAAACACGGAACTCATTTCTGGTCAAAGTAGTTAGGGCCTGGGGGATGGTGTGTGGTAGATGGAAGGTAGTGTAATAGGAAAGAGTAATGACCAAGAGATCGCAGAGGGGTCCTGGCACCCACCATGGTTTTGATCTTGATTTGCTCATTGCAAGTTGGATCTTTTCCCTTCTTTTCTCATCTCTGTTTTTGCTCTTAATGATCAGAAATTTGAATATTCCTTTGCAGAAATATTGATGATAATCTTTACCTACCAAATCCGAAATGGTCATCTGGAAGCCATTTTCTTTCATCTGATCAGACCCAAAATCAAACAGGCACAAGCAGAGACCAAAGGGAACATACATATGAAATTTGAAAGAGATCCATTCAGTACTTTTTCAGAAATAGGGATACCCATCTTTACTAGACAAAATCCAAAATTAACTCAAACTAGGGACCAAGAGGAACCTAGACATGAAATCTGAGAAAGATCTATGCAGTATTTCTAAAGCAATAGTGAAAACAAACATTCCAAGTCAAAATCCATGATGGCAACCTGTTGACTATTTTCTTTTTCTAATCAAAATCAAACAGGCACAAGTAGGTATCAAGTGAAACATACACATAAAATTTGAGAATCCATGAAATACTTCTCACGAAAGAGCGATATCAAACGTGCATAGTCAAAATCTAAGATGGCCATTTGTCTGTCATTTTGTCTGATCAATACCAAAATTAAATGGGCTTAACTAGGGACAAAGAAAATTTGTGCAATATCCATCCTGCACATCTTAAGAAATAACAATAACATTCTTTCAAAATTCAAGACAACCGCCAGTCAGTCATATTGTTTTTTTTTTCTGGTCAGACCCAAAATCGAATGGGCACAATCATTGAGCAAGGGGAACCTACATATGAAATTTGCAAAAAAAATCCATTGAGTATATCTCAAGAAAGAGCAATAACAAACTCTCAAAGTCAAAATAAAACATGGCTGTCTGTCGGTCATTTTAATTTTCTGATCAGTTCCAAAATTAAATGCATACAACTAAGGACTAAGGTGAACATACATATGAAATTTAAGAAAGATCCATTGCGCACTTCTCAAGAAATTGCGATAGCAAACTTCATTGAAAAAATCCAAGATTGTTGCCCATTTTGTTTTTCTGATCTGTTCCCAAATCAAACAGGTACAACTAAGGACCATGGGAAACCACAATTCTCAAGAAATAGTGATAACAAACATTTTTTATGGACAGACGGACAACAGACATAGGGTGCTTTGAATAGCCTACCACCCTCAAATATCCTGCCACCGCTGGGGTTTGAACAAGCAATCCTCTGGTCACCAGCTGGATAATCTACCACTAAACGAAAAGGGAAATTCTCACCAGCTTGGGTTAGTAAGGTGACCTGTTCCCTCAACTTCTACATCCTTTACTCTTTAACAAAATTGTTAAGCTGAGAACAAGAATAATTCTGGCTGAAACTGTTATGGTGACCTGTACTCTCAATGTCTATAGAATGATCATAGTATTTATATATATATACCAACACTTCGAAGAGATTAAAACACTGTTAATGATGTTGATGCTTTTAATTGTATTTATGCTCCTAAATCCCTCTTAGTCAAATATTGACTTCCTGCGGAAAGCGAAAGTCCCGTCCCGTTGATAAACCTATATCAAATAATTGCATATTATTGACCAACGATGATCGGCGTATAAACCAGAACCTGATTTTCAACTTCTTGAAACGAGATTCTGATTCAATATATTTTTTTTAAGTTTACCCGTTAATCATTACCAGGCGGATCTTATACGGAATTTTGAAAATCTGATAAACAGCTTAACATGTAGTTTGTACAAAACGGCATAACGTTAAGCATAAAAAAACAAAACCATGTAATTATCAACGCCTATAAAAACACATACCTGCCCCGCCTTTTCCAACTCCGATGTTTTGACGGAAGATGGCAAGGGAGATAAGTACGACAACTTCCGGTGTCTTTACGATTTTATTGATATAATTCTGATTTGAAGAGTAATTAAAATTGTTTGCATTTCTGTTTTCCTTACCTCAAAACATATATTATCTGGGCCTCAGCTCAGCGTTGGATCCTTGATCAAAAGGCCGACAAGGCCTGTATCGACCTAGTTTGTAGAAATTGCTCCATCTAAGGCTACCTGAAAGGTGACCGCCTTATATTCCGAAGGCCCGTTAGTCCGATTTGTCTTTAAATATTTACATAATATTGCATATTTCTATCCAAATACTTGCCCTGAATAGTTTCTTTTCTGCTAATTATTCGCGCTACACGTGCAAGTCGGAATCCATAAATCTTTTACCGTGCAGGATTTTCTCGAATTCCCCGTACTGTTTACCGTGCATGCTTTCTTCTACATTTTTTCGCGCCATTTCTGTTAACGTTCTCGTCGCTTACAAATATAAGTCGCCTTTCACTAAACTTTTAAAGAACAATATAAAGGAATAGGGCCATTTTTTTCTCGCGATGTTTTGTGCGGAAACCTGTGACGAAGATTCTGTTAATATTACTTACCTATTTTCTCTCCAAATTTCGTCATTATTTCATTTACAGTTAAATAAGAAACAAAAATACGTAACCATTTTCGGACTATCGGGCCTTCGGACTGTAAGGGTGTCACCAACTGGATGCATTAAAATATATCATTTTCCGCTGTAGTTAAACAAGTCCCAACCCATGGTTCATTTTCATTTTAAAATGATATCCCTTCGCCCACGCAAGAATGTTCCAGACCAGCATGAATGTAGGACAGAACCCAGACAATACTACAGATTTTTTTTTCTAATATTCCCCTGTTGGGTCCAGTCTCTCCCGCACCATTAATGCAAAAAATATTCCCTCTACACAACGATGCTTCAGACCAAATAGGAACACAATCTAGGCATTCCTACTGGATTTTGAATAATTTACTAAATTTGCCACTTTTAAGCACACCGTTAAAACCCCAGGGCGGTCAGACCCTCCGTTTAAACAATATTGATTCCACTTCCATCATCGATTCTTCAAATCAAATTTTGCCAAAATCTACTGTGTCTATCATGACTGTTGTATCGATTTGTATAAAAAGTGGACGGACGGACGGACACTATAAGACAAACCACACCGTGCCATGGCATCGATCCTTTCGATCAGGTGAACAAAACGCCACAATGGTAACTTGAATTATAATAAAATGTACAAGAGATTTCAAAGGAAAATAACTGAAGGCTCCGCTGTCCGATCGATATTACAGCAGTATATGTGTGTTGTGAAAATTAATATAGATGTGCTACTGCTAATTAAACTACGGAGGGACATGGTCGTATGACTACATGAAAAGAAATGTTAAATTCTCAACATAACTATGTCGAGTTTATATATATCACAAACAGTAATATCAAAGATATTACAGGCAGGGACTAAAGGCCAGAGAAATGTAAGCAGATCTAGCTATATTTTTAGGCCCTGAAAAATGACTTATATACATCAGGAGTAAAACGATGCCAGTTACATGTCGATATGTCGATGCAGTCGTTTTGAGGTCATATTGGAAGCAGGGATTTTTTTTAAATTTCTTTATTCTTTACAAAGTTTAAATACATTGACAACAAATGGCATCGTCATCATCATCATCGTCATCATCATCTATACATTTACATACATCTTTCACACACACACACACACACACACACACACCGTCAAGCACGCACGCACGCACGCACGCAAACGCACATGCACATAAACGCCAACACGCATCCTCACATATAAAACAAAAAAGATAGAAATACCAGAGAGACAGAGAGAGAGACAGAGAGAGACAGAGATAGAGAGACAGAGAGACATTGATAGAGAGACAGAGAGAGAGAGAGTAGGAGAGAGAGAGAAAGAGAGACATAGTGCGACAGAGACAGAGGAGAGACAGAGAGACAGAGAGAGAGAGAGACAGACAGACAGACAGAGAGAGAGAGTCATTTAGAGTAACAAAATATATATAATTACAACGGTTACAATATAGGATAGTGCAAACATTTCTTAACTAAAAACTTATTCTTGTTTAAAGTAGATTGTGTAATATGGATCCGGAAACAACCATTGGTAGTCAGTGTAAATGTCAAGAAACGCAAAGTATTGAGATACTCCGTGACGCACTCTTTATTAATAAATTAAAGTTTTATATTTGAAATATTTGTAAATATCAAGAATCTTGCAAGTAATCGCGTAGATAGTGAAATTCTTATCACAATTAAGTCTTATAAAAACAAAATTTCTACATAAATCTTCAACAAGAATGCTGTGATAAATTCAATAAAAGGATATTACATTTTCAAAAATGTACTGCCAAGGTGACTATGCCAGGCAGAAATTTGACAATGAAAAATTGGAGAAGATTATTTGTATATATTTAAGCACCAGTAAGACTAGTTATTCTATGTATGTAGTTTTTGATGTTTTTTTTAACTGGTATTATTACTTTTCCCTTTTTATATTCAGTAACTAAGTAAAATAATATGTTTTATTCCCTTGTACATGCAACGATATTTACGTTTGTTGCATTTATAGCCGAGTCTCGCTGTGTCTGTCTTTCTTTCTCTCCCTCCCCCTCTCTCTCTCTCTGTCTGTTTGTACGTCTGTCTGTACGTCTGTCTCTCTCCATTTCTCCCTCTTTCTCTGTGTCTCTCCCTCTCTGTGTGTCTCTGTGTGTCTCTCTCTCTCCCTTCCCCCTCTCTCTCCCTCTCCCTCTATCTTTCTCCCTCTATCTTTCTCTGTCTGTCTGTCAGTCATTCTGCCTGTTAGTCTGTCTGTCAGTCATTCTGCCTGCCTGCCTGCCTGCCTCTCTCTCTCTCTCTCTCTCTCTCTCTCTCTCTCTCTCTCTCTCTCTCTCTCTCTCTCTCTCTCTCTCTCTCTCTCTCTCTCTCTCTCTCTCTCTCTCTCTCTCTCTCTCTCTCTCTCTCTCTCTCTCTCTCTCTCTCTTTTACGCACTGCAATAATCATAAAGTTCAAGCACATAATTGTTCTTTCATATTTCATAAAATTTAAAGGGGCCTAAGTTAGTGTATTGTGACATGTATTGTTTTCGTCTTTTTTTTAAATATATATATATATTCTTTATGCAGTTGTTACATCATTGTCGTTTCCATAACACTGTCTGACACAACTACATAGTGACTGCATATCTTATTCGTATTTCATAAAATGTTCAAACGAAAAATCAATTATTTTCAAGATCTGCACGAGACAGAAATAAACGACAATTCGTGACACGGGCAATGCTATTTTTAGTGAACATCTGAGAGTGTGTATATAAGATACACAATTTAATGCATCGTTATGTAATTATCAGATGATTGATGTCCTTTAAAACGAAATAAAGACTACACCAGGAAGTGGTCTTTTTTATTTATTAATTATCGCATTTCTAGGCTGCTATTGACTAAACAAAGAATTCTTCAAACTAATCACAAATATAAGTATATATTGATCTGACTATTTAACGCCATCATACGTCATACCAAGTAATTGACATCGGTTACCATGGGAAACTCGGCAACCACTTGGTTACTTGCAAAAACTGTTCACAGATTGGCAAAAAGAATAAATGAAAAAAAACAGGTACTTTGCAGGAGATTCATTGCTGTCTGGAACTGGGACTCCATAACGCAACAAGCTCTCCTACGTCATCCGTCTTTTGAAGAATGATGTAAACTGAATATTGCAAATTTGTAATTTTTGCATATCACATATCCAATCTATGGTTTTAATATGTCGCAGTTGATGCGCTATTCAATTTTTTTTCTATCGTTTTCCTAGTTTCGGAGAAAGATATTTGTCGGAAGCTAACAAACAAGCAGCCGATGATGGTCAGCGTGCGCTTCCATTTTTTTTTTTTAATTTTCAGTATTGCACAAAAATACAACCCTCAACGGAAATCAGACCAGTTGTCCTATATGTGCGCGCGTGTGTTTGTGTGTATGTATGCATGCATGCATGTATGTAGATAATTTTCCACAACTCTTCTTCACACATTTGAAGTTGTCATTTCCACATTCATTTTGTAACTGTTATTGGTTAACAACCATTCTCATCCACTTCCTCGTAAAATGCGTACGTGGCAAGGAACAAGGCAGAAATGTTCAACGGAAACATAAAAAAACACGTGTCTAACCATTCTGAATATTTTATTTCCTTCATCAAAAGTAAAAATTTTATGTTGACATCAGTGTTATTATAAAACTACACCGTGACAATAAACATGTGAATAAAAAATAAAACACAAGTAGAAGGAGGAAGAGGAAGAGAGGAGGAGGATGGGTAGGAGGATGAGGAAGAAAGGGAGGAGGAAGAGAGGAGGAGGATGGGTAGGAGGAGGAGGAAGAAAGGGAGGAGGAAGAGAGGAGGAGGGTGGGTAGGAGGAGGAGGAAGAAAGGGAGGAGGAAGAGAGGAGGAGGATGGGTAGGAGGAGGAGGAAGAAAGGGAGGAGGAAGAGAGGAGGAGGATGGGTAGGAGGAGGAGGAAGAAAGGGAGGAGGAAGAGAGGAGGAGGATGGGTAGGAGGATGAGGAAGAAAGGGAGGAGGAAGAGAAGAAAGGGAGGAGGAAGAGAGGAGGAGGGTGGGTAGGAGGAGGAGGAAGAAAGGGAGGAGGAAGAGAGGAGGAGGATGGGTAGGAGGAGAAGGAGAAGAGGAGGAAGTGAGGAGGAGGATGGGTAGGAGGAGAAGGAAGAAAGGGAGGAGGAAGAGAGGAGGAGGGTGGGTAGGAGGAGGAGGAAGAAAGGGAGGAGGAAGAGAGGAGGAGGATGGGTAGGAGGAGAAGGAAGAAAGGGAGGAGGAAGAGAGGAGGAGGATGGGTAGGAGGAGAAGGAAGAAAGGGAGGAGGAAGAGAGGATGATGGGGGGTAGGAGGAGGAGGAAGAAAGGAGAGGAAGAGAGGAGGAGGATGGGTAGGAGGAGAAGGAAGAAAGGGAGGAGGAAGAGAGGAGGAGGATGGGTAGGAGGAGAAGGAAGAAAGGGAGGAGGAAGAGAGGAGGAGAGAAAGAGGAGGAGGGAAAGAGGAAGAGAGTTAGGAGAAGGAGAGAGGGGGAGGAGAAAGGGAGGAGAAAGGGTAAGGAAAGGAGGAAGAAAAGGAAGGCAAAAGGAGAAGGAAGTGGGTAGGAGAGAAAAGGAGGACGGGAGGAGGAGGTATAGGAAGAGTGAGGAGGAGGAGGAGCAGGAGAAGAGGAGGAGGGAAAGGATGAGGAAGAAAAGGAGGGGGGAAAAGGAGGCAAGAGGAAAGAAAGAGGAGGAAGAAAGGAGAGAGGAGTAGGAGAAGGAGAGAGGAGTAGGAGGAGGGAGGAGAAGGAGGAAGGATATGAGGAGGAGAGAGGATGAGCAGGAGAGGAGGAGGAAGGGAGGAGGAGGGAAAGGAGTAGGAGAGAGGAGGAGGGATAGGAGGAGGAGAGAGGAGGAAAAAGAGGGTGGGATCAGAGGAGCAGAAGGGGAGGAGGAAGGAAGGAGGGGCAAGAGGGGAGGAGGAAGAAGGGAGGAAGAGTAGGAGGGTAGGAGGAGGGGTAGGAGGAGAGAGGGAGAGGAAGGTAGGTGGAGGAGGGAGAGGAAGAGGAGAGCAGGAGAGAGGAAGAAGAAGGAAAGGAGGAGGAGGAATAAGAAGAAGAAGGAAGGAGAAGGATGAGTATACTTGTCGATATCTTATACAAGTTCATTACTTTCAACACTATTTGACTTTTATGCATTAAATGGAATTCACTACAGTAGGATAAATATGTACATAGTAACGATAAAGTAAAACGTATTACATTATTCCTTTTTTTGCGGGGGGGGGGGGTGTTGACGCGATTGTTAACTAGGTACAAGTCCGGCACTTGATGTCCAACGAGTGCAATTTCACCAGAGTTGCATGAGATTTATTCTATATGGCCAGAGCATGCAAACATATTCATAACTTAAAAAACATACCGATATGTAGACCAGTACAGAAGAATTACATCAAAATATCTCTTCTATAAACTACCCTCTCTCAAAACAATTGTTTTTTGACTGATTCCGTCTGAAGCGACCATCCCTATTTATCTATCCATCTCTAAAGAGACTAGTTCTATTAATTCTTCGTCTCTCAAACGATTATCATTATAAAAGGCTGTTTTTTCAAGAGCCCACTCATGAATACTAATCACCCCTTTTTCAATCAATTGCTTATATCAATAATCCCTCTCCCAAGCGACCATCCCTTTACAATAATATACTCTAAAATATATCGCTCATATCGACCAACCCGCTGTCGAGAGACCGTTTATCTTAATTATCTCTATCCAGAGTGACCACCCCTATTCATTAGACGGTCCTTACTTTCTACTGACCATTTTTTTCTCACGTCTGTTAAGATGATGTCAGTCAAGAACCGATAGCCACACAAAGCACGAATGTATGCCAAAAGTTACGTTCGTATAGTTAAACAAACAAACACATACACACATAAACAAACAAATATATAAACCATTGGAAATATAAAAGAGAAGATAAATAAAAAAAATAAGATAAAAATAAAGCAAAATACAAAAACAAAACGTCAAAATATCTATCGTACTTACAAACAAGGATATGTTTCTTTTTTTTTAATAGAATGATTGAAAACGCGCATTGAGATCTCCATTCGACAACCGACAATCAAGAAGATAGCTAATAGAACATCTCCGGTCTATAGATTAAAAAACTATTGACCTTTCATAGACTTTTATCATGGTAATGCATGGTAAAGACCTAATAGTATCATGATTATACTATACCCTGGGCGAGTTCTGATTACACACATAGCCTTTTCTATACAGCCGATATACAAGGATGATATAACAGGACAAAGTTAATGATCTTTTTAAGATGTAGAGTATCAATTCGTCATAATTAATTCCTGTCCAGTATTTGAAAATCGACCCAACCTATTACATTTCCGATTGATGATAATGCTACATGAATCACTCTGTCTGTCACTGTAAAGATACACGAGGAATGTACAGCCAGGCGCCAATTTTACTCATGACGTAATCAGCATAATTTGATTAGTCAGTGATCATAATATATTAGCGGTTTAAAAACGCAGCTTTCGTTTTTGCTAAAGTGTAAAGAGTTTATTTTAGAGATTATAGACAGATATTTCGTTTTCAGAAATTAGTGTTTGGAAAACTTGAAGCAGATAAGACCGTAATTTCCTATCCTGGATTGAGCGGTCTGGTGAGATACACCGCAGAATTGATGGATTATGAAACAAAATGTTATGTTGTGAAAAACTGACCCAGTAGCTAATTTTACGATATTTGATTTCATTCAGCTTTGCTTTTTGCATACAAATATGTTTATAGTTGAAACATCTTGAAAACTCCATGTTAATGAGTAAATTTTGTAAATATTATCAGAGCTATTTCATAAGAGTTAATTCACCACCAAACTGAACTCTTGCGTGATGAAGATTGGACGATGAACCGCATTACCAGGAAAGGTAGATACCAACCAGTGTTCTGGTCTCTTATATCGCGCGTTCTCCTTTGTCGAATGCATAACCCTCCATTCTCTTCACAGTATCCCAATTTTTCCTTTAGACATATTTCTTTGAATATCTCCAGTGCAACCCGAAGCTAAAATGGTAACTGATTCGGAATGGTTCGTAATCTAGCACGTTACTCAGTAGGTCTGTTCGTTCGTAACTCCGCGGATGTGATGTTGCTGATGCATTGCTTCAGACTACGCCGGAAGCTGTTACCATTAAGAACACGTCGTCTTGCTAACGTTTTCTTCCGAGTGACAGAATCGCTGAAATCTGAGTCTTGGAGGGTTATAAATGGACTAATGACGGATTGCGCGCATAATAGATAATCCAGATATCCAGGAACCCTCGGCTGTAGCGGATTAGTATTTGCGCCTAACATGTTCGCCAAGATGTACGGAACCCAACATACCAATACAAGCAATGTCCTTAAAATGGCCGTCTTGTTGATACGGACGTAACTAGCTCGTTCGTCGATCCGATCTAGTTTAGTCAATCCAGCACCGCATATTTTATAGACTAACCACATATGACAAAGTGCCGTCAAGGTCACAGGGGTCACACTGATTAAGCCCTCTACGATGAAGAACATAGTTGGTTTTCTGCCGGAGATTACATTTCTGATTTCGCAAAGGCCATTTTCATCATAAGACACATCTATATTGAATGCAACAGTGATGATGACGAATGTGCCAATTTGAAGTACCCAAATCACGAGGACGATTATAAGTACAGTGGTAAGAGTGAAATGTCGGCAGTAGAACGGGAAGGAGTACATTATGATAAGCCGCTGAAGAGCAACCAAAAGGTTTTTCAAAAAGATAATTCCCAAGATTACCGAGGTTATGTACCAAGCTGTGCATACTTCATTTCCTCCGTCCCAGCTCGGATGTACCAGACCGTAGATTATCAATGGGATTCGAACGCTACATATGAGGCCGTCGCTGATAGCTAGAGTAAAGAAAAGTGTCATGATTTGACGCGCAAATCGACTCTGAACTTTACCAAACGTCCACATGACTTTGATATTTCCACTACATCCAAGAAACACCATAACGGTCAGGACTGCAAGCTCAACGTACGTGCTGCTCTTGAGGTTCAGAAAGGACTTGACCCAGGAGGAAAAAGCAGTCTCCATAACAACAGTTGTACCGTTCAACCTGTTTTAAACAAATTGACAAGGATCAACATTTATTCAAATGAATGATTACACACTCACTTGTTACTTGAATGCAAAGACAGGAATTGCTTAACAAAGACATACTTTTGCTTTTAAATCTTTTATTTTTCTATATTTACTAGAAATAAGGACGTGTTAATTCTGATTCTCTGGAATTCACAATTGACAATTTTAATGGAAATAAGGTTTGTTTTCATTTCAAAATCTTTATTTTTTTTAAACAAAAATATTTTTCGGCAATATGGCAACAAGTAATGCCGATACATGTCCTCTCCCTTGTGGTTTGTTCGTCTTACAAGGTTCTCTACAAAGCAACGTCGAGTTTACAAGTGTTAAACGTCGACATTACAAGACTTGATAACGTGTAAGTATGCGAAATACCACACAAGTACGTTACTTACTAATCATTATAACACTGTATTGATTTAGGCTTGTCATGCAATGGTTTTTATGAAACGGATTGCTATGAATTCAGCGTCTGATCACGTGGACAGCACCATGACTGAATAATTTAGATTCGCCCTAGATGGGCAAGACAGATGGTTTCTTGCATCTACATTTTTTGTGTTTCTAGATTTACATTGAAAGGTACTGTTTACTTGTGTGTTTTCCGTAAAATCTTCAAAATTGCAGGTAGTAAATACTAGTACTGAATGTCCATTTCTAGATAGCAACATTCTCGATTCCACAACCTATGGATTGCACAGACTGCAGTTGATTCAGGATCCAAGGCCTTGTTCTCGGACATACATCTCCACGGACAAGATGCCAACAGGCTGAAGGAGCTTATGGGGAAGTTTTATGGTTGGCATAGAGAAACGTTCCACGTGCGATATGCAAATAACGTGGGACACGTTTGCGATACTCTTTAATAGGCGTGGTGGTTTCGATGTTGTTAACCTGTCCTCATTTGGGAACGTGACATTACCTTCTTGGATTTACCAAATTTTACATATCGTCGATGAAGCGGGAGACGCTTATTCTTGTGGAACACCTCATCTTGTTATTATATTTGTTCATATACAATCATAGTTGCATTGACATGTCCTATTTTTCTTTGCTATTGTTGTCATTCTTTCTTTTCATTACAATTCGGTTTTTTCTCTTATTCACCCTCTGACGAACTGAGACACTGAAATGAAATTTGGTACCAAGCTGTTTAATCAAAGGATGTAGATGTCGATTCGATTTTTTTTTATTCCAATCAACTTACTGTTTACTGAGCGATAACGTTTTAATTTTGAGCAAATAAAAAAAAACAACAGTTTCTGTTTATTAACTATGTAGACATGGAAATGCAAGTTGATATGTAGTTGTATTATGAGAAGGTGCAGGCTGTCTTGTAATGAGGAATCATATGTTCCTTCGTTTTCTAAAAGGTGTATTGAATTGAAATTTAATATGGAGTTGTTTTTGAAACGATGCCGAACAACATACCATTTTACAGCAAAATGATTATTGAACTAAGAAATTAATCGAGAACTTATCCGTATCTGCTTGCAAAGTAGCTGAGGACACTGACCTGATTTTTTATGTACATGTAGTTTTATAGCCGAGTAAGCTATTAATTAAATTTGATCATCAGTCTGGATTA